GGAATAATTGCCTCCTGTACCCCTAGATTTGCGTCTCTAATCAGGTCTTATAAGCTTATTTTTTTCTCGTCACGACCATCATTCAACAACAAATGGCCCTTTTTATCTAAATCAAAATAATACCTATTTCTTTCCTCTAAATGAATTGAGTATTGATATCTTATAGTTTTGATTATAGCATGGAGAGAAATAGAAAAAAAAATGTACTATTAATTGCAAATTATACTAAATATGAGTAGTGAGTACAATAATAAAAATTTAATATTGTATTTTCATTTTTCTTAAACTTATAAGTAAGGAACGGATTTATACGTAATAAAAATACAGAAATATGTACATATATATAGAAGTATAATTTATAAAATATTTGCTAAAAACATCCAAATATGTGGGGAAAAAATGTAATTAAAAAAAAAATACAATTATAATTATTAAATTATCAAAATGATTTATTACATTAAATTATTACAATTTCTTTTAAATTATCGAATATTAAATGTCGCCTATTAGGTCTCAAAATATTTTTAAAATGGCTAAATAATCGTTCCACATCAACTAATTGTTAATTAACCTAAGCTTCGATATATATTATATTTTACTAATAATAATAAGTTAATTACAATATTCATACAATTGTTTAATATCATATTTTGTTCGTGTAATATTTTTGTAAAATATATCTTAACTTCAGAATTCGAATTCATTTCCAAAAATTAAACGGAACCGATTGGTGCAGCAAGTGAACCATATAATTAAACATGTAAATTACCTACGGACTACAAGCGTTATTCATCAATTTTTTATAGTATATTTAAATCTCTAACCTGTACTTTAAATCGTTTTAGGAATGCCCAATATCGAGTAACTAAAAAGTTATAATAATAATAACGTCATAAAATGGACAAAAATCTATTTCATAGAATTAGTAAGCTTTCGGATTATAATTCAATCCAAATATTACAATTTCGTAGTTTGTACGTCTTTACGCGATATTATAGAACCGTCAAGTTGTGTAGGTCATGTAAAACTATTATTCTAATTAAAAACAAATGTTGCAAGGTTATGACCGACTGAAATAAAAACGCGTCCCGGTATACATATACAACGAAAATTATTACGTCTATACATATTATAAATAATATATTAATGCTACATTTTTACAATTTTCCAAGAATTAATTTTTCATTTAGAAAAAATTATTTGTTGGCATATTTTGTTCTACGGCACGATAATAATACGAGTGTACTAGAACACATTGTGCGTTTATATTTTAAAACGTTTCTACAGTACCTACCTATCTAATATGTATATAAACATTATAATTTTATATTGTAAAATTTTTAATAAATTCGATACCTACATTAGGTGAGTATGCACAAAAAAAAAAATAAAAAAAATATTGTACCCTATCCATAAACAATTATTATTCCCTATGCTGCGTACGAGTTAGACTTTTTTGAAAGATTGACATCACAGCGTTGAAAAAAATATAACTTATAGTATAGCAACGATATGCGTGCATTATTACTTATTATTATACTATAAAGAGCAGCGACATTTATTATGTAATAAATACTAATACGATGAGTGTAATATACCTTTATTTTGTTTAGGTATTTCTTGAATAATTTATAAAAAAATATTCGACGATTTTAGATGCACATAACATCCGGTCATGCACGGGCAGTTCTACGACTACAGCATTCCTCTGTACTTATTGTACAAAAGTGAAAAGTATCCTCGAGCATTTCACTCGATTATTTAATTGCTTTACTGTAATGTTTTAACGAAGACAAAATAAAAATTAAAAATTAAAAAATTTCACTCGATAGCCCGCTATCTCCATAAATACATATATTTATCTATTTATTTATATTTTTTCACGTTAAAATTCCGTGAAATCAAAATATTGTCAATGACTTTCTTAGATAATATTTATTGAATATAGATCTCAGTCTACCGGTGCTCGGTTTTTCGAAAATAAAATTCTCATGGATTAAATAAATAATAAACTCACGCTGATCACTAACATTTTCTAAACATTTTTATATTATGAACAGTTTTAGTTAAAAATAAATATGTTTCTTGAATAATTGTATTATTTAATAAAGAACCCAGACAGAATATATTTTTAGTTATTTTTAAGCTATTACCTTAATTTAATGATTTTGCTATAATACCAAAGTGCTCTGCATGGTCCGGTCTTAATCAGTCTGGTCCGGTCTAGTAAGGTCCTAACATACAAAAAACTATGGTATCGTCGGTTTGGTCCGGTTCGATTTGTAGGTATAAATGTAATTTATAAAGTCGGATAGTCCAGTCCAGTGTAATACTAAACGCATCATATGGTACGATCTGGGCTAATACAGACTGAATCTTACGGACCGGTCCATAAACGGTCCAAAATGCAGAGCACTACAAAGTACCTAAGGAATATTATGTGGTATATAGATAACGAAATATGCACTATCATAAGCGTGCGCAGACATTACTGGCAGGGTCAGTGGCATATCCAGGATTCATTTAACGGGAGTGTTTTAAAATTTAATAGACTTATGGTAAGTGGGGAGCTCTGCCCCCTCCACCGTATTACATTAATAAATACCATGTATTTATATAAATTATTACATCAATGAAAATGATTATATTAAGACAGTAGATATACGTAAAATCTACAAGTTTTATACAACGTTTATTCAAATTATACTGTAAGTAAGTTTGCAATTTGGTGAAATATCATAAAATACGGTTAATGTGAGGTGTTCTAACACCCATATTACCCTCTCCCACCCTAAATACGCAGAGTAGTCATACATAACACATTAACATTTAATATTAATAACAAATTTGGATGGCGTTACTTCATTAAATTTAATAATTATATTTTTACAATATTCTTATACATGTATTTACTGTTTACAGACGTTTCGAAGTGGTTGAATATAATATTATTATTTATTATTGTGATAATATTGAATATTTTAATGAAAGGATGGTACATAGAGTAGTTAAGTGCCTACCTTGACTAACCCGTGCGCACGCTTTTATGCACTGTTATCACAAATTAGATGAAACCATACAGTTAAACCTCCCCTTATGAACACCTTCAAATAAAAGACACTTACGACATTTAAATTTTTGAAATTGATAATTTTCACTGTAAATTAAGAATAATCGTGAAATACCTAAATAAAAATCTACACTATTTAGTTGATACTTAGTATTTTATTACATACATAATTGAATCTAGGTCAAAATATCCACGGACAAAATATCTAAATTTATTCGTTTTTCCGAAAATTAGTACATTACACTATACATTCTAATACAACTAGCTCAAATATCAAATTATTTAATAATAAAAAAATCTAAATTTTCTGAAAATATTAGCTTAAATATTAAATTATAAAAATTAGCTCATAAAATTAATTCAACTTATATACGCTATATATCACTAAAAATATAATAAATTACGTTAATCGTTATAATATCATAAAATACTGGTGATTTTTTTTATCGTGAACCAGTTAATATCTCGGGAAGTATTAGGAATTTTAAAATAATTTTTTTTTTAAGTTTCTAGGTTTTACTATTTTACACTGTGTTACATTTATGATAATTTTAACTTCCTCCCTTATTTGATAAAACACTATCAATTTTCGATTTTCAAATGGCAATATCTATTTTCGATAGCGAAAATTAATAAACATACTGAAAAAAATAATTTTAACGTTTACAGAATTTAATTTCAGTAATCCGTTTGTGACTTATGACCGTTTAAATATTCGTTCAATTTACTGCTACTGGGCAATTTATCAAACCCATCAATAAAAACCAGAAGTTAAAACGGAATGATATCTCAATTTAACAATAGCCATAACGGTCATAATCGATAATAACTGTGATATTATTGCTACTAACAAGTCAATTAAATAATTTGATACTAATTTTTGGAAAAATGGATAAATTTGGATATTTTGTTCTTGGATATTTTGGTTTGGATATTTTGACCGATTACTTACATTATTATACAGTATAGGATATCTGTATTATCCATCAAGTTTTAACGTAACCATGTGTTGTCATATTGGTATTTAGTTGTGTTTATGATGCCAATATATAAGTATTTTTTCATAAATGTTAATTTTTAAGATGTATTTATTTAATTAAAGTTAAATAAAATAATTTTAATTTATATTTTAATATAATTTATAATTCTAGTTTAATAAATATTAAGTATCTCCCTCTAAATAGTGAACTAAATTCCATTGGCCGACAGTGTCCGGTATTTAGAAGTTTCACTGTAGGTATTTTTTTGTGCTATTATCTTTTTTGATTACCAATAGAAATAAATAATGATAATGAACTTATAGTTGCCTAAATTGTGATAGTAAAAATTAAAACAAATTTGAAATTAATAACTCTTGATATGTAGTTAACCAAGGTGTAATAATATTAATATAATACACCTTGTTAATAACTATAAAAATATCTACAAATCATTTTTAAATACTAAAAAAACTATCAATTATCAACTATAAGATGTAATTTTAAATATGATACTAGATAGTTGTTAAAGAAACAAAATTGATAAAATATTTTATTATTATGGTTTTTTATGATCACAAGATTACTAGTTTTTGGTATTTATATTGGTATACATTTTAGAAAATAATTACTTAGATACTTGTTAAAATGGCATAATATATATATCTATTTCATTTTTCTCTATATTGTTACTCAAATTGTACTAATCTATTTTAATAATTGTTATAATTACTTTAGGTCATTACATGAACAACCTAATTTAAATACTCCTAATCATAATTCCATTATTTAATGTATTACATCTATTATTTATAGCAAGTAGGTAATACAAATGAAAATAACCGACTCAAATAAATAGATTATAATGTCTAGCGCATAATCATTTAATTAAAAATTAATAATTTTATAAAAGTCTTTAATGTTTATAAATTTACGAATTTTTTTTTTTCCAGCCCAGAAAGAAAATGACTGTCATTATTGAGCAAGGTATTTTGCAAGGGCAATACTTTAAAACACGATTATCAAATAAATCTTATGTTCGTTTTTTGGGAATACCATATGCTAAACCACCTATTCAAGATTTAAGATTCAAGGTGAACATAAAAAAAGTTAATTATATTTTATAATAACAGTAATTTTGTATAATCAATTATCCACTAAAATAATAAGAAAGTGATTAAATCATTTTAAGTAATTGCATTTTTTGTTAGTCTCCTGTCAAACATCCAGGATGGTCTGGTGTATTTAAAGCATTTTCAGAAGGGAATATGTGTATGCAGCTTGATGTTTTCATGACCAAAAGAATTATTGGAAGTGAAGATTGTTTATATTTAAACATATTTATGCCTCAGGTTGTATAAGCATATTTAAATTGTATTGTTATTTATAATTTGTATTACAATTAACCAGGAAGAATTGGATAATGAAAAGAAAGCTGTTATGGTGTTTATACATGGAGGGGCCTTTAGCTGTGGATCTGGAACATTAGATTTTTATTCTCCTGATTATTTGATTGACGAAAATGTAATTGTAGTCACAATCAACTATCGCTTAAATGTCTTAGGTGAACATACAAAAATCTAATTAATATTACTATTGTTACTATAGTATATTAAAATGTATAATCAAAGAATTCTAAATCAAATAAAATATAAATTTTATTCTTAGGATTTTTAAACTTTGGTATTGACGAATGTTCTGGCAATATGGGCTTAAAAGATCAACTTTTTGCATTGAAGTGGATAAAAACAAACATTTCTGCATTTGGTGGTGATGCTAATAATATAACAATTTTTGGAGAAAGTGCAGGATCAGCATCTGTTCATTATCATTTACTTTCTCCACAATCCACAGGTTTATTACTATTGAATTTAAATTATTGTTTTTATTATATATGTACACATTTTTAACTAGAATTGAAATAAAAAATGGATGTTTGTTTTTAATTCTTAATTGTTGCTTATTTAAGTTAATTTGATTTCTTAGTTCTTACTAGACTTTATAGTCCTGTCTTTTAAGATCAATAGTAAATCATAGAGATTAACATATTGAATGTTTTAACAGTTTAAATTAAATACTATATTTTATTAAACTAAATCATAATAATATTTAATTCAATATAAGACACATTTTTTTTTTTATGTAGGAATGTTTCATAAGGCTATTATGCAAAGTGGATGTGTTTTTAATCCATGGGCTTTTAATGAAAACCACAAAAAAGCAGCTTTTAAGTTGGCTGAACACATGGGATGTCAAAAGGATGACCCTAAAGAAATAGTACAATATTTACTTAATGTACCAGCCACTGATTTAGTTAAATTTTCAACTTTGAAGTTAAAATTTGAAGTATGTATAATAAATAACATTTTTTCTAATTATAAAAATGTTGTTATGAAGAAATTTCAATTATTATTACTAATATTTGACTTATAAAATTAAAAATATAACTGAAAAATACAATTAGATTGTTTTAGACAGTGAAATAAGGATACCTGAAATGCATTTATATATTTAATAATTTTTTTTTTCTTTTGGTTGACCAGTTTATCAAAACATATCTATATGCATACATAATAAAAATTAAAGGTGTGTATGATGTTTATATCCAAAAATTATACAATGGATTTTTGTTACATTTAATACTTAATGTTTTCTTAAAATATTTATATTCTGAACTATTTAATAAATATATCTTATAGAACATCTAAAACTCATTTGTATAATATTAATGGATCAAATGTTCACAAATGTTGATAGTATACATTTTGTTAATTAAAAAACTTTAACTTAATATGTACAATACTTTAATAATTAAGTAATAAACATGCATACTAATACATTTTAATGTGTATAAATATTGAATTATAAGCGTTAAAAATCATCTAAAACTAATATAAAATTAATAGTCTTTTTACTACATAGAAAATATTGTTAAAATGTGTTTTAATTTTTCTTAATTATAGTTATATCAATAGCTGTGAAACATAACATAAATATTTTGTGAAGACTGCAATAAACATTATTTTTGTTTTCAAAGGGCCAAAGGGATATACTAAATTTCCAGTTTGTTCCAACTGTTGAAAGTGATGCGGTGAATGAAAAATTTTTACCAGCTCATCCTGAAATTTTAATGAAAACAGCATCACCAGTACCTATAATTTCTGGACTCAATGATCTGGAAGGAATGATTATATTTGCAGGCAAACTATTTTTAACTCTATTATTATTAAAATGGTTATCAATTTTAATCCTAAAATCAAAAAAAAAAAATTACAATTTACAATATTTAAATCTTTTAATGTATCAAAAAAAAAAATAAATCGAATAATATTTAAATTATGAATATGCAGTGTTAATATAAATAAAAACTTAAATGATTAAAGTATTAAAATTTTAGGTCTAAAAAAGTACTATGTATATGGCTACATGTTTTGATATTGTTTTTATATTTTTTTCTAAAAGTTATAAGATTTAATCCGATTAAAATTTAAAAATAATTAATGAATCATTGTTTAAAAAGTAATATAATTATTACTTATATTTTTGTTTTCAGATCATCATAAACCAAGTCAAATTTTAGAATACCACAAAACCGATAAAATTAGAAGACTATTTGAAAGTAGTTATACTGACGAAGTAATTAATAAAATAAGAGACTTTTATTTCGATAATCATAGCCTTATGAATGAAACAACTAAATTGGAAAATACATGTCATGTAAGTATATTTTTCTTGACATTCTTTTGGTTTAATTCTTCGATTGTATAGTGATATTTGTTTTTTCATTTATTGAAATAATATAATACTAATCATGTATACCAAAAAAATATAATTTGTGTTTTTTTAATAAAATATATTGAACATTTCTTTCTAGATGTTAAGCGATGTATTTTTTATCAAAGATTTTTATCGTGGATTTAATCATCTTCTTAAAAATGGTCAGACACAAGTTTACAATTATGAATTCAAATTTAATGGAGAACTAAATGCTTGTAAAAAACTAATGTTTGCTACAAGACCAAATATTAGTTCATTAAAAGGTAACAATTATTTATTTGTGTTAATTATTTTTTGTTTAACTTTTATACATTTATTCAATTGGCTATATTTAAATTAAAATAATTGATACATTTATAGGTGCATGTCACGCAGACGAGTTAAATTACTTGTTTTATGGACAATTATTTGGATTTTTGCCAAAATTAGATTCTCCAGAGTTCAGAATGTGTAGAACAATGTGTAAACTATGGTGCAATTTTGCAAAAACAGGGTTTGTGTTTTTATCATGTTTAAATCATTAAATTTACTCAAATTTGATGTAACAAAATATACTTTTTGTTTAGAAATCCAAATTCGTCAGATTTAAGTTTTATATGGAACAATACGAGTACAGATGATCCCAAGTATTTAATATTAGACGGAGACAATACACGTATGGTTGATGGATTAATAGTTAGTTCCAGAACACACTTTTGGGAAAATATAACGAAATTAGCTCAATTGAAACAAAAACTGTGATTCTATAATTAATTATGACAAATTATATATAAAAAAAAATCTTTACTTACAATGTTTATAAACAAAAAATGTTAATATACAAAAAGTATTGCATTTGGTTCTTTGATATATATATTTATTTTTACCTTATTATTACCACAGATACATGAACATTTTATATTCATTTCATTTTATCTGTATTATTAATATATTTATTATTTTTACTTCTTCACATTCATATTGTTGATGTTTTTTATTTATACATTTATTTATATCTTAGTAATTTTTTACAATAAACAATTATTGTCTAAACTTATCGTACTTAAATATTTATTGTGTGCATTAATATCCTCCACTTCCACCGTTGCTGCTGTAATTGTATGATCCCCATGTTTGATTATAATTTGCTTGTGGATAGCTCCAATTTTGATACTGGTATGAATAATCTTGTCCAGTAGGGGCATACTGTTGATAGGTTGCCTGATTGTACCCAGTATACTGTTGAGGATAATATCCAGCTGTATTATAGGGCTGATAGTTGGTAGGAGCAACCTGTGAACTTGAGGGTACTGCCATATCTTGGGTCTGTTTTGCTTTTATTTCTTTTTCAATCTTAGATTTCTCTTCATCAGCTGCAGCTAATGCTTTTTTCTTCTCCCTAGCGAGCAACTCTGTATAACATTTAAACTCATTAGTCGCTTTACGTAAAGATGTATAATCACAAGTGTAATCCTCAATAAACTCCAATTTGCGTTGAGAAAACAATATTTTCTGCTCTAAATTGACACTACTCATTGATAATATATCATCAAAAATTTGAATAACTGATTTTTCATTTAATGGTTTTACACTCATTTTCAGCTCAATGAGTTGCAGCAATAATCTGGCATTGTCTTGCATATTGTCCTTATCTTTATTAATGATTTCAGTAATGACTTCAATGGCCTTTTCGATTTTATTTGCACATTTCCAAAGGAAACGAGCATATTTTATGGCAATATTAGAGGTAAGAAACTTTGTGTGTGAAGTGTTTATATAATATTCATACAACTCGCATACCTTTTCAAATAAGTCTCGTCTTTTCTCCAAATTAATACGCCTGTAAATTATTTGCAACATGTGTGGAACAGCTTCATCCAAATTCTTCAAAATATCTGCAGCTTTATCTACATTACCTTTACTTTCTTCAAAAGTAGACCATTTTAAGTGCAATTCAGGTGATTTGCGGTGATGCACCAAACAAGCTCGTGTAAACAAATCATTAATTAAATCACTTGCATCAAAATCTAATGATTCTAAATAATCCAAATAGCTCAACCAAAATTCTTCATATAATGCACATGGTATTAAGCATCTTTCATAAAGAACAACAATACGTTGATGGTCTCCGGCTTCTTTTTCTAATGCAATATAATCTTTCCAATTTTCAATCTGACATTTTTCTAACGGTTTAACATGGAAATACGGTCTCTTAATGCCTTCTTCAAATGCTTGACGCTTTAAGATTTCTTTACTGGTTTCCTTATGAATTTTATATTTCATTTCAACTATAGTTTCTTTTAATAATGACAATTCCTTCTCTGATACATCAGATAAAAATGTATTTTCTTCTTCTCCAGGTGGTGCAGAATCATCTGTCAATAATTCATCACTACCACTCATCCTGAGTCCTTCTGCTACTTTTTGTCGTAATTCAAGATACTCCTTAACACTTAAAAACTTATCAGGTGCATTCTTGTTCACAAATTCTTTAAAATTGTCGAAATGTTGCAAATAACCTAATGTCTGAGTAGCAAGAAGACGATTATATATATTAAAAGCATTGAGTAATTTATTCTGGTCAATTTCCCACTTTATATAATGATCCCATAATCGATCAGAACGATATTCAAGTCCACATGTTTCCAAACCTTTTTCAAACTTGTCACGAATGAGATCTATATCATCAGCATGCTGTGATTTAAGATAAGTCATATAATGAATCCATAGGTCAACACTTAGGGGTATAGCTTTTAAGCCACGTTGAAAGACTATTTCACATTCATCTTTATTATTATTTCTTTTTTCAAAATCTGCAAATTTTCTCCAATAACCATAGCAATAAGGATACAGTTCTAAGAATTTATTATATGCTTCTCTTGCATTTTGAACATTGTTTTCTTGGTCAACATATTGTAACAAGTAAGTCCATCCAGCAAAATCTGAAGGGTCATCTTTTACAGCTTGCCAAAATTTATCAAATTCTGTAAGTGGTTTTACTTCTTCAGTTTTAAGTTTTTTCTCTGGCTGTAATTCATTTTCATCTTCCTTTGTTTGTTCATCGAGCACCTTACTACATCTTTTTGTTTTACCAGTACCATTTTCACTGGGCAACTCATCATCAGATACTGATTCCGTTTGATCAGCTAAAGTGGTAGGTGGCAATTCATCTTCTGATACAGCTTCAGTGTCAACAGGCATAGTATTAACAGCCATTTCATCATCTTCTGATATCACTTCTGTTTCAGGTTCTTTGGATTCTTCTTTTGGTGTTACAATTAATAGTTCTTCTTGGATATCGTGCTCAGAAAAAACTTTTTTCACTTCATCACATGTTTCTTTATCCCCAGTATCATCAGTAATATCAATAATTTCAGTTTTTGGTATGATAATCTGACAATCCTCTAAATCTTTATTTTCTTCAGACTTTTGTAATTTATTACTAGTAATTTTTATTGACATTGTCGGAGGATTACTTATTATAACTTTAGGTGGTTCGGTATCATCTAATTCTGGAACAGAATCAATTAATTTACTGTTTTCTTTTAACTTATCACTTTTTGACACAGTTTCGTCTTGATCAGCCATGATTCAAAAACCTGAAAAATCATCAATATTTTTTAGTTAACTTAGTATTATTTGATTTTGATTTTTGTTTTTGATTTCAATACATTGGAACAGGGCTAGAGTGGGAAAATAAGATAACAAAAGTTTTCTGGTGAGTTGCTTGTTTGAATTAGGTTGCTCTTACTCGTTGGAAAGTTTTTGTTTTTTAGGCATATCGGTTAAAATTCATTGTGCCAACAGACATAGTTGCATTTTCTAATGCACTTGCATTAGAAACTGTTTAAAATTAAATAAACGGTTTCTTCATTTTTAATAATAATATTAAGTATTCAAATTCTTAAAATAATATACAATATTTTTATATGAAAATATAGGTTTTTTAGGGTTGTTTACATATCTTTGATAAATCTAAGTGGGCCATTTAATTTTATTTTCCTGGAAGAAATTTCTGACCCAGTCTGGCCCTGCATTAGAAAATATAAAATAACTTAATACTTAAATTAAAACTGTGTGTAGATCATACATATTTATTAATAGAGAGAAAAAATACTCGGTTGGTTTTAAAAAAACATAATAAGTGTACATAAATATTGAAATAAATAGATACAATTAACTACTTAATCAACATTAATAACATTTCCTAATAATAAAACACATCAATAAAAATGTAAACGACTTTGAAAAAAAATTTAACCTACTAGTATATTAGTACATAGTAGTTACAATAGTAACTAAGGAAAATGACAATAAAATAGAAGTATCATTTATATTTACATTTAGATCTGTATTGCTTTTCCAAATTGTTCACTACCTATGACTATTTCTAAGAAAAGTTATGTTCATAAACTTGGACTTTCTAATAAATTATTCTGTACAATGGATATAATTACCTTAACTTTTGATTGGGATTAAATAAAAAAAAACCAGTTTAAAACATTCTCATTCAGTTGGACAATGTCGAAAAACTACTGTAAATTATCATTGTTGTTCGCGTCAATAATGTTATTTGTTCATGTTAACATTTTCGTGCGATGCGTAGCGGTGCGTTGCGTATCCGCAGCCATCGTCGGCGTGATGAGGGTAGTTGTTCTCCCTGATAAGAATTATGGCTGATAAAAAGCATTTTTGAATAGAATTCGGCGGCGGCGGCGTGTAAAACGGCGGTGATAAGCCTCCGTGTGCGACCGGCCGAGTACTTAATAGCGCGTAAATGTATTCGTTATTCCAGGTTTCGAAAAATTGTTTTGTAAAAGTTAAGTCATGCTCTCTGTACCACAAAGTTTATTAATTTCCCGTGTATTTCAGTTTTGTGTGGTGGCACTGAGACAGTTATCTTCATATTGTGGTGTCCGGCCTTCGTGGTGAATGTCGTCGGCATTGTCGCTCTCTCGTTTTTGTGTCTTCGTGGTGTGCACGTCAAATTTTCATCGTCTCAACGTTTTTTCGTCCTGTTTCACAAGTTTGTCAAAACCACGTTTTCTTGTGAATTCTGTAGATAACTGCCCGGTAAATATCGTTCGTGACAATAGTCACTATTGTTCTAATTTGTGTTCCTTAGTTCTAGGTGGTCAGTTTGTACCGGCAGTTTTGTGATTCGTGGTTTTGCATTTGTCGTTGTGCTGTGAATATCGAAGCGTGAATTTTTCGTCTTTAACTGTAGTTGTGCGGCGCACGTACGCGTATTATTGTGTTTTTCTTTTGTATTATCTTTTTATCATTTACATTCCCCGGTGCTGTAGCGTAGGGATTAAACCCACCGTCCACTGCAGTTAAATATTGTTAGTATTGTCGACCATTTATGTTTCATTTGTGTTCAAAGACCGACGGGCTCAGCCATCTAAAGCAAATTTATTATTTATTAGTGTGTGCCGTGTGGGCCACACATTATTATTATATATTTATTGTTGTGTCGCTGTAGGGCCAACGCTTGTATTATTATATTTATTATTTATTGGTGTGTGCCGTGTGGGCCACACTTTGTTATTTATATATTCGGTTGTTCCGCCGTACGGCCAAATTGTACTTCTCTTTTTTATTATAATTGTGAAATAATCTGTTTCTTTATAATTATCAATTTTATTATTGAGTAATGGCGTAAGAGACAGCCCACTACAATTGTAAGCACTCGAAGTGTCGACAATTGTGATCCGATACGATACAAGAAATCAGTTCGGTCTGCGGACTCTAGAATTCTAATTTAAGAAATTATATATATATAGATCTATAGAATTATATTTTCTAACTTGAAACGACAGCAACACTAATCTGTAGAAGTAAACGGGTGCGCAAGTGGCCTGGAAACGACGATGGCCACCCAGTAACGGATACACTCATAGCTTATAATAAAAATATTATATTATAATAATATTATAATAAGAACACTGTTTGAGTCAAGCCTTGTAAGCTAAGTCGTTCATTCGTTGAACAAAACCTAAGACAAAAATAATTAACAAAATGACTAACGATGAACAAGAGAATCACGAAATCGAACGGAATGGGCTAATTCTGTTATCAATCGGTAAATTAAACTGTATTCACGGGCATATTATCAAGCTGTTCTACGACTGTTGTTGTTACCGCATTGTTACCACCGTCACGGAACCGCTGAAGACACTATCATAATGAGGTCTATGGTTATAACTATGGATAAACCGAAGATTCGGTAGTTATCCGGCCTAGTTAGTTAGGTTAGGTTAACCTAACCTGTTCGACCAATATTTTGAGATCAATTTATATTCACCTATTCGGCGTATTTTATTAATATTCAGTCAAGAATACAATTTTACTCTACAGTATTTTCTATTCGTCAAATTTAACCGTTACAGTGCCTTCGGTCTTTTTGACCGTCAATTTGTAATATTCTAATTAATGTATAAATATTTGGAACAACTTATATTTTCCTTGACTTCAATACCTTTGCTCCTACTTTTAAAGAGTACCTAGTTTGTTTATATTTTGTTCTAATTTTATGTGTACACGGAATAACACTGTTTATTATAAAATACGTAAGTACATATTTTTGTTCGCCTTTAATCTTTATAGCTTATACTTAATTTGATATATTTAGTGTATAACATAACCAATTAGTTAGGTACAAACAGCTTTTTTATTTTTATTTTAGAAAACGAATATATACAATCTGTATAGACAATACAATAAGTAATAATAATAACAAAAATGTACAGGGCTTGACGGCTTGAATGAAGGGGGGCGTCCAGTAACGCTACTTCAACTAGGTACAAACAGCTATGGTAGAAAAGTGGATCGCAGGTCGAAAAGGGTTGAAGACCACTGGTATAGACGATATACTTTAAAATTATATTATGTAATTTTAAAATATAGCACGGGTCAGATAAAAAAGACTCGCGGACCGCCAGTTGCCCACCCCGGGTCTACATGAACTAACGCGCATTGTATGTTCGGCGTGCTCGCCTTAAGGTCAACAGGTTCAACGGTTATAGTAAAAACGGGAAGTATAACAAATATTTGTAAGAAGATTTTTGTGGTTGGGAAAAATTATTTGATATTTAATTCATTATTACAGTATAAACCATAGTGATGCTTACTATGTGTTATATGACTGTTTCAGTTCCCTAACCGATCGGTGTACCGGTATTTCGATATATCGGTCTTTTCAAATTATTTTGGTAAACGGTATACCGTGTAAAATGTATCAACGAGAAAACTTTTCTATTTATAAAATTACCTCCGTTTTTAGTATTGGGAATTCCGGTCCTAATCGGTTATTTACTATACAGCCCAGACCGCCAGGGTATAGGACTTTGTACAATTAACAAGAAACCCGATTTATTGTCATAATTTTGTCATCATGTTTAAACTATAGTAACTTTTGAGTTATTCTTGACCAAATTATGAATACCGATTATCGACGGTCGTAGTGGTTCTAGTTATTTGACAATTAAAAACAGTTCAACACCATCAGTCATCAAACATTCTAAATATCAAGTCATCATAAACGTATATAAATTGAAAACATAATACTCGGTATGTATATCTTATATTATTATGTTACTAATAATCTCAAATGAGTTAAAATTATAATAAATTTAAATTATTTACACCAAAAGCGGAGTTAATATTTACCTAATTATATTTCAGAAATGGCAAAACAACGTTCCAAAATTTGGATATACTTTTCTAAAAATAGTAAAGATAAAGGTTTATGCAATAAGGGCGCCTTCACACGTAACCACTCGGCAGCGCTTCTTAGCAGCGCTGCTGTTGGAAAAACATAAGTTTTTTATAGATGGTTTCACACACGACCACGGCCACTAATTTGAAGCGCCACGGACGGTATCAGTGGCTGGCTTCGCCGCAGAACGCGGAGTCTAAAAGTCGCGCTTCTCGAGACAGAACGTATTTTTAGATTGGGGGTTTCACACGTGACTAAAATCGCTCGACTATTTTTGCAGCCCGTTGGTAGCGCGTCAGTAGCGCATTAGTAGCGCGATTAATTCGTGTTTGATCAAACGATTTCAATTATTATCATTTTAATTTCAGTCTTTATTTGTCAGACTAAGTGCTGTGTCCTGTCAATGTTATTATCTCTTTTTATATTTTGAAACAATGACATTTGATTGTGCAAACATTAATATTGAAGATTTCATCAGTGAAATAGAAAACTGATCCGCAATTTGGGACCTAAAGCATGACGACTACAGCAATAAAAATGTAAAACGCAATGCGTGGGAAGCAGTAATAAGTAAATTTGTTCCCAATTTCAATGATATGTCTGAGGCTGAGAAAAAAGTAATTGGTAAGTAGAACATCGTTTATTATCATATTGAAACAAATTACACATATACATAGGCGTGCGCAGAACTTTAGTACAGTTGAGGCACATTTTTTCTTTTAGGTACCCGGCTAATATAATAGTTGTTTATAGCAATACCACAGTTACAGAAAAAAATTACATTTTATTGAAAAATACTTAATTATAATATCATAAATTTAAAAAAATAATAATAATGATAATAGAAATACAGAAACTAGTGAATAAAATAAAATAAATTTATATTTTTTTCATTTGCCACGATACTTGTCCCTCTTTCATAAAAAAATCAATAAGTTCTGTTCGAACGCATTTGGTTGCATTTCCTGGTTGAGAATTGTCCACAGGTTTGGGTGGTGGTAATTTAATTTTGTTAGTTTTTAACAATTTATATAGCGTTGAGTTTTTAAAAGTTGTTGAATCACTTGATTTTCCTGGTGCTCCTACGTCAATGTATAAAAATTTGTAATTTGAATCACACGCTGCCAGTAAGAGAATGGAAAAAAAATGTTTATAATTGAAGTTCATTGATGCACTGCCCTTTGGCTTAATTACTTGAATATGTTTCCCATCGATGGCTCCAATAACGTGTGGAAAATTAGCTCGTTCTTCAAATTCTGTAGCAACTTTTGCTAGTAGTTCTTCCGTGATTGTAGGGAAACAACTTTTTTTAAATGTGGCCCAGAGAGATTCGCACACTTCTCGAACAATGTTAGATATTGTTGATAATCTAATGCGATAATCGATGTGAAGATCGCTCATCGTGTATCCAGACCCGAGATATCTAAAAACAAATAATATTTAAACTAATGATTTTTTCATGTCACAGGTAATTCATATCAACGAAAATGGAAAAGTCTACGCGATTCATATACACGAGAATTGGCAAAGCAAAAGAATGATATGAAATCAGGTTCTACAACAAAATTTCGAAAAAAATACATATTTTTTGATCAACTCAGATTTTTAGATACTACCACAAAACCTACAGATGATAGTATAGAGTTGAGCGATCATGAAAGAAATTTAGAAGAAATTGAAGCAGTACCTGAAGAAAATATTAATAAAATGCCTTATAAAGGAAAGCCTAAGAAACGGCATTCTGACGAAGACCTCTTGGAAGTTCTAAAAAAAAAATATTATCAACAAGAGACAAAAAAAAGTTTGGATTCTGAAAACGAAGACCGATTATTTTTATTATCCCTATGTAAAGACTTACAATCTATACCAGATCATATGAAACTAAATGTAAAGACACAAATGATGAATTTAATAGCGTCTGCCAAACAAACAACTTGTGCTACTTTTTCAGGTCAGCTCTATCCTTTAACCACTATAAATCAATACTCACATCCGAATCCGATATGTCCACAGTTTAATATAAACTCTTATTCAAGCCAACCTGTACAACCTGCCATACGGACCAACGTAAATCGGCCCCTAAATACGCAATCTGAATTTGGAATCGAAATACCTGTATACAAGAACCAAACGCGAGCGCAGCATCAAGACCAGTTATGGTCTTCAACTTATAGCCCCGAAGATGCATCCTCTGTTCAAAGCGATTTATCTAATGATGTATTTAGCAATTAAAAGTAACTCTCAAAAAGTATGTCAACAATTGTTTTTTAGTTTATAAGAATTAAAAAAGGTATTTAATTTAATTAAATTTTTTTATTACAGTTTTTTATTTAATATAATATCTTGTTTAGATATATTAATATTTATTTTGAAAAGATATTTCATTTATTTTCAAAAAAATGTTAAGTATATTTCTTATAATAAAGCATAACACTTTAAATATTGTAAATTTATTATTCTTACCTCAGAGTTAAAGCTAGTTTTTCATTCGGAGGAATGGACTTCCTCATGACAGTATCTTGTTTCCTTATATTATTTTTGATACCAGATAAAAGTTTTTTGAATGTATTCTTCGACATACGAAAATATGAGAAGAATTTTTCATCATCTCCTTCCAAGTCATCAAACAGTGTATAAAATAATCCTTTGTTCGGTCTTTCTAGAAGCAATGGCTTCACCCAGAATCTTCTCGGTGTATTTTTACGTTTCTTTTTTTTTAATTAATAGCATCGCCAACAATAGTTTAGTTTCCAGGTCAATTTTGAGAATGATGTAGTGCTCTCGTGTTCACAAATATTGTCTACCGATACATTTTCGCAGCACCACTAACGCGCTTTTTAAAACAATAGCAGCGTCACTGACGCGCTTTTAAAAACAATAGCAACGTCACTGACGTGCTTCTAAAAATATTCGCAGCGCCACTGACACGCTTCTAAAAATATTCGCAGCGCTACTGACGCGCTGCTAAGAAGCGCTGCCGAGTGGCTACGTGTGAAGGCGCCCTAAGTGTTAAAAATCATTTGAAGCTAAAGGTGGGAATACGAGCAACTTAATATCACATCTGAGGTCTCACCACCCTAACATTCATTTGGAGTTTAAAAACCTAGTCTTTTGTATCACGGTATGGATACTTATACAATTACATACATTTAATATTTATGATTATCTTTTATTTTTTAGACTTAAGTTTCATTAAATTTAATAAATATTATATATTTTACTATATATTTTTTGATTTATTAATGATAATGTTGATGAAAATGATGAAAACGAAGTAAATATTGAACAAACTGATGAAAGTCTAGATGTTTATCAATCTTTACCATCAACATCAACAGTAGATAGTATACCTTTTTCTCCAATTCAATATTATTTATTATAATTTCAATATTAGTTTTTGGGGATGAAAAAAATTATAATTATTATAATTTATTAAATATTATACTACCTAAATAATAATATATTATGTGTAAATTCATAGTTGTAAAAGGAATGTATGTTTACTCTCAGGCATGACCATCTTCAGGAATTCAAAAGGTATACAGTTTTAAACATTTAATTATTTTATTATTATTTTTTCTTAACTGAACTATATCTTTATACGATTGTACCTATATTAAAATATTTATCATTGTATAGAAAATGTTAATGTTTATTTTATTACTAATAACAAGGTCAATAATTTTAATAGTTAAGTAGGATTACAACTTTTTTATTCATACATCTATTTACAAAATAAATATTGTATAGAAATTAATTTAAACATAATTTTGTTTTATTTATATTTTTTAGAAGTGTGAATCTTAAACAATTTAAAATTACTAATGTATTTAAGAAATCGGATAAAAAACGAGTGAACGGTACACCAATGCATAGCATATTGGATAGCTACTGACATGCAACCATATTGCTCAGTATCAAAAAAAAGGTTTTAAGCATCTGATGTCAGTAATATGTCCAGGATATGAAGTACCTAGTCGTCAAGTATTTACAGAAAATAAAATACCTGCTTTATATTATGAAGTAAAATGTAAAATAATGCAACAATAAAGTTCAGTTCAATTTTTAGCTTTAAAATTTGATTGTTGGATTTCGAACGCACAACATCCATATATAGGAATAACGGTGCACGATATCGATAATGACTGTATGATGCAAACAAATTGTTTAATATGCACCAGCTTAGATGTAGACCATACATCTTTTAATTTACGCGATATTATTGAATCAACACTAGTTGATTGGGGTATTCAAATATCAAATATTTCTGGTGCAACCACAGACAATGAAACAAATGTGATTAAAGCTGTTGAACTATTTGGAATCAATGATATTAGTTGTTTTGGTCATACGCTTAACAATGGTCTTACGTCTTCGATGTCATTAAGCCCTGTTCAAACACTATTATCTAAAATTTCTAAACTGAGATTTAAGTTTCATTACAGATTTAAACTGCGCAGATTACTTAAAGAAGCACAAAAAAACATTGCCTGCCTCAAATTGTTATGCCTATATCTTGTGTGACAAGATGGCAGACAAGCTTGCCAGCACTTCAGTTCATAAGAGATCAACAAAAAGCTCTCTTTGATGTTTTATATAAATTGAAATCTAATAGTATAAAATACCTCCCAAATTGTAACCATTTTTTAAACGATACGATAGTAATCAAACCAGACCAGTTTTACAAAAAATAAGTTTTCTGGATCCAAGATACAGAAGTCCTTACATCGAATTGGCACAAAAGGATTTTATCATATGCTTAATAAAACAAAAAATGGATGACATTGGACACCAAATGGAAATTGATGATCATGACAAAAACACAAATATTGGAGATTGGTTTAATAATAATTATTGAAATAATAAACAAAATAATATGTAAAACTAATTTGGGCTAAATGTTCACAATATTATATGATTGGCTGCATTTTTGGGAAATCTTTCAAACATACCTGTTGAAACAAATTCCATACAAGATTTAAACCAAATAGAACTTGATAAGTATTTATCATTGCCAAGTGTTGGTTTGAATTGTAATTCTTTACAATGGTGGAAAATATTCCATTCAGAATTTCCAACATTGGCAAAATTAGCTATGAAGTACTTGTGTATACAAGGCACAAGTGTACCAAGTGAACAGATTTTTAGTTGTGCTGGTAATGTCATTACTGATCACCAATCCTCATTGTCTCCAGAACATGCTGAAGAGTTAATTTTTTTGTCTATGAATGCGAAGTATGTTTCTAAGTGACTTACTGTGACATATAGTTCACCTACACAAATAACTGCTGTTACATTGTTTTTTTTTATTGTTATTCTTTCGCAAGACGCAACATTGTTACCTATATTATTTCTTTTTCTTTTTTTGTCTAATTCCTAAATGAATCTATCAGTAATTAAAATTGTAATGACTATAATAAATATTTCTAAGTTTTCTTACTAACATGATATGCTTGCAGGTTGGATGATTTACAGTGAACTTTTTATTTTCTGCAAGTTATTATTTTTTGAAGTATTGTCAATCTGGATGACTTGAAATAGTTTCATTTTTTATTTATCATAAAAATATATTATTTTTTCAAGATTTAGTAATAAGTGAACCATTCTTGGATTAAAATATTTACTGCATTCATCTTATTTTGCAGTCAAAAATTAAAATTAATTTTGAATTGTTATCTTTAGTAATTTAGTGTAATATTAAGTAAATTTAAAATAAGTTATTGAAAAATTTTTGCTATAACACATTCGATTAGCAAAAAATAATAATTTGGACAAGTAGGTATATCATCAAAACGACTATTGTACATATCATTTAGTTAAGTTACTTTGCTTCAAATTAATTACTTTTAAAGTTTTAACCTATACTGTAGCAGTAGAAAGATAAAAAATACCTATTCATGTAATTGTGTTGTTTTATAGGTACCTATATATGTCGATATCCCATAGGTAGGGATAGTTTAAAAAAAAATCCATTTGTTTCATTAGTAATAACCTACTTATGATTTTTCAAAATATTGAAGCAAAGTACAATAATTTACATAAAGTAACTTTATTTGAAGTAAACAAAAATAATTATAAGTGCAAGTTTTAGTGCTTGCTGTTTTCCAGTATCAATGGAAATAATATAGATTATAATATTATGTATAGTATACCTAATATAAAGACATAAAGTATAATATACTGTGAAACAATATTAACGTAATAAAATATCGATACTAGTTAGATTTTATTTATTATTTCGGTATACCGTACCATATCAGTGTTTAGGTATACTGGAACTTTTCGGTTTTTTGGTATACCGAAATAATTCAATTTTTCGGTATACCGTTTGAAACCAGTATTGAAATCAATATTGTAATTCCGAAAATTATTTTCAATACTGTCAGCCCTAGCTTATACAATCACATAACGGAAATACAAATAGCCAGATATGAAAATACTACACTCGGATAGTCGGATATTCCTAATAAGTACATAGATACTAATTAGTTATTAATAATAACTAGTAACTAACTGTAATTATTTTATTACAAATGAAATATTTTCAAATTGTAATAGTTCTTACTATACCTAGCCTATAGATACGCTTCATACAATGTACATATTAATATATTATTATAACTTTTTAAATTATTTTTGTTCGTGTTTATATGACAAATATATTAAAACAAATATACCTAATAAGTCAATAATAACACTTAATTCTATAAAATAAAAAGCCGCCCTAGGCATAAGCTTTTTAGCCTGCCTCCTCATCCGCCACTGGGATTAGTAATGAATAGGGCAGAGGACTTGTAGCTCTAAAAATTCACCAAATATGCATTAAAAATATGCACTTAAATACACAAAATATGTATTTTTTAACAAAAAATAAGAATTTTTCTATAGATACTTATTATTATGAATACATTTTATTTACAACTTTATTTCACAACTTACAAATTACAATTAAACAATTGGGTTTATTTCATGGGTTTTTTTATCTGGATACTTATTTTAGGCATTTTTTATAATAAATAGTTAAAATAACGTGTTTGGGCTGTCAACCGTTGAGAAACACAGCAATTACTGAAATATGAAAAACACCATTGTTAAAGATTTTTATTTTTAACATGGATATGTTTTAATGTTGGGGGTTTCCGAAAATTTGTAATGACTGAGAATGTTGTTTATGAGATAGTTTAAAATTTTATGTTTATAAAATATGTTTATTTTTTTAAGAAAATATAAGGTGAATTTTGAGTGACTAATAAAAAAAATGTTTATTACAATGTAGCTTTTATACTTTTAAAAGATTATAAATTATTAAAAAAATTGAGTTTCTTATTTCTCTGATGGTGTAAAGAGTCGAGAAGTCTTATAGTGTTAAAGTAATTTTTTTGTAATAGTGTTTTCTCCTTCCCTTCCCCCCAAAAATCAAATACATAATCGGCCCCCTCTGAAATAAAAACCTACATACGCCACTAATTAAAGATAGTAAAACATTAATTTATTTTCTTATCTTATAGGCTATAAGTTATAATAATAGAAATTTAATTAAATAAATACTTTTTTATTATTTGATTTTACTATTAAATTGTATTATTTGTATATTTAATACTTAACAGAACTTATTTATAAAAACATAAAATTGTATCTCAAATATAATGTACTGTAGTTTGGGGTGAATAGGAACAATTTTAACGGTTTTTTATAGATTATGAGCTCATTTTTTATGGTATCGATATCACGAAAATTGTTGTATAAAGATCACATATATAGAAATATATAATATACCAAAAATAAAGTATATAAGGTTCGCGTAATAATGATTGTCATAAACCGAGGAGGAGTCAGTATTTCCCAACTTTAAATAAACTGTGAATGTGTATTGAAAAGAAAATATTATCTGATTTCTGAGTACATAATAGTAAGTAAATATCAACTATTTACCGATTTTACCACTTAATCATCAGACAAAGAATTGCCGACTTTTTAAAATTTCTTGGATTGGGGAATTTGCCATAGTCTGCCCCCCCCCCCCAAATGACGTCTCTGATTGTTGAGCCAAATTTTTATAAAGGCTAAATAAAAAAAATTAATAAATAAAAAAAACTATTCTGTGATAAAACAACAAAAAGCTGCTGAGTTGTTATCATGATTCACGATACTTCTTAGCTGTTATCTCTGGCTTTTGTTTATTTTTAATATTCTAGAAGTTTCTATTTTCATTTAGAGTAATGTAATGATTATTAACTATTCACATTTATTTGACGGTTTCACCACATGTAAATATTTAATATTAAAGTATTCTTTCAACTGCATTTGAGTTCCGTAGATTCCTAGCGTGTACATTTGAAATTAAATAACAGTTGCAGTCGAAACAGTTCTTCAATTTCATTTGATCTGTCTACAAATATAGTTGTAAGAATTAATAATGTATTATAAATATTTAAGAATTAATATGATCATTACTGTTTTATAAAAATGTTTCAAATTTAAATTTTGTTGTTAAATTTGCATTAAACATAATATTTCTTCATTCTAGAAATATTTATCACTAACCATTATATAAAAATAATTAAATTAACGAAAACTGTAGTGACTAAATTTTCAGTGAAAAAAAAAATTCTTGGCAAGCCAAGAACTTAAACTTTTTCTTTTAAGTTAATAGAATATTATATTTTATTGTAAATACATATTAATATAGGTACAGGTATAAATTTAATTATTTTTTTGGGAATGTCTACTGGTTGGTGTCTCTTGTACAAATATTATATTTAAAAATTATGATTTATACTGGCATTAATTAAAGACTATTAAAAACGCGTTCGAGTTATTATTCATATTAATACGACTCAATAGTTATAAATGAAAAGAAAATATAATTATCTTTTTTTTTTTTTTTAATGTAAGTATTGTTTTTGTTTATTTTTTTCACAAAGAACATCAATATTAAGTCCTAATTTGATAGAATTTATCTGAAGAACAATATGGAGATGTTTATTTATTTGAAACCAAGTTTTGCTTTTATTAATTTTCATAGTTGAAAATACTTGCTCAAAAATATAAGTTGAAGAAAATTATTTTATACCAAATTTCATAGTTAAAATGCAATTTAATAATTACTAATTAACTAATAAATTATTTATTCTATTTGTGTATCACTATATATAATATATATAATATTAGTTATGTTGTTAAGAAAAACCATTTAACTATTTATTTCATTAATTATATTCAATACTATGTCACTAAGACTTATTTTTTAGCTTAAGTCATAAATAACTAAATTCCAAAGTATATCAATGTTCTTTTTTGTTCTTCTCCTTCGCCTTTCTTCCATCCATTTGGGATTGACCTCTCTTGTCCTAAACCAGCGGTTCTTAACCATAGGGTCGCGACCCAATTTTGGGTCGCCAATAATTTTAAATAGGTCGGATAAAAATTTAAAACTTTAGTATAATATTTTTATTTTTAAGTCTTATAAATAATAAATGAAACCTCATGTACGTTGGTTATCACGGAGAAAAATTTTAACGAGATTTTTTGAATTAAGAACTGAAATAGAAGTATTTTTAAGAGAAAAAAATTCACTGTTATCCATCCATTTTCAAGATATAATTTGGTTGACAAAAGTTGCGTATCTATCAGATATTTTTTCGTTATTAAATGAGTTAAATTTGAGTATGCAAAGGCCATTAACTAATATTTTTACATGTTGTAATAAAGATATTAATTACAATCAAAACCAAATCAAGAAACAAGCTTGATGTCGAACCCACGATGCGTATTTCACTTACTTAACTCCATAGAAGAACTCTAAATTGATTCATTGGTAAAGCAACATCAAGACCAAGGAAGTCATTAAATTAAAAATTATTTAAAAAACAATACAATATTATTAAAAGAAATGTTTATTTTTAAATATAATGTAATTAATATTATGACTTGTTATGAATACAAGTAATATGAGAAAAAATGTTATTCAATTAAGAATACCAAATAGTTATTTTTTATTCTGCCATTGAATATTATTTATAAAAAGGTCGCAGGAAAAATTTGGTAAATATTTTGGGTCGCCACTACACAAAGGTTAAGAACCGATGTCCTAAACTTCCACTCATTTTGATTTTCTACATATCCTATGCATACACCAACGGCCCTCATATTATTCTCAATCGTATTCAACGATATCTTTTTTGGTTTTCCTCATCCTCTTTTCCCTTCAACATTTAATAACAACAGCTCTTACTGCATTTGATTCCTCTTGTCTCATCACATGCCCAAACCATCTTAGTTGATTTTCTCTCATCTTATCCACTATAGAAGCTACACCAATACTACCTCTCACATATTCATTCCTTATTCTATCTTGTCACTCCATTTATCCAATTATCCATTCTCATTTTCGTAACACTCATACTCTGTTCTATTTTGCTGTCAACCATCCAACAATGAACCATATAGTGTAGTTGGGCTCCCTACATTCCTGTAAAATTTAAAAAATTTCATTGGAATTCTGTTATAGAATAAAATGCCAGACGTTTCTCTCCATTTCATTCAACCGTACTTAATCCTATGTTTTGATAACTCATCAGCTTTATTCTTCTCAAGTATATCAATATTAGTTATATAATTTTTGATAAAGTATTACAAAATGTATAGTACTTATTAAATTCTATGGAAAAGATTATAATTACATTTTAATAATTTCTAATTAATATAAAAAATTAATAAGAGTATTAATAAGTATTATTTATTTTGTAATTTTGTGTACTTAGTTATTTTATAAATTGATAATTATTTTCTATTTGGTCAAATTTCAATTATTAAACACCTAAGACCATGAACTTACTTTTTATTAATATTTTTGTTTTCAGAAATTAAAATTCATTATGGCCTGTAGTGTAAATGAAGAAAATAAAGCTGTTATAAAAAGAGATTGGTATCAATCTCAGACTCATGTGATTATTAATATTTTGGGTAAACATTCATCTAAAGAAGATTGTTTTATAACATTTGATAAAGATGAATTAACTGTACAAGCCAAATTTGCCACGGGACAACCATATACACTAAATTTAAAACTTAGTAAACAAATTATTCCTGAGCTTAGTAGCTATAAATTTTTATCATCAAAACTAGAAGTATTTCTTGCTAAAACTGTAGCAGAAAGATGGGATGTATTGGAAAAAGCTGTAGTCAAGACATCTCAAAGCTCCACTGGGCAAGGACGTAACTGGGATAAACTAGTCAGAGATATGACAAAGGATGAAGATGATAGTGACGTTAACACACTTTTTAAGAAAATTTATTCAGAAGGTAATGATGAAGTACGTAAGGCCATGAACAAATCATTTATGGAATCTGGAGGTACTGTTTTAAGTACCAACTGGGAAGATGTTTGTAAGGACAAAGTAGAAATTAAACCCCCAGAAGGTATGGAATGGAAAAAATGGGATGAATAATTTTTTCTTTTTTTCTACAAATTGTATAATTAAATTATAATGTAATTTATAATTTTTAAGTTTTGATTTTCTCTCAAAATATTATAAATATTGAATCACTTTTATAAATGTATCTTAAAATGATTGTATAGTATACATATTATAAAATCATTTTTAAATGAACGAATATTATTATTTTTTATAATATTCACTTTTAATGAAATATGCTTTTAACCACACATTTCCTTAACATAATTTTAAATTAAAAATTTATTATAAAACCTAGTTGAAATTATGTAATATTTTTTTTTTTAATATTTATCATATACCTATGTATTGAAAATATAATATTCATGTGTATTTTGATTCTGAGCAGATTGAGGAAAATATTGGTTTCACCATTCACCATGATGTGGAATTTTTTTTGCAGATACCCATGTGATTTTGACCATCAACTTGTTTTAATTTTCTTTTTTAATAAAAAACTGTCTATTTGTGCATTTTTTTTTAAATTTTATCTATTTTTTTCTAAATAATTTAGAAAAACTAACAACAAATGCTATAAAGTGGCAACATTTTTGCAATACTGATATTCAACAAAATCAAATTTATTGATGAGAAGAGGTTTAAGCCTTCCACAAATCTGTTATGATTAAAATGAAAATCCCTCTCTTCATATAGGTAGCTAAATTTACGAAAAAATTTTCAAGTGAGAGGTAGGTGTAAGATGTGCAGTGAAACACAAGCTGAAGCAAAGCCATTTAATTCAAAATCATGGACATTTTTTAGAACTTTTATTATTATTGATTACTATAGCATACCAAAAAATCCATTAATTCAATATGATAAAAATAATAAGTCTTAGGTTACTAGGTTACGTTTATGTCAAAACATTTTATTAATGATTAAATAATTAAGCCCATTGGTTTAAATTAAAAATAATATATATTATTAAAGAAATTCATTGTTAATATTTCTTTACAATGATCAACAGTTATCAGATACAAATGTAATGAATCAACTTAGTAACAATACACTAATATAAACGGCTCTATACAATAAAAATTAATTACTTGTTTGGGAGGATTCTAGTGAAATAGCATTATAAAACTTATTGGAAAAAGTATTCTTGTCATTGAAGCTTTAATTCGAAAATATGATTTCCTGTGTATTCAAAGGTGCAGCATATTTGAATGATATGTACATACAATAGATTTCAATCATTTTAAAGAGAAAAATCAAAATATTATTTGTACTCATTGCATGACACATGTCTTAAAATTCGTGATTTTACAATAATATGTTTAGTTAATCTTTTTAAATTAGATGAGCAATCTGCAGTTTTTCTTTTTGAATCTTATAAGAGAATGAATTGTTAGAAGAGTGTAGGGTCTAATAAATTAGGTTATAATAAGCTGTATAAAATTAAAATAATTGGTGCAACTCTTTGGTTGAATGATAAAGATATGGTAGTTCAACTATTTATATGCATAAGTTTTCAATCTTAGAAAATAATACTATTAATAATTGAAAATTTGTTACATTTCTTCAATTTTTAATTGGGATCATACAAGGAAACTTAAACAATTTTACAAAGTTTGTTAGCTAAATTATTATAAGAAAAGTTTTCAAATATTGAAACTATTTTTATGGCTTCACTAATTTTAGTTATATTTTGTGTATATATTTTTTTAAAGCAATTAATTCAACTATGCACAAGCTTAGTCAATGGTTACCATTTTAAAAAATGAAGAAACAACAAAATTGATTCTTTGTATTAATTTTTTTTAATATTTTAAAGAAAAACTCAATGGTTTTCTTCAAAATAACTAGAAATAGACATCCATGAAAATTTTGAAGAAAAATAAAATATTTTAACAATTATTCTGATAAGAATTATGATGACAAAATATTAATCCTATCCAGCGCCATAAAATAATATTTTTTTCGATTCTTGATTGCATACTTAATAGCATCCAAAAAAATTTGTCAAGATTGTGAGCTTAAAGAATATATTGATGATGCTTTAATTAAAAGAACAGTAACCTGACATCAACAGGAGAAACTGTAATTGAACTAAAACAATTTGCTTCTCATTATTATATTAGTATTGTTCCAAAAAAATTAATATTATATTTTAACTTTTACATAACAGGTAATATGAATATTTCAACAAATTTGTTGATGAATAATGTCATAGATATAGGTTAATTTATATTCTCTAAATATAACAAATATGATATTTTGTCTTAAAAAATACAAATATATTTTCAACATTTTTTAAAAAAAATATTATTATAATTTGTTTGATTTTATCAATTACTGTTATTATTAATTTGATTTACAATAGATTTTTTAAAAAATCACCAATTTTAACCATAAGGTGGATTACCCCTAATATCTAGTGATTAATTTTTATAATAACCCAGGATATGAAAATTCCATTACGAATATTATATTTATTGATCAATATTATCAAATTTTTTATTTTTTAGAAATTGGTTAGAAAATTTAATTTAAGAGGAAATAATTAAATTGATAATTACAAAAAACATAATATTTAATGACAAATACCCTTGTCATTAATATAAAAATTAGTTTTCTAATAGATTATCATGACCAGAAATAAGATATAACAAGGACTTTTTAATTTCAATTAAAAAAATTGTAAAACAGTGTTTATAATGTGGTCTTTATTTAAAATATAATAAATTGAATTACACATTAGTACAAACGTTGTGGTGGACCCATTGTTGACTTGATGTGCAGTGACCTAACATTTTGCCAGTGTTTCTTCAACAACGAAACTAAGAAATTAATAGAAAGATGAATGTTCTGGGCCAATTCTTCGGATTTCATATCAACATGTCCAACAGCAACACACAAACATAATACCTAAAATTGAATTAAACAATGTTTAGAAATTAAAAAAAGAAACAATAACAAAAAAAATCAACCTTCTTCATTTGGAATTTAATGGTAGCTTTTACTTCATCAATTTTCATGTTCATTGACTCTTGATGGGATAAAAGACCAGGAAACTTGCCAGCTTTGTTTAAACCCGGTCCCAACAAACGTGGAATCTGTTTAATAAGGGCCTCACTAGCCAAAAAAGCATCATATCTTTTAGCCAATTTCTTAACTAACTTTTTGTTTTTGTTAAGCTTTTTCAAAGCTTCAACATCCATGAATGGTACTTTGGCAACCTATAATAAATACATAGAGTTCAAAATTTTACAAAAAAAAATATCACATGGCATCCAGTTAACAAATTAACTAGTTAAAAAATATTTAAATCTTTAACAGCTATACATTTTATTTGTTTAACATATAAACTAAAGTGTTTACCTCGGCTTCATCACAATGCTGTTGATCACCAAGAATGCAAACCTTCATCTTGGGCCTAGGGATGTGCTTCAGTTTAATAGTACCTGAGAAACGCTTATCCTTTTGGGGGTCATAGTTCTTTAGACCAATTTGCAATTCAACGGTTTGCAAAAAGTTTTTCTTGTTGGTTTTAGCTTGCAACAAAACCGCGTTGACGGCTTCGTACAAGGTATCCTTAGATACTTTCGAAGACATGTTGTGTGCGCCAACAAAGAACAGTGACTAGAAAATAATTAAAAAAATGTTTATTTGAATATGAAAGACGAAAACCACATTAATAAGTAAAAAAACTTACCGAAAAGACACGAGTGAAAAAATGAACAGGATACAACTCTGAAAAATAAATTATAGGTTATGTTGCATCTACAATTTATTATAACTACCAACCAACAGGCGGCCGACTTTTTCTACAACTCAAACACTGCACAATGGTCATGAGTGGTGTACATTTATTGGACCGTGGTTACTATTGTTAATTTAGTATCTAGCTATGTTTAATGATATTAAAAATGATACTAAATCAAAACAAAATATTTTTTTTTCTAACAAAATCATTTTATTATATATTCATATGAAATGTAAGATTATAACTATTCATATTGCTTCTTATTTGTGAAAATATAAATACAAGCAATATTCTTATACTTTCATACTACCTATGATATTTAAAAAAAATGTTTGATGTAGTGTGTACTACGGTAAATGGAGGAATTCCGATATTTTACCGAAAAAATAGTAAAACAGACTCAGTAAGTGAATTAAGACTTTAGTGCTCACTTATTACCCTATACATTTAATGTTATGTGATATTTTATGAAATAGGAAGAAGAGAATATTTCATATTATTATATATAATTTATACATAAAACATCAATAAAATAAAAAAATAAATTTAATTATTTTATTCAATTTTAAAGTAATCCTATTAAAAATTCAACTGTATGAATTTTGTATACAAAAAAAACCTTATTTTATAAATATTTTATATTGTTTTTGTAAGTTCAGAATTTTTTAATAACAATCTACAATAAAAAAAAAAATTGATTGTTTTGATGATTTAGTCAATTTAAATTTATATATATAAATTAAAAAAATAACGTTTTACAGATTTTATTTAATTTTGAACATTCTAACATTTATAGGTACCTTTTACAACTTTTTCAACATTGAATGCAGTTATAACATTTGCAGATATACAAAATGTTAAATTTAAAGCGATTCATACAGATAAACACTCGTTTATTTGGCATGGAATTGGTGATAGGTATGTTTTATTATACTTTTCGTTTTAAATATTTTTCCAAACCAAATTATTGTATTTGCTTAGTATTAGGAGTATATAATACACTTTTTTAATTTACCTATATAATATAATATATTAATATTATTTATACTTCTATTGTGTAGTTTAATTGTGGCAGGCATTGGTGATTTGAATGATTCAACAATAAAAACTGGTTTAGAACTAATAGCAACTCTGATAAAAATGATAATCGGAGATGAAAATATTCACCATAAAAATGCAGATAGAATAAAACGGGAAATAAAAGTTTGTTCATGAATTACATTTCAATTTTTTTGACTTTATATTAATAATTATTATATTTTTACTTGAAATTTAATATTTATTGTTTAGCCTTGTCTACCAATTATTGACTACATATTGAAGAACTTATCATTATGTATAATAGAAAAAAGTTTAATAAATTTTATAGAAACTCAATCAATGAAAGACAATAAAGTGATACATGTAAACTGTTTTAATTTTAATATATTTACATCCTAGTAATCTAAGAAAACTAAAAAGTGATTAATAATTTCTGATTTTAATTTATAGAATTGTTTATCAAATTGGTCAGAAACTATTTGTAGTGATTTATGCTGGATTATTGTGGATAAGAAATTATGTGTTGCGACAAAGGATTGGTGGGATTTACATATTAGTGATAGAAAATTATTAATAACAATCATTTTAGCTACTTGTTATGATAAAAATACATCAGCTGATATACCAATTTTCTTACCTCATTCAAGTACTAAGGTAAATTATTTACTAATAAATATATGTATGCCATTGCTTGTTATGTAAAACTTATCTGGAGAAAAATACTTATTTTTTAAAAATAAGGAATAATTTTTAAATTTAGTTAATATAATATGTAGGCTTAGGGATTTATAGCTCTAAAAATACACAAACATGCATGCAAATATGCTTCTAAAATCATTAAAATAAGCATTATAATACGCATTTATAGGCATTAAAAAAAATAAATAAATAAATAACCACACAGTACACAAAATAAAACGTGTCCATCGGATGTAAATGTATCTTTAAACATCAAAACAAAACTTTATAGTCGGCTACTCGTAGACTGCTGTACTTTCGACATTACATAAAGTTACAAAATATACACATATACGACGTTGTGTAATTGCGAGTCGCAAAAACATCAACGGATAATAATCGACTGAACACTAAACAAATAATCTATTTTTCTATATCGATTATTATCTTTAACGACATGCGGTCGATGTCCATCGGGTTATATGGTTAATAAGGGCTTATAGTATTATTTATACTTTCACAATAATTATAATGAAATATGAGAGGTAGTTTGCACATAGCATATTACTGGAAATTATTATTATTATATATTATTAAATCCTCTTAGTACAATTTTTTTTTTCGATCGGTTGAAATATGTAAGTATAGTTTTTAATTTTAAATTTGGAAAATTTGTCAAAATATATAAGCATAAAAATTTTAAAATATTCACTCTCCTGCAATATCTATCAAATATGCAAAAATATGCACATTCAAATTTTAGATCTGATATGACATCGAGAAACGAATTTATTTCGCACTCAACTATATTTAACAATAATTAAAAAAAAGTATGCAGATGCTTAGGGTTGCCATAAGTCCCGGAAAACCGAGATTGTCACCGGTTTTGGACTTCGCGTCCCGGTGTCCCGAAAAATGGTTTCGGGACGTCCATATGTCCCGGCTTAGACGTTTAGAGGAAATGTATTTTTTTTATTTTTAATTTCGACTATTTTATCTCAAAATACAGTTTTAATCGTAATCGATTACACAATACAATATATAATAATTTACACATATTATATATAATATATTTTATTTTACAAAATTTTTTTTAAATATATTACCGGCCATTAATGGTCCTCTTCAGTGGCGTATACATAACTTTTGTATATGGGGGATTATTTACAAACAAATCGTTATTTTTATTTTATCATAATTTTTATTTTTTTACGTTTTTAACGCCCTTACTCTAAGAACATTATTTTATAACAATTTAAAAAATGCCTAGGGGAGATCTGACCTCCACATCTCCCTTTTGTATACGCCACTTGTCCTTTCAATATATTAAAAGTTATATAAAAAGTATAGTACTCAATATTGTGTTTGTGTTGTCCTGGTTTTGCTTTATAAATGTATGGCGACCCTATAAATGCTAGAAATCCCTAAGCCTATTAATATGTTTATTGAAAATTCTTTAGTTGTTTAAAATACTAATATTTTTTAATTGAATTATTATATTTCTTTTTCTGCTGTTTAATATAAGAATTTTTTGTTACTTTATTACTTTTTTTTTTTTTTTTTTTATCTAAGTCAAGTCAATAAAATATGTTAAATAAATTTGATAATTTTTATTCGTTTTCAGGTACTTTTAAGACTTGTATGTTGCATGATTGTACAAGGAGTATGGACAGCAGCTATTTGTGGACCTACACCAAATTTAGATGATATTGAAATCAGTGCTGCTAAAAGTTTTAGAACAATTGTTAATTATTTCCGTCCTAATTATACTAAATTTGAATTAACATCTGGGTAAATTATAATAATTATTATATTTTTTCAATATGAGATGTGTTATATATCACATTGCTTCTTAAACAGTGTACTAAGTTTTTTGCTTACTTTTTTATTTTAGATGTATTGTTATAAATACAAATAATTTCACTTTTATGCAAAATTATTACTCAAATAATGATGTCCAAAATGGAATTATACTGTTCTACAATAAAATTGCAGCACGTCTTATGAATGGTATAAATTATATACTATTAATCAAACATGAATTAAATATTTGTTTTATTTATTTTCATAGTACTTTAATCAAATCTTGTACAAAAGTATATTTTGATTTTCCTAAAAAATATTTCAAAAACAAATTTTCTTGAAAACTATATGTATTCCTTTTACATCATAGGCATACTTAGGGGATATGCAGGGTATGCAACTACATACCCTAAACATAGAGCCTTCTTTCTAAAATTAATAAAATTAATTTAAAAAAATAAATAAAAATTATGACATATTTGGTCTTATGTATATTATGTGTAATTTATTTATTATTGTATTACATTATAATTTTCATTATATTTTTATATTCAGTCCCAGACAGTGCAATTTATTTTTGAAACATAAATCATATGCTAGAATAATGATTTAATGTGTTAATAAAATTAAGAATTATAATAATTCAAGCGAGATTAAATAGCTATCAACTACAGAACAAGAAATGGCTTTAAATTAAAATCTCAAAAACATTATTGGTGATATTAAGAACTCAACTGTACGCAAATTAATTTTGTTTACCAAATTTATTTTGTTTTTCATTTAAGTATATAATTACGTTTTTATTTATTTTAAATTTGAATTATGAAGACAGTTATAACGATTAAGAAATGGCTATTCAGTCACTTTTTTCAGGAAAAAAAAATTAAAATTTTAAATTAAATAGTTAATAAGACCAGAATTTCGAATGTTTAAATTTACTTTCAGTTTTAGGCGGGGGTAGGCAGTGGCAGCCATTTGCATACCCTAAAAAATAGGTCTGTGCACCCTTATGTTATACATTATATATACAATATAATTTTTAGATGATATGGCAAAGGAAGTATCAAGTATGGGGAAAAATCATAATTATTATGCTATACAATCAAATGGCATCACATTATGTTTAGCATATCCAAATAAACATAATATGGTAACAATTAGGTAAATATTTTATTCAATGTTAGTCAAACATATTTTACGTGAGTAATTACAAATAATTTTATGTATTGCTAATATAAAATAATATTTTCATGTTAAATGGGATTCATATAAATTCCAATCATTGTTTTAAAAGAAAATGTTATTTATATATTTTTTTTTGTTGTTGTGTTATTAAACAGATATTATGCCAAACAATCATTTCAACAATTTTTAACAGATATCAATATTTGAAAATAATCAAAATAAATATATGGTATTAATACATTTTTATTTAAGACCTATTAATAAAAGTATATAAGTATGTGATGTTTAAAATATATTACAATTAGTAATTTAAAATACAATTTATCTATAAACAATCAGTATTATACTAATTACTATTTATTAATGTTATAAAATAAAATGTTCAAGTATTACATATTTTATTTTTAATTAAATTCAGTATTTTTGTGTATAATTAAAATTATTTTTTGTATGAAATCTTCTAAATTTAAGACTTTGTTTAGAATTTTTAAAAATATTTATTTTTTTTATAGTAAAACTTTTAATTAGCATAAATAATATTGAGTACTGGATTAAAATGTTATTAGTTATATCATTAGTTTCAGATTAAATATATACATTTTGGCAATTCAGATTTTTTTTCTTGTTGGTTTGAAATGGCTACTTACAACTTGGGAAGATTTTAAAATTGATTAATATGAATAGCTTCTGTATTTTTTATCAGTTATTAATTATGTACTTTATTGTTTTCATTAAGAGACCCATGAAAATAGTTTGCTTTTTACTGTATCTCATTGAAACTTAAGTATTACTAAGAAATTTGTTTAAAATAAAAACTTTAAAATTGTTTTATAAGTATTATAATATATTTAAAATATCTTCATCTACTCTTAATTTGTGTTTCAATATATTATAGTTAAATTAAAAAAAAAAAAATGGATAAAATAATGTAAGGAACATAATATAAAAAATTAATAAATAACAACATTTAATTTAAAAGAAATTATATAAATTTATTAACATACAAATATTCAATAGAAAATGTATTACATTTTTATTATTATTCATACCATTTTTTTAATGTTTCTGGTCCTGATATTTTATTTTTATATTTATTAACCAAATTTGAAAATGACACATCATTTTTGGTACTGTTTTTCTTTTTACTTTTTAACTGAAAAATATAAACAATATTAATATAACACTTATTTCTCATATTATTAATTCTTTAAAAAATATACTTTTGGTTCTCTCTTTTTCTCATTTCTAATGGCAAGATCACGTTTCTTTTTCATGGTTAACTTCTTCTTAGTTTTAACATTTTTCTGGTGAGCTTCAGCCTGAATCTTCAACTTAAACTTGGATCGAATTGCTGTATGTCCCTGGTTGATAAAAATAAATATTTATTCAGTAAATTGTAAAACAACCATAAACTTAATTAGTTATTATTTTATTGTTACCTCTCTAGCTGTTATACCAGTATACTCCGGAAGGTCAGTCATTTTTTTTTTTGATAAACTACTATTAGCTCTCTGATTTTTGTTTTTGTCATTACTTTTAGTATTAAATCTTTTGTTTTCAGTAGCAGAAGAACCTGGATGTTGTTTATTAAATAATGGATTGCAGAGTTTACTTTTTTCTGTTCTTCGTTGCCTAGCTTGTAAAACAAGTCTATTTTCAATAGAAAATGCAACTATTGGTCTCTTAAATCAATAAATCATTTTTCATATTAAATACATTTAGTTATAACAGATTCTATGAAACAAAAAATATCATAAGGAACTCGTAAATATAATTAATAAGAAAAGGTAATAAAAACACGAATCATTAAAGTTAAATAACAAAAACTTTTAAGTAACTGTTAACAAAATAAGTCAAATATTATTCTATACTATATGTATCACTTTTTTCAAATACTATATAAAATAATTAATAAATTTATGGTTAATAAAAATGTAAAATTTACCTTATTAGCATTAAAAATATTTGGATTATTATTTATAGCTCTGAGTGCTTTTAAAGCATCTTCATGTTGTTTGAATGTAATAAAACCATATTCTTTTGAAATAGCTTGTCCTTTTAGATCGACCTTTTTTAAATTTCTCATTACAACTGCCTAAAAATATTTTATTAAAACTATTTAAGATTTCAATGAAGGTAAAATATAAATAAATAAATAAATAAATATAATTAATATATAAATAAATTAATTCCATGTAAGTACATTTTTTCAAAAACATTTACAATGGTATAAAATATCTATAGTTAAAATTAAGTAGGATGAACAATTGTATTTACTTTTGATACTGCATTAGGACGTGAATACTTTGTGAATAAATCTTTTAATTTTTTATTATCCATATTAGCTGGTAAATTGTGAACTATAAGTCGATTTCGAGCCACAAACATATTTAAATTTTTTAATACTTGAGATTTCCATTGTTCTAATTCTAAACGTTTGTTCATATCATGAACAGAAACACCATTTGCAGCTGATGTGCCAGCAATTATAACTAAAACAAAATTCATAAATATATTATACACAAGATAAATGTACATTTATATCAAATTATATAAAAAAAATATCTATATACCTCCTTCTTTGATTAAAAATAAGTTTCTGTTATCTTTGTGAACAACTTTATTTTCATTAGATCTATCGAGAACTTCTTTATCAATTGCCATTTGTGGTTCCATTGTAGAGCCGTTTAAAGTTAAATTTTCAGGGGAACTGTGCATACAAGCTTCTACACTGCTAGTATCCTAAATAATCAATATTTATGATTATAATTTGTGTTTTATATTAAGGATTATAAAATATTTTTATCAATTCAAGATTTATAGGATTTTTATTATATGTTACTGGATATTAGGAAAAAAAGTCTCCTAATTAATATTTGATTTAAATTCAGTCTTTTATGCACAAACAAAATAAAATATACAATAACATATAATATAATTATATATTATTATTTAAAAATATATTTATTCAGATACAAAAGATATGTAAAATATATCTTATTATATTATATCTTATAATATTATTAAAAAAATATAAGAGTGCAATTATCCAAATATAAAAGATCTCTTTCTTATATTTTGACCAATTTGTTTTAAAAAATTAGGAATATCTACAGATTTGTCCTCATCAAAACGCTTACATAAAATGTTCAATCGAACTTCAATTTTTTTAACAGCTTTTGTTTTTTTCTGATTAATTTCTCCTACTTTAGCCAATGCCATTCTTGCCTTGTCCGTTCCAACTTCTTGACGTATTTTTGTAAGTAATTTTCAAATACTGGAATGTTTAATGCCGACCAAGGACGTAACTGAAGGGGGAGTCCAGGGGCCGAACCCCCCCCCCCCCCGAAATTTTCAAAAGTAGAAACATTTTAGAGGCGAATATAGTTTATATACTATAAATTATATTAAATAATAATGTTAGACCCCCCCCTCCGAAATTTTTTTCCAGTTACGGCCTTGATGCCGACGAGATGGGAAAACCTATTGTTCCAGCCCTCACAAGCATTATTAGTTCTGTGAGGATTTTTTGACAGGGTTGTTAAATTAACGTTCCATGATTCTGGTACAAACAATGGTGTGTTCTTCTTAAAATTATATTGTTTATTTTTTAACTTTTCTAAATGTACCTCCAACATAATTTTCATCAAAATACTGTAGTAAATCCAGTGGCGGTGCTAGAGTTTGCGAGGCCCTGAGCAAAATAAATGTTGGGTCTTATAATTTATATTAATAAAATATTTTAAGTTCAGTTAAATCAGAACCGCGGGGCCTTAATTTTATAATTTAAGCCGCGGGGCCCTGGGCAACTGCCCCTATTGCCCACCCCGTCGCGCCGTCCCTGAGAAGATCTGCTCCAGTTGGACAATTTCGTTTTAAATAATTCATCGCCTCACAAACTTTATCTACAGGGAGAAAAGCCAATCCATCCATCAAAGCACAATATAAATTGAAGTTTTCAAATTCTTTATATCGTTTACTCAAGTCCAGGTTTTGTATTTTTCTGTAAGTATTTGGGGATAAATGATAAAAGCACCCACGAATTAAAATATGTTCACCGAAAACTGTTTTGGCAGCTTTATGAACTGCGATTTCAAAGTCAACATTGAAGTATAACGGATCTGGGTATAGTTCGTGATCGCTTAACTCATTCAAAATTATTTTGAACATTTCTTCATAGGTGTTTTCTGTTTTTCGCTCAAGTAAGGTAAACACTGGCGCAATAAAAACGTTATTTACTTGGATTCGAATGACGTATAGCTGTAAAAAATTCTAAGGCACTAAAGTTCCCTTTAATAAACCAGGTATCGGCATTTACTAACTGTTCAAATAAACTATCTAACGCAAATATTATAATCCGTTCACTTGATTCTGGACCATTATCTTTCAATAAAAATCACTCATTCCACAACGTGTCCAATCATATAAAAACCATAATACAAATAATGATGAATTTTAATTTATTTTTCTGTTAGCAATAATACTCCACATTATAGACGTTTATAATTATTCATGTCCCATAGGTTATAGTATTTTTAGATTCTGATTTCGAATAACAGCTCGTGTGCAGTCATTGTGTACGCATGTGTCAATTACGCTCTCGTTATTTTTATTTATACTCGTGTAATTCATCGATCTTTTTCAAATTTTTATCATTCAATACGTAAAAAATCATCGATTCAAACTTTCGAAGAAGATCTAACTTGGGGGTCTAACGCCCCCCCCACAGGTAATATCCACTCAAATTAATTACCTATATTCACTGCGGGCAGTGCTGGTTACATCATATCATGTCACGTAATAATAAATCGCCGCCGGCTTCACCGGTCGCCGTTGTAAATAAAACAGATAAGAACACATCGATAACACCAATTAAAATAGTAAATCACAACACCGTTCTAAAAACAGCCAATGCAAGCTTATCCCAATACGATAACGCAAATGACGGAAATAATTACGACACCGACTGGATAACAGTCGAATCCAAATCACCAAATGTATACAAAAACAAAAAACCTCTACTAGCTTATCTCCTAAACAAAATCAATCAGCCGCAACCCATCTCAAACCACTAAATAATTATACCGTGCTAAAACCTCTTGATGACGATAAGAATAGTATGGAAACTGATCAACCAAATATTAATTTATCCGAAACCGAAAACCATGTTCCACCTCCCATATTTATTAAATCAAGTTTAAATTACAATGGTTTTTGTAACGCGATAAAAACCGCAATTGGTTCTAATGATTTTTACTGCAAAAGTAATCTAAATGAATTAAAACTTCAAACATTCACTCCTGACGGGTACAGAAATGTAATACACTTATTAAAAGAAAAAAACGTTAATTTTCATACTTATCAACTTCAACAAGAAAAACCATTCCGTGTGGTTATCCGTAATTTGCACCACACTACTGATATAAATTACATAAAAGATGAACTTAAAGTGCATGGTTATACAGCAGTCCAAGTAGTCAATGTTCTTCAATGGCAAACAAAAAAGCCACTTCCTCTTTTCTTTGTCGATCTGAAACCTGACCAAAACAACTCCGAAATTTTCAAGTTATCTGCTATCTGTTTTACAAAAATTAGAGTGGAAGAACCTCGTCCCCGTCAACATCTAATACAATGCCAACGTTGCCAAAATTTCGGTCATACGAAAACATATTGCAATCACCAACCACACTGTGTTAAATGCAGTGATTCTCATTTGACTGAAAATTGTCAAAAACCAATTGATCATCCACCCAAATGTGTTCTCTGTGAAGGCCAACATCCTGCCAGTTACCGTGGCTGTCCCTTTTACCAAGACATTCAATCCAAACGCAAATCCTTTCTTACAACAAAAGCGAAGACTAGTCAAAACAATACAAATTTAAAAAATAATGTAAAAGAACCCACTGGTAATACTTCTAATTATGAAAACCCAAATGAACCAAATAATACACGCAAAACTTATTCCAAAGTCACTCAAAATCTACATACTAATAATCAACCTCAACAAAACAATAATGATTTAAATTTAACGAATCAACTAAGCTCATTTATAAGTGAGCTTAAATCTATTATAAACCCACTAATCACACTTCTTACTACAGTAATAAACAAAGTTCTCCTAAAAAATGATTAACATTCATAAAACCGCTTCTAAACTAACAATACTTTTGTGGAACGCAAATGGTGTATCCCAACACAAAAATGAATTGCAAAATTTACTCTATGAAAAAAAAATTCACATAGCCCTCATTACCGAAACTCATTTCACACAAAAAACAAACTTTAACATTCCCGGTTACTCCTTATACAAAACTGACCATCCTGACGGTTCTGCCCATGCAGGCACCGCAATACTTATTTCTTCTGATATACAACACCACGAACTACTAGGCTTTCAAGAACCTCATATACAAGCAACAATTATTTCCATACAAATTAAAAATGTACCAATAAAAATTGCCTCTGTCTACTGCCCACCCCGTTATAAAATCGACTTCGAGGACTTCAATAGGTTTTTTCAACTACTAAGCCATTCATTCTTAGCGGGTGGTGACTTCAACTCCAAACACACTCTTTGGGGAAGCAGAGCGTCCAACCAAAGGGGTTCTACTCTCCACAGATCCTTAATCAAAAACCACCTATCATTTATTTCCCCACCGAACCCTACATACTGGCCAACTCATGTGAATAGATTGCCCGAAACTCTTGATTTCTTTATTTCAAAAATACCCAATCATATAAATACCTACATCGAAAATATCTGTGATCTATCAAGTGACCACTCTCCCATACTTTTATCTATAACTGGTGACGTGTTATTAAACTCAAGACCTTCTATAACTAATGGACCTATTGACTGGGACAAATTCAAATTAAATTTTGACCAAAATATTAATCTAAAAGTAGCACTGAAATCCCAATCTGACGTAGACAATGCTGCAAAAGATATCGTTCAAAAAATCCAACAAGCAGCCATCAAAGCCACATCACCTATTAACCCTCACATCAAAAATTCTTCCAAAAGCCTACCTGCCGACATAAAACAGCTAATAATAAATAAACGTCGTGCTCGAGCAAAATGGCAAAATTCAAGATTGCCTAGTCATAAAAAAAATTTTAATTTTTTAACAAATCTTTTAAAATATAAACTTCATATGCATAAATCTGAACAGTTTCAATTATATATGAGATCTTTGCAACCAAATAACGGCTCTCTTTGGAAAGCAACCAAAAGGCTCACCAGGCATAGAGAAAAAATCCCACCTCTCCGACAAGAAAACGGTCTACTAGCAATTACCGATAAAGACAAAGCAAACATTTTTGCTTCTCAATTAGCCGAAACATTTCAACCCCATTCGTGCACCATTCCCGAAAATGATTCATTAGTCGAAATTCAACAATTTCTATCAGCTCCATTACCTATGTCGCTACCTGCAAAACCCATTTCCCCTGGAGAAATTCAGTCTTTAATTAAAAAATTACCTCCCGGTAAGGCACCCGGAAATGATCTCATTACAAACAAAATCGTAAAAAATCTCTCTCTCAAAACTCTAACATTGCTCACTTACATATATAACTCCATGCTAAGATTGTCTCACTTCCCAAATATCTGGAAATTTGCTGTCATTATACTTATACCTAAACCAAATAAACCTAAACATTTATCTTCATCATACCGTCCCATAAGTTTACTTCCAGTTCTTGGTAAACTTTTCGAAAAAGCTCTCCTCAAAAGACTACGTCCCATCCTTCAAAAAAACCAAATCATACCAAACAATCAGTTTGGATTTCGAAATAGACATTCAACAATTCATCAAGTTCATCGTCTTACTGACGAAATTTCAACTGCTCTCGAAAACAAAGAATACTGCTCCGGACTTTTTTTAGATATTGCCCAAGCATTTGATAAAGTCTGGCATGACGGCCTATTATACAAATTAAAACTCTTCATGCAAGCTCCCTATTATCTTATTATTAAATCTTATCTACAAAATCGTTCATTTGTCGTACGACAGGGTAACGATATCTCATCTACTCACTCAATATACGCTGGAGTCCCTCAGGGTAGTGATTTATCCCCTGATCTATATAATATATTTACAGCTGACATCCCCCAATCTAATAACACCCTTCTTGCAACATACGCTGATGACACCGCTATTCTTTCCTCCAGTTCAAATCCTAACCTAGTTTCAACTGCACTTCAGGATTATGCAAATAAAATCGACGAATGGGCCAAAAAATGGAAAATTAAAATAAATACAGATAAATCTGTGCAAGTTACTTTCACGTTAAAAAAATCTCCCCGTGAGTGCCCTCAATTATTCATGAATAATATTCTCATCCCTGTCCGAAATGAAATAAAGTACTTAGGCATAACACTTTATAAACGACTGACTTGGGGTCCCCACCTAAAAGAAAAAAGAAAAGCAGCGAACAATAGACTTCATCTCCTCCGACCACTCCTCAACTCCAAAATACCACTCCAAAACAAACTTATTATATATAAGTCAATTATAAGATCAGTCTGGTCTTATGGAATAGCAATCTGGGGTCCTGCCATGCCCTCAAACATTAGGCCAATTCAGGCTTTTCAATCAATTGCACTTCGGCTAATAACCAAAGCCCCATGGTACGTTTCAAACTTATCCTTACATAATGATTTAAAAATAACAACTACCACTGAACTAGCAAAAAACAGGTACAAACGTTTCCACCAAAATCTAAACACACATAGCAATACTCTAATATCAGACATGTCCACCATCACCCTCCCAAAAAACCCACCACGCAGACTAAAGCGTAAATGGTGTAGAGACCTATTAAATTAGTATTGGAGGTGTTACCATTGGGTTTCTTCCTCAACACGATATTCATGCTACTTTATTCTATGTAAATATATCAAATTTGCTTATTGTTATTATTGTATACAGATTGTAAATTGTCTTTCTTAATAAAAAAAAAAAAGATTCTGAGCGGAGTGATTAAATGTATAGATTTTTTAATTTTTTTTTTTTTGTGTCTATATGTACACGCTAAGTATTCGAAATAATGCATCGATTTTCAACTTTAAAATAAGTTTCAAAAGCGCCAGAAAAAATAAAAAAAATTAAGGAAAATCGAGAATTTTTCCGCAAATTCGGTTTTTGAAAAAATTGATTTTGGTTTTTGGTATAGCTCTAAAATAAATGACCGATACATGACGCCACACCAAGCCACTTATACATTTTTATAATAATAAGTAATGCAAATTAACTTCAATAACAAGTTCTTGTAGACTATTTGGTTTTTTAGGGTTTAAACTGCTCCTTTGGTTACGAATACTTCTTTTTATCGAAATTTCGAATAGTAATTCAATTAATATCTCTTTTGGTACATTTTGGACAAAAATTTGTCCTGGATTGTTACAAGTCTGAAGTGAACATTTCTTTATTATTTGTTTGATTTTCATAGCTCCTATTGCACCTTTATTAGCGCAATGACAGTGTTCTTCTTCAAATCGTATGATTTTTGAAATTTTCAAATTGGTAATTAATATTGCTGGACATTTCATTGACGATTTTTTGGAACATTTCCATCGGATTATACTCTGGTATGTCTCTTTTATAGTATAAGCATACCCGTCAAGTGCAATTTTATCATTTCCCTTGTTTGATTTAAGAAGTTCCATGGTTAAACACTTAAACTACACTCGTGTACAATTAATACGAAACTGAATATGTATGATAGGTACCTGTATATGGTACTGTGTATAACTATCAAATTATAGATTATGTCAATTATTATGTGCGTATTATAAATAAACTATGATACAGTGTACCGTTATTATTAACCGTTATTATCGATGATTATTAACAATTATCGAAGATTATCAGTGGAAAAGGGCTATGGCGGAAACGGTCAATATTATTTTGGCGGAAACGGATAACTCCCACTGTAACGAGAGAGACTTTTTTCTGGGGACTTTTTTTCCGTTTACCATGTTACTGTTAAAATGGTTATTTAAGATATATTAAAATTAAATTTTATAAAGTAACATTATTGTCAAGCTAAATAGTTACTAAAAAATAAAAAATAAATGTCATTATCATTTTGTCAAAAAAAAAAAATCTCTCAGAAAAATATATTTTAATGGATGGGCCAGTGGCGTATATATAAAATAATGGGAGGGGCTACTATGGACAGAGTTAAATTACCACTGCTATCTAAGAATTACTAACAAGACAAAGTAATTTAGAAAATGATTTGACGTTGGACGCAAATTCTAAATAAGCATAAAGCACCATTAAAATATAACATACGTTTAAAATCATTTTTAAGTTTTTTAAAACGCTTCGGGAAGGGGGGGAGCTGTAGCCCATTAGGCATCCTCTATATACGCAACTTGGATGGGCACTGGCCACATATTTTTTTTTTGTAGCCTGTGTTACATTTTCAAATTACTTCATAACATTTCAGCGTTTATTGGTATTTAATTTTATAATTTTATTACAATAATAATTATTATAAATTGTAAATATTATATTTTTCTCTAGTATTGAACTACACCTAATTTATTAAATGTGTAAATATATATATATATATATATGTATGCATAGCTAACAGCTATAAATATTGGGTAAGTATTGTATTGGTTTATCCGTTAAATTATATAAAATAAATGCTTATTGTCAATTTTAATGACTTTTATATTTTTTAGTTTCCTTACTCTAGCCTGCCAAATATAAAGTTATATTAATTGGCTTTCTTATTACTATGAGTTGCCTATCTTTGTTATAAATGAATAATATTTTTTTGATAATTTGATTTCTCTAATAAAAATTACCCTGAATTTCACGAACGCTGTTCCTTTTGAATGCTCTGTTAAACGGTCTACACAAATAAGTGCATAGTAAATGGGACCAAAACGTTCTTTCATAAAACACTGAAGTTCTTTGTTGGTGGTACTGAATGATACATTTTTGAAAAATATTGTCAAACCTTCTTTAACATCATGAGACTTGAAACGTTTTTTATTTGTAGCAGGAATTACAGATTCTGTTTCGTCAGTACATTTTCTCTTTATACTATCATTTTTTCTAAAAAATATAACTATTTGTTAAAAGTTTAAACATTAAAATTATATTAAATCTTACTCAGAAGCTGTAGTTTCAAAATCTACAAAATTATCATCTTCATTTTTTGTTGAATCAAGAGTGAGATAATCATCTATAGTTTTTGAAGTGTCATCTATATTTTCTTCGACATCTGATACAACTTCTTCTTTTATATCTTCATTTTTATTTTCTAGCGCTATATCCTCTTTAACTGTAGCAATTTCTTCATTTTCCTTTGAAGTATGAATTGTTTCATATTTATTTTTTGGTATAGCCCAATCAACAACAATAGATCGGCCTAAATAAGACATTAAAAAATAAATAAATCTAATTAAAGTTTTATAAAAAATAATTTTCAATAATAAAATAATAAAAATGTAATTAAAATTAAAAAATGATTAAATGGTTAATACTTGTAAATTAATATGTTAATAAATAAATAAATAAAAGATTATCCTGGAATATTATTGTACTTGTAAAGTATGACTAGTTTAAAATTAAAAATTAATCATCAGTGTTAATTTAGTTACAATTTTATTTTTTTATATATTTAGTTATATTAACTTTGTATATACCTGATAATGAATTTTTGTTTTGAAATCGGTCATACTTCACAAATATAATACTCCACGCTTAACTTTTATTTATTTATATATTTATTTATTAATAATTTTCAATTAATTAAATGTATTAAATTTAAATAGAATATAACTATACCTAAACTACAGAATAAAAAATTAATGAAAATCTATAAGCTAAATAATTTATCTTGATTCTTAATGGCAGCCCATGGTGAGTATTAAATGTTTAGGATTTATTTGTAAACTAAATTTAAATTAAATGTATTTAGTTATAAGACAAAAATAATTTTATATTAAGAGTTAAGAATTTTTATGCACTCACCAAAAAAATCTTTACCACTAGTATGGGCAATTGCTTTGGCAGCATTTTGTTTAACAATAAATTGTACAAATCCACATCCAATAAGTTTCCCATCAGGTTTACGTAGAAGTTTAATATCATTAATTTCACCAAATTTAGCAAAATGTTCTTTTAATTGTTCTTCATTTGTCTGTAAACAGTTTACAATTTTTTTTTTTTATTAGACAATTTACAAATCTATGATTTAATATATAGAGAAAATGATAAAACATAATGATTTAAAAATTAATTAATGCACCAAAAGTATATTTTAAAAATCATCATTATAATTTATACAATTAATGAATAAGGTTTAAACAACTAGGGACAAATATAAATAGTAAATACTTACAGTAAATGGAAGATTTCGAATGATGAGTCTTCCACGACGATTATTCACTTTTTTTGGAGCTTTATTCTTTGAAAAAAATATCTTATCTTTCATGTTGAATGTACGACTTAGCAATTCGCGTTTAACACTCAATCACATGGTGTATGGTTTATTTTAACACTGTATGATTTCGTTTATCATATTTGCGCCTTGGAGTATATTTTGTTCTGTGGAATTACTCAATGATTTGCGCCACGGTATTATCACAGTTAATACATTATCGCTACGAAAAAATAACCATGGAAAAGTCGACCCGTTTGATTCTGCTCACATTCTCTACACAACTGGATTAGCTGGTCCGCTGCCATTGGCACATGCGATTTTACGCCAAGGCAAAATCAAATAATTTTCATGTTTTGTTCTTATATTTGTTATTGTTTATTGATTAACGTCTCGTGTTGCTTGTCTCTGTTACATTTTAATCTGCCTACACAGCGGCAGACGGCCCGTCATATGTCGGATTCCTACAGTTTCTCTTCCGAGTACCTACAATTATTATGACAATTTATGTTTAAAAATATCATTCCAATCTAATCGAATTCAACGTTTAAATACGATACGTTCTGCAATAATTAAATTTTTGCTGCTGGCGAATGATGTTACTGAATACTACCGGGTTTTCTTCACGGTTATTATTTTCGTTCTTTAGAAGATAATAATTAATGAGAGTAATGACAATTGACCCAAAATAAATATAATAATGTACATCTATAGAAATAATAGTAGTCTAGAAGTTTTTGTAATATTTGAAAGTATAGTTTCATAATTTGTGCTGTTATTTGGTTTTTTTCTACAGAATGCACGTTAGAAGTACCAATAGATTGACTCGTTATTATAAATTTATTTAGTCGTATACTGTACGAGTAAATGTTTTGGCAATATTTTCTATAATATTGCTGTACTTGAACCATGGTGGAAGACAAAATTTTGTACACTTTCAGAGGATGGTTAGCCTTTGTTGCATTCATGGACCTTGGTGTAACATTCAGATCATTTTTTGAGAACAAATGTATTATGGGAACACAATCAAATTTACAAGCCGATGAAAATTTTATACATGGTACAAACGCTTATGTAGTTAATGATAACTTTATCGTTAAATTTATTTCTACAGATTTATAATTTCAGTATTATATACTATAATCTTAATACTTTATTAAATATCTCAATTATAATTATGAAACAACTTTCAATATTATAAATAAAATATAAAAAATATATTCATTTTACTATCTGTCCTGGTTGTATTATATTTTTAATTAAAAATGAAAATTAATAATATAATTGTTCGTTAGTTGGTAATTCATGATTTATAATAAAACACCATAAATAAACAATTAAAAAAAGTAAACCAGATCATATCAAGTAAAATTAATTTTTTTAAATAAATTATTAGACTATTATTGTATTTTTTTTAATTATTCTTAAAAATTCCAAAAGTATTTTGGAAAATCAATAGTTGTATAACTATAACTACTATGTGGACGAATACTTATTATTGTAAAATGTTAATTTAATAAGAATTATAATATAAATATAAATGTTTATAGAGGATTCAACTTTACCAAGAGTATTGGGAATGTTTTCACTCCTTAAAGCTTTATGTTTGATACATTGCTCATTATTTATTCATTATAAGCCGTAAGTAATTTAAGAAATCAAACTTAATTTCATTATTTTTACTTCATTCTTAATGAATAATTATATACATATAATAGCTATTTTGTCATGTTACTTATATACATACATTATTTATACATAGAATGGTCAGTATTGGAGCGATGTCAATGGTATTATCCATTGTACTGTATCTTAGTGAAGCAATACATTATCGTTCAACAACTTTGAATTTTTTTATTGTTTTTCCTTGCATTTTAAATGGTAAATTAATTAATCTGATGTAATGCTAATGTATTCTATTATATAAAATATTAAAACATTGTTTTTACAGGTTTAACACTGATTGGTTTGTATTTGATTGTACGCAAGATAAATAAGCCACCAACTGAATGTGTCGAAGAAAATGTTGAAATGTTAATGAGTAAACTTAAATATCAAAAAAATAAGAAATATATTTGTAAAAAAAATACGTAAGGCTACATAGAATATAATATAAACCAATTGAGTTTTATAGATCAAACATTCAATTTTTCATTATCTTAAATTTGTAAAAATGTAAATGAACTTTCCTGATTTTCCTTTTACTATTTTACTATGATTAAAAAAAATATATTTCATTTTATTTTTTAAATAGTTATGAAGATCTTACAAAAAATTATAATAAGTTAATAATTTTTCATACAATTTTAACAATTACTTTGTATTATAATTAAAAAAAAAATATTCTATTATACTTTTACATAATACCTCGTTGAAAACTAAAATAGTTTGTTAATGTTTTTTTATGTATTGATAACAAATTCAGAATTAGAAAAAATAATTTTTTTTTTTGTAATTATATTGTTATTTTTCATGCTGACTGTTTTTGAGTACTACTTGCTTTATTTTGAGCAATAACAAATTCTGGATAATCTATAAAGCCATCAAAATTTGTGTCATCCAAGGTTAGAATAGGATCAATAAGTTGCATTAGCTCTTCATCAGTAAATATTTTTTCTGGTGGAGGTGCACCACCAGTAGCTGGATCATGACCACCTTGAACTTAAATAAGAAAAAAATAATATTTTAATACTTAGTAAGTTAAAAATTAATTTCTAAGCATCAAGTTAAATTTCTAATTAAATTAATTACCATGCCAATGAATGAGTGACTTAATAAGTTCACATCCATCTAACTTATTATTATTATCTGCATCATGCATTTTAAAATAATGAAATTGTAACTCTTGTTCAGACATTTTACTTGTATCTAATGTAGGTAGATCTAAATGTTTTTTTATATGCCTAAAAACATAAAAAATATATGGTTATAAAAATGTATAAAAAATGTATTGCCTACTGGTTTTACCAAACCAGCATCAAATTTTGTTTCCTTAACAATATCGTACAACATTAATTTCAAAAATTAAAATTTTTATTGATTAGTTATCAAATTAATAACTTATAGATATAGAAATATATAAATATATATATATAAAAATATAATAAATCTAAAAAAAAATTTAAATTAAATATAGGTAACTTTGATAAAATAAAAATTATAATTTGTAATGACATTTTTTTTTTCTTACAAAATGAAGAATTAAATGCAAAATGATAACTAATTTACATGTTTGTCTTATAATATGATTGTTTTATTTTTTTTGTTTTATTACTTATATTAATTAAATAATATCCTAAGTTCACAAAAATATTTATAAGTATCAACAAATATAAAATAATATAATAACAAAATAAGGTCATTAAATCAATAAGAAAGCATTCTGTATAAAATACTAACTCGCTTTCCTCTGCCAAGTTTGAAGCATGCAACACTTGTTGAGGTTGATGTCCTTGAGAACCATGACTCTAAAATGTTATAAATTATTAAAAACATAAATGAAATTTGTTTTTATAACATATATAATAATTTTTATATGAATATAATTTATATTTTAATTTAATAAATTAATATGTAAGGTACATTTTTATAAAATGTACTAATACTATAATAAACACTTACAATTTATATTATTTTACTAACAAATAAATGTAATACAATTGTAATTACCGGTTGTTGCTGTTGAGGTTGGTTTTGTTGATTCTGCTGCTGTTGATGAAGTGGCTGTTGGAATGGTACTTGCTGAGGAATATTTTGATGAGGTGGTAAATTTTGAATAGGTACCTAGAAAAAAAAATCAACTGAAAAATTAATTTAATTGTAAAATTATAATTGTCCGTTTTAAATTTACTTGTTGTTGCTGCTGTTGATACAGTTGCGGGTTAACACCTGGTGGTGCGGGTGCATATTGTGCATATTGTGCTGATGATTTATGATACAAAATTACAAGAATATAAAATAAAACTAACAGCTTATTGGAAATCATATTTTAGTAAATATACACATGTACAATTTGAAAGTTAAAATAACATGTGTAATACAAACTGAATTTTGTTTATTATTATATATTAAATTTCATTTCGAAAACATTTAAAATAATATTTTAAGCCATGTCACATCTTAACTGACCAGTGAACACGCACAGCCGTAGAAACGTTATCGTTACCCATAATATCACCACGTCATTTGTTATTGTTGTTATCTATGAAGAAGTTCCATTATAAAATAATAGATAAAAAAACATCTGTGTGATATCATTGTTGACAATCACGCATGGCTTATGTTATTGTATGGATTAATAAAGTAATAATAACTGATAATGATTTTACAATCTAATATCAATATTTTGTTCCTTATTGTCATTTGTTAAGTAATTACATTTATTTTTATTTACTAAAAATTACTCAATATATTCTTATATAGATCTCTACTGCCTACTTGCATTCATATATGTCTTCAATGTATTTCCGTGAGTAATGGAACTTTTAGACATTGTTCATTCCATTCAAAATGATATTTATTATTCAACTTTTCGAAAATGGATAATATCTTCTTACCAATATTTAATAATGGAAGTAAGTTTCATGAATTACATTTAAATATTTAATGTACTGCATAATGAGATCTAAAATTGAACAAGTGATTATTATAAATCATAGATATCTTATTAAATTATTTTATTTCTCCTAATTACCTAATGAATTAATGGTAATGCAAACTGTAGATATTGCAAAATGTCGAAAACGTTATCTATTGTGTCACATTTTATAACTATTTAACTTATTTATGTACACAATTAATCCTGTTCAGTTTTTACATTTAAGTAAGAATATTGGCATCTAAATTACCTATCTAATAAAAGTTATTGGATTATATTTACAAATTTTTGCTTATTTCTTTCTAGTTAATTTTATTTATTTAATGTGTATTACATGTAATAACTAACTATAGTTCTTTAATTTGTTCTTTAATATTTTATTGTAAATAATTTTAACTGACATTATTAAGGTAAAAAGGTCCAAAATGTTAAAAATTTGTTGATAAAACATTTTACTATTGTTTTTATATAATCTTTGTTTTTAAATGTAATTATCTTACTTTAAGTTATTGTTTTAATGAGATATCTTAAACATAATGTAAAATTATTCAGCTTCCATTTATTTTTTAAACCTAACTATGTTTAAATATATAAAGATACAATAATTAATATAATTCAAAATTCTTATGAACTTGAACTTTCAATCTTTATAAATACTTATAAAACATAGTGCATAATAGTCCAAAGTATAATTTTTATTTTTTTCAGTTAAATACATCTAACCATCATTTATTTATTATAAATATAATTAGATTTTGTTATAAGTAAATGTTTAAATAAATCAATTAGGAGTTACTTTAATGTATAATTGATCTATTTTATTATTATTTTTTAAGAAAATGTTAGTCATACTTCTTGGATGCACAATAGTATTACTATCATTAATTACCGTTGCCTTTTACAAATGGAAAGCGAAATGTAAGTTAAATATTACTTTTAATGTATAACAACTAAAATTTTTGAAACTATAAAATCATTAATTGTATAATTTATAAATTATTTTTATAATAGTTTTTGGGCCTCAGGGAAAAGACATCAGTGTTCCTTCAAAAACAAGATTTCGGAAACGTGATAAAGTTTTATTCTATGGACGAAAAATGTTGAGAAAGGTTCTTATTATAATGTATAGTTATGCGGATTATCATTAATTTTAAAACCAGTCTATAAATGAATGTCATTTCATTATTTTCTAAAAATGTCTTGAATATTTTAAATAATTTTATTATTTAGGTGAAAAATATATCAGGGCAGGTGCATGGCCAAGGAAAAAAACGAAAATTGGTTATCAAATTTGCTAGACGTTTACTACAAATGAAGAAAGAAACATTACCTCAGAGGTTAAATGTATGTTTATTAAAACTTAAAATATTAATATATGTTTTTATTGTTTTAATTATATAGATTTTGTTGTATCATGCTAGTTGTTTTTCATTAATAGGTGTTAGAACCACCTGCTGAGTATTTAGAAGAAGAATTAATAATGAAAGATGGCCAAAATGTACCTCCTGATGCTTTCTATATGCTACAAAGTATTCGGTAAGTTTGTTTTTAAATTCTGAGTTAAATTAATGTATTAGCTTAATCATGATGTGTGTGTGTGTTATTTTTGTTATATACACTATTTTGACCAGAATTGCTCTGATTACAATAAAGTAAATATTAGAAAATGGTTCTAGTTTGTACTTTTCTGGGAATAATTTTGTGAATTTCTCTAAAGTTTTCCAAACAAATGAGAAAAAAATGCATAAAACGTAAAATTTCAATCAAGAACCCTTATGAGTAATAATTGAGTATTATTTTGTTATGATTTAATATTTTTTGAGCTATGTACACGGTTTAGACTAAAAAAATAATTCCAATCATCACAATCTAAGAGATTTCTGATAGGAAATGTTGTTTAGTTGGTACCTAATGAGGAGTCATTTTAAAAATTTCTCAACCGTTTTCTTAATAATTGTTAAAAATGAATGAAAAACTTAAATTTAAGAAATACGGTTTGCCAATTTTTTTTATTGTATTTCAAAAAATAATAATAATATACATTTTTACTGAATGCTTATATCAGTTTAATATAGATGGTATAGTTTTCAAAAAAAAAAAAAAAATTTTGAGCTATTTATAAAAAAATTAAAATTTTCATGTTTTCTCAGCTTTTTTTTTTAGATGTTTTTAATATAATTTTGGTTTAACTGAACATCTTAGAAATTTATTATAAAAACCATCATAGGTATCTATTATTATTGAGATTAATATTGAAAAATAATTTACGAGCAGTTAAGTATTAAATCAACAATTTAATTATTGATTACAATCACGAGAATCTATTAGTTTTGCAGTGAAAAATTCATAAACATTTTATATTTGAAATTTAAATATATATATATATATATATATATATAAAATTGAACACAATATATTTCATATGATTTTTTCAGTATCTAGTTAAAAAATATAATTGAAAGTTACAAAAAAGATGTGTAAACATTACAAAATAAAATGACAAAGCTGTATATTTCAACAAATTTTTATAATTTTGTCACAGACATTTCATAGTTTTAAATAATTTTAAAAAATTTTGTGTTGCTTATAGATATTTAAAATTTTTTATTTTCCTACATTTTTTCTTTTGTGAAACATAAAACATTAAAAGTTCAATCTATCTTATTAAGAAATTTGGAATTTATATTATATCAACCATCTTTAGATATATAAACCAATCAACTCAACCAATTTTACTCAAAATCATACTTTAATAGTAATGATATATTGGTTTTAAGTTTAAAAGCCCAATACAAAAATCCATATGCTTATCTCTATATCTCATCCAACTATAGTATCTTATCTGACCTAGGAGTTTCATTTTTTTTTTATATACAGTGAAACCTCGATAACTCGAACCACTATAAATCAAATTTTCGATACCTTGAAGGAATGCCTTGGCCCCTGCCCTACAATTATGGTATGCGTAATAAATTTTTTCGATAATTCAAAATAATTATTGTTGAATTTTGCCTTATAACTCAAATTTATATAATAATATATAACACGTATATACCTCGATGACTCAAAGGACAAATAACCAAGTGTATTATTATAAATAACGATAATCGTAATTGAAAACCGATTAATATTATCAATCTAATATTTACCTAATGCTTAAAAAGTACAGTTATAAACTTAACGATATAATATGGCTTTGCCTAAAATTACTCTTACGCAGGCATTAGATAGTTTACAGGTTGTACGTAAGTACATTCATGAACAACGAGAAATAAGAGAAGAGATTTTTTCCGCTCTAAATGTTATTGAAAATTTTACAGATAAGTCAAACAATAAAAAATAATCAAAAATATCAGAAAAAAAAATATAAAATATAAAATAAAAAAAAAATAAAATAATAAATTTACATTTCATTGTATTTTCTTTATTACATACATTATATATTTATTAGTAAATATATAAATAAATAAAATTATAAAATAAAGTCTTTGTGTTTTAAATAAAAAAAAATGTTTGGTAACTCAAATTTTTTTTGCCCCCAACTGATTTGAGTTATCACATTTTCCACATTTTTTTTTTTTTTATTCTTTTATAACTATAATAAGTATTATAAATATGTAATAATCTATAAGATAATTGCTTTAATTTACTCATGACTTATTATAATTAGTTTGATCAATATAAATCTAATTATAATTTTATTGTTATAGAATATTTGGTCACTTTGAAAAACCAATATTTTTAAAACTTTGTCGTCATACTGAAATCTTAAATGTTCATGCTGGATCTCATTTGTTTAATGTTGGTGACCCTGATGAAAATGTATTCATCATCCAAAGTGGACTTGTTAGTGTAAATATTACTTCAATTGATGGTAGTATAATACCTTTGAAATTAGTCAAAACTGGAGATAGTGTAACATCATTATTAAGTTTTACTGATGTTCTAACTGTAAGTAACAATATAACTACTCATTTTTTTTATTAATTTGTATTGAAAATGTTTATTATAGGGTCATAAAAAGGAATACAAAACTGTTAGTGCACAAGCTATTGAAGATAGTACAATAGTAAGGTTGCCATTTGCTGCTTTTCAGGAAGTTTTGCAAGATTATCCAGACTCATTAATTCAAATAATCCAAGTGGTTATGGTCCGTTTACAAAGAGTTACTTTTACAGCCCTTCATCAATACTTAGGACTATCGACTGAGTTAGTGCAAAGTGTAAGAATAAATAACAATTAACTAATATTTAAATCTATTTTTATTTTTTGATATTAATAAAATAAATGTTCTCCTGGGTCAATAATTATAAGTATATTTATTGAACAATTTTTTTATCAATTGACCAGACAAATTGTACAATTAAACTAAATAATTTATCAAATATCATATTTTACACATATAAATGTTTTTACATACTTGGAATTTGATTTTCCTCACATATTTTAAATATCTTTGAACTAGTTTTAAAATACTATATTAAGTTTTTTTGATCCATTTATTATTTTGAGAATGGTGTTGCACTGTCAATAAGTGCTGTAGCATTTAGCACTGTTAGCTCTCAGATGAGTAACCATTCAGGTTTTTAGTAATGTAGCCATGTTTAAAAGCAAATACTAATTAGAAATTCATTATTACCACCATCAGTCAATATCCATAATTGACTAGGCAATATTAAAAAATTTTATTTATATATTTTACTAAAAAAATGTTAAATATTTACAATTATATTCAATGTATTAATATTTTGTGATATGATTATATTCAAATTGTGTATGATAAGATATTTTAATTTTTTATTTATATTAGGGTATAGATGAAAACAAAATAAGTCCGTTTATTTCAGTTACTAAGAATGAATCAACTATGTTTTTACAAAAAGGTAATTTATTTTTATCCCATTTATATGCTTTATTCTGACTTATTATTTTGATTTTTCTAGAAACAACTTTAATAACCGAGAGTAATTTAGAATCTCTCTTAAAACAGTCAAAAACAGATAAAAAAGACTGGTATCTAAAAATGGCAATTAAAGTTTTTGTTAAAGAACTTCAACTTGATAATGAAAATTTATTACAAGGAAAAGTTGAAATTCGTAAAATCCCTTCTAATACATATGTAATGCGAGAAGATTCTCATCAAGTGAGTTTCATATTTATAAACTTTTCTAAAATTAAGAACCATGGAAAACAAAGAATTTTAAAATTTAGCTGATATTAATTATTTACAGGATGCAGCTTTGGTTTTATTATTACATGGATCAATGATAGTATCACAAAAAATGGATCCAGAAGGATTAACTGAAGCACATATGTATTCAGTCCACCCAGGAGATATAATCGGTGGATTAGCTGTCTTAACAGGAGAACCAGGGTTTCTAACTTTTAGATCCAATCGTCCAAGCGTTATAGCAATATTATCTAAAAATACAGTTTATGCGTAAGTTAATAATCTACAATAGTATAATATTAACCTAAGTACATAACTTATTTAAATTAAGTATTATATTTTTAACTTAAAATGTATAAGTATCATTAATATTATTATTAATAATGCATTTGTTTTAAAGGATTATGCGAATAAAACCACAAATTGTTTTGCCAATTGCAAATACAGTAGTCACTCGTTTATCACCTTTTGTGCGTCAAGTAGATTTTGCTTTGGATTGGTTGTTTATTGAGAGTGGACGTGCAGTTTATAGGTAAATCAAAAATAATTAATCTTTTTTGCATAGGCGAAATTTCAGTTTATAACTTGGAGGGGCTTAGCATACTTAAATGAAACAAACCCGTGGGGGTTCTGCCCCTCCCCCCATTCACTACCGATATAGCGATATCATATTTTTCTCACCCATTTTCCTACATTTAATATATTATAATGCATTTATTAATAAAACTAAAAATATTTGTATGAAAAAAATAACAAAATTTAGGTAAATAAATGTAATATATTATATTTTTTTATTAAATATATTATAATAATTGAAACCTTCAGTTAGAAATTGCAAATTTATTTAATATTTTTTCATTAGACAATTCATTCGATAAATCTCGTTCTAGATAAATTAATGACAACTCTGTAAATCTATCTTGATTCATATATGTTCGAAGCCGATTTTTAATCTTTTTCATTGCTGAAAATAATCTTTCACATGTTGCAGAGCTAATTGGAATTGTTAAAGATAATGATAACAGTTTATATTAATTAGAATAAAGCTCTGCATCCATGATTGATTTGATATCTTCCAAAGTGAAACTGGGGTTTCTACGGGTCAGACAATTTTTTACCACAAGCATTTCTGATTGAAGTGTATTTACATCCACATTTAATAGGTCCTAAAAATTAAATCATAAAAATTGATTGATATCGTTTTCTGTATTATGTAGATTAGATAACTAATGAAGGATTTAATACTTTAATTTAAATATAAATTTTTGGAGGGGTTAATTTTAATATTGGAATGCTAAGCCCTTTTAAGTGCTCCCCAAATTTTGCCTATGCTTTTTTGTTTTTTATCTGAAATAAATTATAAATAATTTATTATTTAGTATCTTAAAATTAATTAATTATAATTTATTCAATCTATATCTTAATAACACGGGGTATTTAACATCCATTTACTAAATATTGATTGTTAATATACTTAGTATTAAATCCCTTAAAATATTTCATTATGTTATTTAAATAATTTTGTGAAGTACAATTCATTAATACTTTTACACAGTCAATTTCCAATAAAAATATTATCATAATAATACATTATGTTGTAGAAAAATGTTTAAAACTGTGTATATTAAATTTAACAGTTAAATTAAACTATTATTTTCTTAGGTCTCATGGATAAAGGATAATATTTGGATTATAATAATTTCAAAATTGAAATTAAGAATAAAAGAAAGAGTTAGTTGGATGTTTTGAGATTAAAATACTAAAAATAATTAAATAATTAGAGGATAATAAAAGACAATTAAAAATAATATGGGAGAGGTCACAAATTATTTCCTCAAAATGTTTAGTTTAGTTTCCTAACAAGGAGAATTGTTTATAGAAATGGGAAGGAAGTAGATAATGACCAACCCATTAATGGCTATATTCTATTCGACGTTCTGGATAATTTTAGATAATTGAAAATTTTAATAAATTTTATTTTATTGTAATGTCTGAATATTAAAAATATAAAATTATAAAAGTTGCAGGAATCCAAAAAATTTTAATGTGTATAATAGTTTTATTCTTAACCATTAAAGAAAAGCATTAGACTACATTTATAATTTATGAAATTAATTTATAATAACTTAGTTAAATTAATTATATTTCTTTTTAGGCAAGGTGAAGAATCTGATAGTACATTTATTGTATTAAGTGGCCGTTTACGTTCAGTTATTACGCATGATAATGGAAAAAAAGAATTGGTTGCTGAGTATGGAAAAGGAGATCTAGTTGGAATTGTAAGTTATATTAATTTTTTTTGGTTATTTTCTTGTTAACATTTAAGAAACTTTAAAAATCATAATAACCAATCATATCAATAATATTTATTTCCATTGACATTTTTATTTGTAAATTAGGAATTATTATTGTGTTAAATGTTAAAATTCAAGTTTAATTATTTCTATTTATTAATTAAATACTTTTTTTTAGATAATAAGTGTCCAATAACAAAAGATTATTTTATTTATTTATGTTTAAAGCCGCACACTGAAGAAACTAGTTTTGAGAAACCAATTTCATGAAACGTGAAACTTAAGTTTCATGAAACCATTCAATTAAAAAACAAAAAGATGCGCACATTGAGTTTCACAAAACAAAAAATTTCTCATCGTTGTGCAACTGCGGTTTCATAAAACTTGTGATTTTGGTTTCAATAATATAGTTTCATCAATTATGACAGTTTTTAATTAATAATTTGGAAGCATGTTAAAAAGTTTTGTATTTATGAATATATTTAATTAAAATAAACATTACATTTAAATATTGTACATTATTTAGGTTATATTTGTATATTACCAAATTTAAATATAATAATTAATATATTGTATTATATTATACAGTATTTATTTAACATTCAAAGCAATAGTATTCATACTTGGGAAATTTGAATCGTATTAATTAAATAGTGTTAAATACTGATAGTAATACTGCACTAAACAGTAAAATGCAACTTGAGACATTCTATAGAAACTTTGGAATTTATCCTCATAGGTGGTTAATTCCTTTAAAACTACATAGCTACTATGCTGTTATCTTTTAAAATTGGATGAATCCAATACCTACGTTTTCTTTTTTTTGTTATGAAGCCACCAATATAACATAAACACATCCTCATCATCAAGCGGAATTGTTGAAACTATAGGTACATTTAGTTTCATTTATGTACGGCTAATATGAAATAAGTTTCATAAAATTAATTTCACAAAATGGTTTCTCAAAACTAGTTTCTTTAGTGTGTGGGCCTAAATATATAAAAAAATGTATTTGAAATTTTTATATCAACATTTATAAATAATTTAAGGTAGAAGTTGTAACCAAAACACCACGAGGAACAACAGTTATGGCAGTTAGAGATTCTGAATTAGCAAAATTGCCAGAAGGATTATTTAATGCTATTAAAATACGTTTTCCTGGAGTTGTATCTACATTAATCAATCTATTAGGACATCGAATTTTAGGTAATTATAATTTTGTTGTATTTTAAAATGTTTTATAATTTAGATTTTGTATAAAATATCAAAGCAACTAAATACAATTTAGAAAACAATTTATTTAAAAAACATTGTATATAATAATTAATAATATGATTAATTCTGTAATCATAATTTGTGTTGATTTATATTGTAGGATTATTATTATTAATTTCATATTAGTTTTATTAAGAAATAATTCATTGTGACAAACTTAAATTAAATTCTAACACTAATTTGTGTTGTATTTAAAAAATAAAGTAATTTTGAACTTGCAGCTGAAAAATTAATTGTTTACAATAAGAAATTGGCAACAGTATAATTGACATATTATTTGCCAAATTATGTGAAAAATAAATTTATCTCAATCAATAGTTTCTTAAATTTTAAATTATGGTATAAATTGGAAGTACCATAAACCATTGTGTTCATCAAATTTGATGATTATTTATTTAAAACTAAAAATAATGTACACATGCATTTAGTTTTAAGATTTTAAAGTTCTTATATTTATATTTTTCAATTGTTAATTACTTATAAATTATTTCATTCTAGGTACTTGGCAAAAGCCTACAATTGGTAAAACACTAGATACAAGACCTACTCAAAGTAATTTTTCGACTATTGCTATTGTACCTATATCAGATGATGTTCCTCTTACTAGTTTTACATATGAACTATATCATTCATTATGCTCTATTGGATCTACTATACGATTAACTTCTGATTATGTTAGAAATGTATTAGGAAAGTCGATTATGGATAATAAAAATGAGTACCGTTTAACTACTTGGTTAGCCCAACAAGAAGATCAACATAAAATTGCTCTTTATCAATGTGATTATTCATTTTCTCCTTGGACTCAACGTTGTATTCGGCAAGCTGATTGTATATTACTTATTACGCTTGGAAATAAATATCCTATATTAGGAAAAGTTAGTTTTCACAAACAGAATATGTTATGTGTTAAATGAAATTTATTTTCGATTATTAGAATATAATATAAATTAGCACTTATTACTAATTTTTTTGATTAATTTTCAAATGCGATATTCATCTCACTGATGAATACATCTTTTTTTCTAGTATGAAAAAGATATTGAACGTTTAGCTTTACGTACCCAAAAAGAATTGATTTTATTACATAGAGAAGACTCTGATTTACCTTCTAATACAGTTGCATGGTTGAATATAAGGTCTTGGGTATCTTCACATCATCATATACAGTGTCCAAAACGTATATTTTCAAAGCGTTCTATTTCAATTATAGTAAGTGCTTGGTAGTAATAAACTAAGTTTATTGATAACTTTTTTCTCTCATACTTTTATATTTTTAAATTTTAAATTCTAAACTATTATACTTATAGTTGCTTGATTAGATATTTATAATCACTAAATTAATGAATAATTTACATACGAGTTTTAATAACGAATCTTAAACAAAAATAATACAAATTAAAGTTATTATACAAAATGTAAGCTGTGGCATTACAATAAATTTTTACATATGATATCTGATAGATAGTGAGAAAGAAAAGAACCATTTAATAATAAATATAGATAGAAAATTAAAACTAGAATACAAATAATCTTAACTCTCACTCTTCTCCTATTAATTCCATCATTAGTTTTATAAATTTCACTGGTTTACTAATATAATCTACTGTATACAATATTAATATCAGTATTTACCATAAATTTATAATTGTCTTGCTGTTATGTTTTTAATAAAAGCAAAATTAAAAAAAATTACAAATATGATAGCAAAAGAAGGAAAGTTGAGTTATTGCTGGAGTGGAACATATGGTGAATAGGGTTATTGTGGGCAAATAATGTGTGTGAGTTATCAAAAACAATTAATTTAAAGACCAAACAGTTTTTGGAGTTTTCAATTACTTCAAACTATGATGACTTGACTATAATTGTTGTATATATATATATTTAGAGTGAACAATATGAAAAAATATTGCAAACAGAAGTTAACATTCATTCAGATTTTTCCCGTTTGGCCAGATGGTTGACAGGAACTTCTGTAGGTTTAGTTTTAGGAGGTGGCGGAGCAAGAGGAGCTGCTCATATAGGGATGATAAAAGCCATACAAGTATATTACAATTTTATACTTAAACATTATTAATTTATTATTTATAATATTTTATTTTTATTAGGAAGCTGGTATTCCAATAGATATGGTTGGTGGAGTAAGCATTGGTGCTTTTATGGGAGCTGTTTGGTGTCGTGAAAGAGACATTATTGGTATGATACGAAAAGCTAGTCATTGGGCTAAGGTATGATAATAAACATTATGTTTAGTGTTAATAGAATAGAGTTTTAATCATTTTAATTTTATTATAAAGTCAATGGTTATGGATACTTTTATTATTCAAAACTAATCTATGAATAAGTTTAACGCTTTATGTCAATTTATTCTTATTTTAATTTAACTTTTACTATGTAACTGACTAATAAAATCATATATAAAAAACCTGGATTAGACGGAACCGATTGGGACCTTGACATTTTTCCGTGTTAGCAGGGTTTCTGTCTTGATGGGGTTAGTTAATTATATGTAATTTGAAACGGGACCAAAAAATGGTTCCGTAAAACTGTGGTTTTACTGTATTAAATACGGATATATAGTCTATTGCAACGAATCCCATACTGTGAGAGAAGTCCAAAGAACCAAAGGAAGTCAAAGCAAATATTTATATTGTATATTCCACTGCTATATATTTATTATTTAATTGACAATAATTTGCTTATAATAAAATTGTAAAAAATGTTTAATTGGGAGACATGATTCATTTTTTTTTGTTAAGACCCGAAAAAGTTTGGTCTAGTGGCATAAATAAGGAGGACTTAGGAAGGATTTAGGTCCCCAGATATCAGAAGTAATTTAAAAAAAATTTGTTTCTGCCAAATTGATCTTTATTTTATTTATACAAACTGTCTAATCATTATATAGAGTCTAATAAAATTACATTGAAATATATTTGGAAAAATATAATGAAAATATTTTAGAAAACTATTCAATAATATATAGTTTTACAAAACACATGTAACATTAATATGAATCATCAAAGTATCAGCCATTTCTGTGTTTTACTCAAAAATATTTCATATTTAGCTTGAATCTGTGATAATATTATATTGACATAACATGTTGTATTCTGATATATTTATAAACTACATGGAATAAGATGTATTTTAGTTGGTAATTAATTGATAAATTTTACTTTGTTTTGGAATTTTGGAATAGTCTCGGTTTTTTTACTTGATAATTTTAAGCATTAAAATAATTTAACTAATACTATTAATCTTGAAGAAATAATTGAACAATTTGTCAAAATAGAAAGAAAAATAGCATTCAAATTATAATATACAGTAGAACCTCATTAATCTGGACAGCCGTTTATAATACCTAAATTACGCTAGTTTATCTAAACTATCTAAACATAGTCGTTAAATACGTAAAAAATAATAACGATGAAAACACATCTGCGTCTTATGAGCATATAAGGCATCTTTACAAGTTAATCTTTAAAGAAATCAATGAGAAAGTAAGACAACACCAAAGATTAACAGTTTTTTTAAACCAGTAATTTATGCTTAAGCGTGTCAAGTGTGAATAATGAAGGTAAACTTTAATATATACCGTATTATGTACGTAATGATTATAATACAATTATATACTATTTTCAAGGTTTCATATTGTTAGACATACATTTATGTATTAGATTAAACTTTTATAATAAAATATGCAATACATTTTTTTTAAATTTATAATTTACGATTTTTGATTATTTTTTTTGATCCGGACTTTCATAAATTCGGATAATCTAGTGTCCCAATTAGTTCAGGTTAATGAGGTTCTACTGTATTTGTTAATAATTTATATTTAATTAATTTTTTTTTTTTTTAGTATTATACAGTATATGGTAAATTTATTAGTGTTTGTACTTGTTATTGTCTTAGCAAACAATACATTTTTAAACTGGCATGCACAAAAATATACTAGTAGTTCTAAAAAAACCTTTCCCTCATTAATTTTCATCTAATTACACCAATGATATAATATCATTGTTTGGTTCTCTTATTATTATAAAATTATCCAATGAATAAAATAAGAATAGAAAGTTGTATTATATAATTTATACACATGTACAAATACCCATTTGATAAAGTATTTTTATGGAAATTATTTTATCCTTTCATCAATGAGGAAAATATCAGCTTAAATCTAAAAAAGTATGCTTAAGGATGTTATAAAATAGTAAATTGGGTTGTAAATGATTTCATAATACAATTAATTACTGGTTATAATAATAAGTTATTCAAAGTATATTATATATCACTATATACATTCTATTTTAATACTTTTCTTTTAATAAATGATTAAAAAAAATTTATTTTTAAGAGTATGACTCATTGGTGGAGACAAATATTGGATTTGACTTACCCAGTAACATCAATGTTTACTGGTCAAGATTTTAATCTTACTTTAATTTCTGCTCTTGGAGAAACACAAATTGAAGACTTATGGTTGCCATATTTTACAGTTACTACAGATATATCAGCGAGTGAAATGCGAGTTCATACTCATGGTATAGTTAATTTATTATTCTTATATTTAACATATAAGGTGCTATTAATAATATAAAAATATTTTCATTGTTGCTTAATAAATAAGAAACCCAATTAAAGTATATATAAATATTAAATAATTAATAACTAATCATTTTTTTTTTTTTTTTAATAAATTAAATAACCATAATTTACATCATACATTTTTTAATATTTTCATATTTTTATTTCAATAAAATTGTCCTTAAATCTAGTAATAAGCTATTTCTATGAGCATTTGAATTTATATTGTTTATTTTTTCAATCAATTGATATAACTTTTTGTATATATATATATATGTCGTAGGCCATATGGAAAATTAGTTTTTTTGCAAAAAAACTAGACTCTTAGCAATGGGGTAGCCCGTTTGCAAACTACTTATAATTTTTCCAAACAGCCTGCTGTTTTTTAGGCTCATTGCATACATACTAATTTCAGTTAGGCCTTTTAAGAACTACAATCATTTTATGGTAAAAACCATTTTAATTATTTTATTTTAATGGTTATTGATAATAACACAGTACAAATATATAACATAAATGTATAACATGTAACATTATTATTTATTAATAATATAAATTATATAATATAAAGGTATTTATTTATTGTTACATGTGGTTTTTTTAGTGACATCTTGAGCTACACAGTACATTGTTTTAAATAACTTTAAAATAATTTCAAGAAATAACGAAGAAACATTCTCAATTTGGAGGGCAGGGTTATCAAAAATGTTTTTGCAAAACATTGTGTAAAACAAATAGATGTGCTTGTGGGAAAAACAATGTACTGTGTAGTTCAAGATGCCACGAAAAAACCACATGTAACAATAAATAAATACCTTTATATTATATAATTAATATTATTAATAAATAATAATGTTACATGTTATACATTTATGTTATATATTTGTTCTGTGTTATTATTAATAACCTTTAAAATAAAATAATTAAAACGGTTTTTACCATAAAATGATTGTAGTTCTTAAAAGGCCTAACTGAAATTAGTATGTATGCAATGAGCCTAAAAAACAGCAGGCTGTTTGAAAAAATAGTAAGTAATTCTTAAAAGGCCTAACAGCTGTTAGTCTGTATGCAATGAGCCTGAAAAACAGCAGACTGTTTGGAAAAATAATAAGTAGTTCGCAAACGGGCTACCGCATTGCTAAGAGTCTAGTCTTTTTGCAAAAAAACTAATTTTCTATATGGTCTACGATATATATATATATTTATTAATAAATATTATTTTTAATATTAATTTTATAAGAATGATAAAAATTAAAACATTGTAAATTTATTTAATTGTTATTATACATTCATAATTTTAGTGAGTAAATATTTTATTCAAATTTTTCAATGTTGATTTATTATTTAACATTAATCAAATCGTTTTCTTATAACTAATGGTTTCATTTTTACCACTTTTTTTATTTTGCAAATTATAATATAAAAATATAGACATTGTTTAATATTAAATATAAAATAGGCAACCTATGAAATAAAAAAAAAATCTACAAAGTATATTTTACAATAAATTTAACTTTTCAAATTTAAAATTATAAAATATTAAATTTATTTCAACATATAATATTTACCACACATATATGTTTTCAATATTTTAATTAATAAAATAATTTGTTTTTCAATAATACTTTTAAATTATTTAAATAAGGGACTGTGATTGATTTACATAACACTGTGTTGGTGTGATGTATTATTATAATGATTATTATTTAACTGTTTTCGGACCTCTAAAAATAATTTGGTTTATATTATACGTGGGGTTTTATATATTCTAGGGTCATTGTGGCGTTATGTTCGATCATCAATGTCTTTATCCGGTTACATGCCACCTTTATGCGATCCAATTGATGGACACTTGTTATTGGATGGTGGATACATAAATAATTTACCAGGTAAATCAATCACTAACTTATTTAAATAGTTCAGTTAAACTAACAGAAACTAAAAAGGTTTAATAAGATAAAATTTGGTAGTACTGTATCCTCAAATAAAATAAAATATTGTAACTAGTAAATAAAATGAAACATAATTTTTTTCGATAAATGAAAAACAAATATTAAAAAAAATCTTTTTGGAATAATTACAAATTCAAAATAATTTGATATTGGAAAAATGTATGTGCGGAAGAATAATTCAGATTAAACATTTTTCAACTTGAAAGATCTTTATATTTGTATTAATGTACTGGTAAATAGGCTTTCTTTGGAGGTATGTACGAGCAAGTATGTCTATTGCTGGCTTACTTCCTCCCATTTGTAATCCTGGTGATGGACATTTACTAATGGATGGTTCTTATGTGAACAATTTACCAGGTTGGTATAATAGCTATAAATACTTTGGTGTTTGATCAATGTCTTATAAGTAGTTTGAATCCATTTTCTCTGTGCACTATAATTCTACAAAATAAATAAAACCATATGAATATGGAATATTTTAAGCAAGTTGACCCTCAAAGATATAGACATATTATATTTGCAATCACAATAAATTATTATTATTAAATTGCATATAAATACTCTAATTTATCTTGCAATGTAATTAATTTTTTAATATCCAAATTAAGGTATAATAATAAATAATAAAAGTAAAATAATGTTTTTTTTTTTAATTTGTAACGTAATGTAATGTAAAAAATAACCATTTTTTTTGTAAAGGAAAATCTCAGTAAGTACCACTGTTCCGAAAAAAAAAGAACAGCTTCTCTGTAATAATTCAACTTAAAGAAAAAAATATGAATATCACTGAACTCCCTAGCTACTATTTTTTCAATTTTAATGAAGCCTATTATAGTATACATTAACCTCTACAATATATTTATATAAAAATTTAAATAAAAAAGTAGCAAAAAATGCTCTAAAAAAAATGAAAAAATGTTTTGAAAATCATAAAAATATAAAAATGATATTATAAAAATCATGTTACCAAATACATTGGATGTTATTTTTCTATAATCCTTGACAGAATGGTAGTAGAAGAATCAAGTTTAAGATTAAAAAGATATTCTAAAAACTAAGATTTTTAAATACCGAGAGGAAAATAAAATTGTATTCTTTTAAATTTTTTTTTTAATTTATAAATAGATGTTTTAGAACTAGTGATGGGTCGAACCCTGATTTTTTAAATCGAACCAAACTTGAACCGAACTTTAAATTATTTTTTCGAATTCGAACTGAACCGAACCTTCATATTTTCTACCGAACCGAACCTATTATGATTTTAAGTCGAGCTCGAACTCGAACACAATACGTTTTATCATGTACATTGTACCTATCTACAAATTAAATCAATCATAATTATTAATTACTATTGTATTTTAAGTTTTCGTATTACCTATTCTACATTTCAGTGGCGTACATTCAATATTGCTCTGGGTAGAGGGTTAAAAAAAATAATCGTTATCTTTTTTTTTTTCGTTGCACAGATAAAGAAGATAAATAACTGCTATAAATAGATATTATTTTATACAACTTTTTTACCAATTTACAGTTTACTTTTACATTACAGTAAATTAATAGCTATTGGAATATAAAAACAGCATAGTTACTAAAACTTTTCAAACACCTGTCAATAAAATTATTTAATTATCATAATATTTGTATAGTTGTATATTTTAAGTTCAAAGCGTAATAATGAAACTACGAAAATATTACACGTCATCAATAATAAAATATTTTTTTTTTTTTTTTGTTTTTGGGGGTTTGCCCCCCCCCCCCCCCGTATGTATGCCACTGCTACATTTTAACTTTTAAGTCTAAGTAATTGTATTATTTACAATACATTTAAATTTTAGATAATTTCTTATTATTATTATTATTTTTCAAAACCAGTATTGTGCTCTCTCGTGTTGTTTTGTAGCTTATAAAATAATCATTCAGTATTGAGTATTAAGGAGTGTAATATCACAATCAGAGCCATGTCAAATATTTCAGCGCCCCGGGGCAAAATTTTTTCTACGGGGCCACTGGGCACAGGTAGCATATTAAGTGCAGATAAGGGCGCCCCCTTACTTTTAAAAAACTACGGCGCCCGGGGGCAATTGTCCCTTTGACCCCCCCCCTTAACACGGCCCTGATCACAATACAATCAGTACATTTTAATAATATATAAAAAGAAAAATAGTAATAATAACTTTAATTCACAAATATAGAATGATTAGTAGAATTTATAATGTAAGACGTAAGTTGTAAACATTTTTTTATTAACAGCACAGTCGCTATATCGGAATAGAATTCACCCAAAATAGATTTTAACCCCTATTAACCTCTACAATAATACGATAAAAACAAAAATAGCTAATTATGAATGTATTGCCTCTATTGGCGATAAACAACTTATTAATGTTTTGGTCGGCGGAAGGTGGATGGTAACATACGACTGGAATAAAATATTATTATAAATAATGCATAACGTGCCCTGTACAGATTATCACTTTCTATCGCCAATAGTCTAATTATTTTTAAATAATCATTATCAATTTTTATTTTTCAAAAATAACTTTTGAAGAATTGTATATATATATATGGTTTTCGAACTATCGTGGCCAGTAAATCTGGTTCGACAAATATTTTTAAGTTTGATTTTCGAACAGTAAAAGCTGCTTGATAGTTCGGTTCGATTTTTTTTCATGCCGAGTTCGAATTTCGAACCGAACCGAACATCAAGAGTTCGGTTCGAGATTCGAACAGTTCGACCCATCACTATTTACAGGGCCGCATTTAGGGGGGCACTAGCTACAACTGCCCCGGGCGCTAGTTTTTTTGGAGCACCAAAGTTTTGTGGTCGGAAATTTGCTTACTTGTGAATTATTAAACTTTTAAAATTATTTTGAAATTATTATTTTTTTTGTTTTTAATAATAGTATCATAAATTAATATTAATTTATTATGCTGTTTGAAATTTAAACAACTATGAACTAATTAATTTATATCAATATAACTATCAGCGATCCAGAATATTGTATATATATATATATATTATATTACCTAATATTAGTTTCTAAATTTGTTGTGATAATGTCAATAAACATAAGTTATTTATAATAATACGGCGTATTATGTTATCGCGTGCGACGTGTCGAAACGTGCCTACTACACAAAAATAGCATTGATTTTAGAATATTTAAAACAGTGGTTCTCAATGGAGGCGATACCACCCCCTTGGGGGCATTTCGGTTTCTCCGGGGGCGATAATTTTGAAGGGGTCGTTGAGGGTGGGTGAGCTTTTTCAAACTCGGAGATTAAAAATAATATTAATAAATCGTCGAGGAAGTTTGATACAAGTTTGATATCACTGATACCAAACGCTCGTCGATTTTTCAAACGGTGGAGAAATATTTTACCAGAAAAAATGTCCCCTTAACTAATATTATTGCATGCGCAATAGATGGCGCTTCTTCAATGACCGGTCGTCATGTTGGGTTCATATGCTGGGCCCACTTAAAAAAAGCCATCCCAGGTATTATTTGTGTTCATTATGTTATACATCGCCAACATTTAACTTTCCCGTCATCGTATTTAGTTGAAAAAGAATTTACCGTTGTTGTTTAGCTTTTGCATAGGCGCAAATTGGGGGGGGGGGGGCTTGGGTGTGCTTAGCACCCTCATTTTTGAAATTAGCACCCCCAAATATGTTAATATTAATTTACATTTAAATACTCATTACTCATTATGTATAGAAAAACATAATAATTTTTGAGTTTTTTTGTATAAATATATAAATTTTTATACAATACAAAAATATTTCGATACGAAAATAATAATATGTAGAAAAACTATTATGGTTTTAAAAAAATTACCTATCTAAAGTATCATCGCATGCCAATTTAAAATCTAAAAAAGCTCTAGAAAAAACTTTTAGGCCAGTATTTCTATCCGAAAAAAATGTTAAATAAAATATAAACATCATTATAAAACCATAATATTCTTCGCTTCAGTCAGAATCTAAAAGTGATCATGTGATAAAACATTTGTGTTTACAGACAGGTAATTCGTTATACACATAATAAAAATATAAAATTAAAGTGAACAATTTAAATTTAGAAATATTTATATATTTACCAAATATTTTAGTAACTGTTGAATTGTACGGTTTTCGGGTGTCTATAACCATTAAAGAACATGAAAAAGATAGAAGGGCTTCAGCCCCCCCCCCCCCCCCGTTTTTTTATTGAAATTGTGCCCCTGAGCTTTTGACTAAATAAAGAAATCGTTTGGACATTTACAATAAAGGTGATCTACGTTTAGCTTTGACCAATATCGAACTAGACATCCCAACTACTCATCAGGCTCAGGGCAATCATTGATAGGCATAGTCTTTTTTTAAAGTAAAGTCAAATTTTTTTGTTAAGTGGAGTAAAATATAACTATTACTATTTTCTTAAAATAAGAATTTTTACTTTAATTTAGTATACTGATGAATAAATATATATATATATATTTATATTAAGAAAATTTAATTTTAAAAAAGGGGGGCGTTAGCAGTAAGTTATTACGATAAAGGGGCGCTGAACTAAAAAAGGTTAAGAACCACTGACCTAAAAGGTTCATGAAGATCTATCTCTTATATTTTCCGAGGGTAAGCCCCTTAGAGGGGTGCCAATTTTTTTTTTTTTTTTGCGCCGGGGCGCAAAATGTTTAAATGCGGCACTGACTATTTAGAACTATGCATAAATCTATTGTATTGTATTCTATCATATACCTATATACATCTATATATGTTTATAATTATATTTTTAAAAAATTTAAATTTTAGCGGATGTTATGCGTAATCTTGGAGCAAAATTTGTTCTTGCTATTGACGTTGGATCTCAAGACGATATGGATTTTACTAATTATGGAGATAGTTTGTCTGGATTTTGGTTATTATGGAAAAAATATAATCCATTCACAACATCGGTTAAAGTTCCAAGTCTTCCAGATATACAATCTCGACTTGCATATGTCTCTTGTGTTCAACAACTTGAGGTAAATTAATTTTTATTCGTTCTTAATCTGGTTATTATTATTTTTACAGTTTTTACCATATGTTTAAATTACATATTTTTTAAATATAGATTGTTAAAAATAGTGATTATTGTCAGTACATAAGGCCTCCTATTGATAAATATAAAACACTTCAATTTGCAAGTTTTGAAGAAATTAAGGTAGGTATAAACTATTAAAATATTAATATACATAATAACTGCCATGTAGGTAAATTAATTTAATGCATAAGTAAACTCAGCCTAAGATATGATATATTATAAAATTAATTGATAAATTAAAGTTTGCCATGTATCAATTTATGAAAGAAATAATATCATAATCAAATAATTAAATTATTATTATTTAAAAATTATTTTAATAAAAGTGTGTAAAGCAAGCACCCAAAACTATGGCTTTAATATTTATATTTATTTTATTTTTAAAAACTAATAAAATGTAATTTTTTTTTTAATTTGAAGGGATACAATTTAAAAAATAACACACTGTTATTTTTATTATAGGAAGTAGGTTATCAACACGGTAAGACTTATTTCGCTGGTTTAAAACTAGCAGGAAAAATTCCATTTGGAAAACAAGAACCCATATTGTCACATAGAAAATCAGAACAACGAGATTTGTATCCAAATCTTGTACAGACTATTTCATCTAGTACCCTACAATCAGTTGACAGTAATTACATTTGATCATCAATACAAATATATCTACTTTCTTTTGAATATATATTAGTTGATAATAATTAATTTTTTTCAGATGTTCAGAAATTTGAATCAAATAAAAGTGATAAACAATAGTGATGCAATTTTTTTTACCTTTTCTGTTGTATAAGTTTTTGTTATTATTAAATATCTAATACATATATAAAGATTTATCTTATAGTTTAACTATTTTTCTATCTTCAGAATCCTTTAAGTTTTGTTGTATCAAAGAAATAAAATAATTTATTCATGAATATTTAAAAAACAATATTTTTATGTTACTTATGGAATTTTTTATTTTTCTTATTTTAATCTTTACATTTGTAAATATTAAATTTTATACTATATTTAACTTTGTATTTGTATTTTTCTATAAAAATTTTTAACATACTATACAGATATTTCAAATATTTATGGTTTTTATACTTAAGTACATTTTATTTAATAATTAAATTTGTAACAATAGTTAAATAAATAATAATTAACTATTAAGATAATAAAAAAAAATAATGATATAGGTACCATTTCCTAAGATTTTTCTTTGTTACAAGTTAACAATTTAAATTTATTAAATGTTCGGCCATTATATTGTCGCTTTTGACTAAATTGACGGTAATACAGAACTGTGCGTAATAATATACTTTATGCACTGTGCTGCTTTGCCTGCGTCTCAATATGTCTGGCCTTTCGATACAGTTAACGATACAGCATACAGTAGTACCATTGATTAAATATACTTTAGTATATTTAAGTATTTTAAGTATATTTAATCAATGGTAGTACCTACGTCGAAATTAAGTTCCATGTACTAGGCTTATATTTGTGATCATTACATCATAACATGATTAATTTTTTACAATAATACTTTATACATTCATGAAGTTAGCCCCACCAAATTGACAAATAAATTCGAAACCAATGCCAATATTTTGCAAATTTTTTTATAAAATTTGCAAATTACCCCTCCTTGGCAATAAACATTTTTCAATTGGGGGGGGGGGCTAACTTCATGTAGCCCCAACAAATTGACTGATTTAATTGGAACCAACACCAATAATATGCAAATTAATTGCAAATAATTACAAATTTTAATTTTGGCGAATTTTTTAATGACACATAATTAAATCCGCTTTTCTCAACATTTAGACGCGATACCAGGGGCGTATTTAGACTTACTTATAAGGGGGGGGGGCGACTCAAATTTTTTCTTTAAGTTAGGCTCAAAATTTACAAGTAAAATTTTTGGTAATATTTATATCAGGTGAATCCTTAATTTTTTTATTTATTTATTTATTTATTTTTTTTTAATCTAATGCCGGTCCACTTAGAATGGTCTTTTGTGTAGTTCTTTTTTAACACTTATCTGTGTTTTGAAAGTTTCGCTTGAGTTTTATCTAATTTTTCACTAAGTATAGACTGGGTCTTCAATCAAAATAATATATATTATTTATCGTTATGGAACATATAAACGTTAAAGTCCGCACTCACTGCAGCGGTAAATCCGAGTGTGGTAATAATATCGCGACGCGGTTTTTACAGAAACCGCTGCATGCTCGAATTTTACCGCTACCGCCCAGCGGTTTTTGATGTTTCACTTGAAATTCATCGTCATTAAATTCATTGCCAGTATTTCAAATAACATTTTATTACTTATTAGTTATTACCGTATACAAGATAATGAAAAGCTATGTACCTATAGTTATGTGAAATTAACATTTAGCATTCATCAACATATTTTATTATTATATATTATTATTAATAATTATAATTAATAAATAATATAGTTATAATTATCTACTACTCTAAAATATCTAAACTGTATACTAGTTTGAATCATTTCTAAAAGTGTCCATAAATGTATCCAATTTTTTAACAATAAATTGTGTACGATTGATATCGAATAGTCTATTTTTATTTTCAGTCATATGAACTACTTTTGTTTTTCCAAAACACGTTTGTGTATGATGTTTCATGATTAGTGATTACTGATTAGTGTTTAGATTAACGTAAAAAGAAACAGTACAGTTACTAGTTACTAGTCAGTAAGTAAGTAATAATTATTCATAACTGTAATTACAGGTATACGTAATTAGTTTTATTGTATTCCGTAACATATTATATTATAATACAATACTATACTAAAAAACCATTTATTTATGTTATTATAAATTATATAGGTAACATTGGAAAATCGCCGCAATGCAATGTGAATTTATGACAGTTTATTATTTCCCGGGAGTTTAAATAGTTTAATTAAAAATCCACCAGTCATCGCTACCACCAGCGGTAATCGGTACCGCTGTAGTGTGTGCGGACCTTTAAACAAATTTAAACGTTTAAAAAATTTTCCGTTTACTGTTATTGACTGTAAAAACGTTATGAAAAATTTAGCGTTTTGCGTTTCCTATTTAAATTAGTGTAAAATTTGAATCGTTTTCAAATGTAGTAACACTATAAAATAAATCATAATTTTTGTTTCTTAATAAAATACCCATTACTTATATAAAAATTGTCTTAGTCTAAAAATTCTTGGGAGGGGGGCGATTGCCCTCATCATCCCCCCTCTCAAATACGCCACTGCGCGATACATCATGAGGGGATAAATTTAATCGTTTTGAAGAAATATTGATCCATTTTATAAAATAATTATTTATCTACTTAATGAATATATCAAAATGTTCTCAAAAGAATCAAATAGCCCCCGAGGATATTTTGACCCATGGGGACTGATTCATTCATTATATAAACAATTCAATTTTTTTTTTATATATATATATTGTTTTGGTGTATCATAGTAAAGAAGTTGTTATTGGAAAGAAAGTATATTTTATACCTTATCATCTTGAATATATTAAGCTTATTTCGTTGATTCATTTGAGTTTTAAAAAATTAATTTAAATGGCTGAGTATTTGAAAAGAATTAGTTTAAGTAGGTATATGAAATTAATGTAAAAATGGTTATTTCTTATCGAAAGCCAACTAAAACTGTACATTATGTACAATTGTGTCGTCGTCGTTAGTCATACAATATATTCGGCAGGACTCATGGGTCTTCCCTAACTGAAATCACTAATGTAATAATTTATATATCTATGATGTTTTTTATTGTTATTTACGTATGCCAGTCCCTACTTTTCATAAAAATTCCTATTACACATTTTTTAATTAACAATGACATGGTACAGAGCCCCCCCCCCCCCATCTACCCCCTTCCATATGATTATAATTTTTAATATAAGGTCAGTAGGTAATAATTATTAATATTAGTTCTTCCGTACATGTCGAATCATAGATAAGAATATATAACGACGGTTGTTTATGAACAGGGCTAGGATTTGTATGCAACAGCATGTTTTTTTTTGCGACTTCTGATTGTTGATTTTGTCAGTAATGTTCACGAATCACCTCATGATGAGATACATGGTGGTATTTTTATTTTTCATGTTTTTGCATATTTATATAAAATGCATATTATTGCATATATTGAATAAAATGAATATTATTGCATATTTCGATTATAAGAATGCGAAAAATTGATGTTTTTAGTATATTTTGTAATTAATATTTCGTATTTAATTCTAGACTTGCTGATTAGAGTATAAAACTTGGTTCTTTTTGTCAAACATAAAATTTATTTTAAATTATTTTTTTTTTATTTTATGTTTCAATTATATTATATTAAGTTACATTTTTAAAAATGTATACTTTGTTTTGTAATTGGTAAGTTAATCAATTATTTTTTTATATTTATAGTTAATGAATAAACGATATAACTTTTCAAGATAGGTATATGAATAAATTACATTTATAAATTTAATAAATAATTATGTTGTACGTAAATCATAGTAGTTGCTCACAGGCAACAAACTAAAAAATTGGTTTTTTAGAGACTTAAAATACCAAAAAATTTTTTAAGTAATTTCCCCTTCATTAGGACTAATATAACAACCAAAAAAAAAATTAAAAAATCATGCATTGTAGGGTTAAGAAAAAAATCCAACCACTGATGTATTTCAATAAACAAATATTTTTTTTTTAACTATATTTTTGTTTTTATCTTATAAAAATTTAAATGCATATTTTTGTATATTTTGGTAAATAAAATGCATATTTTACAATTTTTTATTGCATACAAATCCTAGCCCTGTTTATGAATAAACCACGTTTTCTAATAAACTTTTGGCGGACCGGTCCGCGGTTGCCGATTACGAGTAATGAGCGTATCAACGCCACACGAAATCATTAACAGCGCGTTCTCTCGATCATTGTATACGTTTCACTTTCTGTGTAACGTCTTCTTTATCAAATTACACATTATAATTAGGTATTAACTACCAATCTGTTATTATTTTTTAAACTGAAAATATACTTTTGTCTGGTATAAATTTGAAAACTATTTAAAAATTATTTATTATAATGTAGGATATTTAACTTCAAATTTTACAGATATATTTAAGTCCTCACAGGCTGCCTTGATTAAACTGGCTTCCTATAAAACACTTTTATAGTAGTCTTATTTATTAGTATTTAATAGGTGCACACTTCTAGTTTCGGACTATACAATTTGTATCCGGGTTCACTATAAAATTGGGACTGACGTATACTGTAAAATGTATATTGTGTATGAATAAAATTTAAGCTATTTTAGGTCTTTCACCAACTGACTTTAAAAATACCGTCTTCACAAAAAATATGCAGGTATTATACATTTTTATAATTAACATTAGCGTTGGTTTCAATTAAATCGGTCAACTTTATGGAGCTACATGAAGTTAGTTCCCTCCATAGGCGCGATTAGAGTTAAACATTTAGGGAGCTCCAACCCCTTTTATATATTTTTCAATCACTACCTCTCAAAAACTTTTTTCCACCCTTCACTCTCTATAAAAAAATGTGCTTATTGGAAGGCAAGTAAAACTTAAAAATATATAAAATTTTCATTTATTCAGTAGAAATCACATATTTATTTTTATTTATCAATATAATATAAAGTTCTGCTTGATTTTTTTAGGGGGGGGCTTTGAATTATTTTGAATTATTTTCCAGCCTCTTCAATTGCACCTAGCCCCCCCCCCCAATAGAAAAATGTTTATTACCAAGTGAGGGGTGATTTGCAAATTCTATAATTTAATTTGCAAAATATTGGCATAAGTTTTGAGTTTATCTGTCAACTTGGTGGGGATAACTTCATGAATGTATTCTTAACACAATTCTATTGAACCTTAAGGCTCGTTTCACACTACACGATTTTGACCGTACGGCAAAAATCGGATCATTGGCTCTTTACACGTTATACGGTTTTTAACGTACGGTAAAACACGATTTATGCACGATTCCCATGCTTGTATACTTTTGTACAGGTTTAGTTTTATAAGAACACCCAAGTCGCGAGTTGTTATAATGACTGACAAATTAATTATTGCACTATGGTCAAAGCCGTCCCAAGAAGGGGGGGGCAAATGGGGCAAGTGCCCTAGGGCGTCCAAAGTATTTTGAATTTAGGGGGAGTCATAAAAATGGATAAAAAAAAAATTTAGTGTTTTTATTTTAGATATTAATTTTCTTTTTATACCTACTGTAATATCGAAGATGAGTACCTATCAAATTGTTTATTATATAGTCCTTCAATAATAGGTACATAACTATCAATATCAATATTATCTGTGGACTGTGATTGACTGAATCATGATAACTAGGATTCGCAAGTTCATGCTCTAAAAAATGTCTAAATAAGCATGCATTTATGCACTTAAAATTGACAAAAAATGCTTTGAAATATGACTTAAACAGTTAAAAATATGCATTTATATGCACTAAATATCTAAAATTATGCACTTAAAAAATGCTTTCTTAAAAAAATCATAAATAATTTTTGAATTAACATGAATTATCTATTCATTTTTTTATAGTATATTTTATTCTTTATACCATAATTACAAAAAAAAAAAAATAGATTTTAAATACCATTTAAAACTATTCTTGAGACTTCATGAACTGCGTATAATGTACCTACGTCTTTGTCAGTAATTTATTTTAAATCTGAAACTTTTGAAACAAATTTATTCGTTAAAGGTACGAGTATCAAGAAGATAAAAAAAGAAAAGATAATACAATAATATTTTCAATTTTATATATAATTTCCATTTAAATTTTTGATAGATTCTAATAGAATGTATAATATGCCTAATAATATAGAAATATGCATAAATATGCCAAATATACAAAAACATACCAAATATGCAAAAACATGCAAAATAAGATTTCACATATTTAATTGTGGTATCTTAAAACGGATTTCTATGTCATCTAGCATTAAATACAACTTTGCAACATTGATATGCAAATGCATGAACTTACGAGCTATGATGATAACTATTATTACCTAGTTTATTACCCAAAACCACAGATATATATATTGTTTTATATATCTGTGCCCAAAACCCAAAGATATATGTATACTGTATAAGGTATTAATATCATTAATTATCATCGATTATAAAATATACTGGTATTTATTATCAATGATATTAGGTATAGATATATGTAGTTATAATCAACTCATTATCAATTTTACCGAAATCTAAAAATAAATCAAGTTAGAGCAGTTCAACTGAATTCTGTAAAAAAACTTTGTTTTTTATAAGCATAAAATATATACTCATATATTATAAATTTATAAATAACTCATAATTATATGTACTGTATGAATACAAATATTTTTTTATAATTTGTATATACTGTTATGTGTGAATAGTGTTATTTTTCTTTCTATATTGTACCTACTCATAATAATAAAATTAGTGTCAACTTCAAAAAATCATAAAAATAATAGGTAAATAAATTTATATAAATAAGATTACAATAATAGTAATAAAAAAATAAGCAGGAACCTTTAATTAATAAGTATTAAACATATTTAAAAATATTAAATCAAAATTTTTTTATAGGAGGGAGAGGGGCGTCAAATAGTGTTGCCCTAGGGCGTTATTGGTGGTTATGATGGCACTGACTATGGTTATACAATCGTCGCCGCAAAAGACAATAGAAAAATCGTATTTTTTGGTACATCCTATTAATGCTCGGAGAGAGGAAGAGGGATTATTTTATAATTTATTTAATGACTTACGAAATGATGAAAATAAGTTTTTTAGTTATTTCCGTATGTCAAGTGCTTCTTTTGATGCATTATATGATACAGTGGCGCACACAGGGAGGGTCAGCGGTGTCGACTGACACCTCTCAGAGAATTGGTGGATGACTAGTTCTGTGTGAACTTGTATGAATATTTATTTAATTTAATACTAACTTATTTTTCAGCTATCCAAAACAACATACTAATTATGTTTACCCTATAACTAAAGCGTCATATGAGAATAAGTAGTAAGGTTCAATCCCAAAATTATGTTTTACAAACTTATAAATTAATACTTAGAAAATTGAAAAATAATTAATATTAAATTTATTTTAAAATTTTTTTTTTTAGTATCTTTGTTAGTAAGAAAAAACCAAAAACACTTAAAAATAAGAATTATACTAAGCCTAAACTCAGATTTTACTGGTAGGGGTGGGTGGGTACCTCGAAATATATAATTTTGACACCCTTGTTAAAAATATGTGCGCCACTGATAATATACTAATAATAAACTAGCCACTAGGCTTATCGCGCCGTCCGGCTGCCGTACACTGTAGTGGCAGTAGACGGTTGCTGTACGGCACGGCGCTGGCATTTGCCGTGACCGTATAATATGAAAGCGTATATGCTATTATCGCTCCACTAAAATATCGCCGTCTGGATTTTTGCTGTACGGTCAAAACCGTGTAGTGTAAAACGAAACATTTACATACATCTGATATGAACATTAGCAGATTTAACAAAAATATTTCTTAAAGTAAATTTAATCTGAAAATTTGTGATAAGCCAAGTTCATAATCAAATGTGTTGGAGTAACATTTGACTTAATTTAAGACCGTAGTACTCATCATAAATGGAATATTTTTTAGATCTTGTACCGTGAACCACCGAGTGCAGCCAGTGGCGTAGCCAAGGGGTGGCTAAGGGGGCTATAGCCTCCCCCATGGGCCATGTTTATATGAATTTTAATCAAAGGCTTATTGATGTTATGCCACTTGAAGGACTTATTCCGGCTAATTTAAATATGTATGACGATAAAAATATTATAAAAGCTGTTAAAATATATGTCCAAGATCTCCATGATGATACCTCATCTACAATCAGAACTGACCTGTTCATATGGAGGCAACAATGGAGTCAAAATACTATTCCAAAACCGAATTCTGCTCTTCATTGCACCAATCTTCGACCTAACATTAAAATACTTTTACAATTATTCGCTACGTTACCAGTTACCTCTTTCACTCCGAAAAGAACGTTTTCAGCACTTAATCGCTTAAAAATTTTTTTAAGAAGCACCATGTCGGAAAACAGACTGAATGGGTAAGCTATGGCTAATATAAATAAAAATGAGCAATTCAATGAAAGTGAAATAATAACTGAATTTGCTAGAAATTCGCCTAAGAGAATGCAGATGTCAGAGTGGAGCAAGTGACTGAACACTGAAACCAAAATTATTATTATTATTATAAATTATATATTAATAAATATTTTTAAAACTATACTAAAATGCTTGAATTACGTTTAGAAACTTGGTGGTAGATGGTGGGGGGGTTAAGGGTGAATTCTCATATCCTCTCTTACCTTACTTATCCAAAAAAAGTGGTTAGCCCCCCCCCCCATTTAAAAATCCTGGCTACGCCACTGAGTGTAGCTGATGACGCACGTCAGGTACCGATGTCAATGACAGAAAAAATAAACAAAAGCAATGTTGGGCGTCGTGACGGGCGTTTGAAAACCACGTAGCACCGCGTTTCTCGCGCTGCCGTTAGCGTTTTTCCGTTATCACACGATGGTCGTTTAGTCCATGGGATGCATACTATTCACTCCATGATTAACCTCATGTTTAATACTTGCTACGTTTGTTGGAGACCCTCCTACCGTCCGCGCGTTACGATTTATATAATATTAGTGTATCATTGTACAAATATCATATTATAATATCCAAATAGCGTGACGTGCACTTGCTCTTCTCCGTGGCTAGTGTTTAACGTGTTTTTTTCAATTTTTACCCGTGTACTGACTGTACTGGTTACTTGTAGCTGCTAGGACAGAGTAGCTTTTCAGTACGACCGGCGTGTACCATTTTATTCCACCACACTACCATCACACGAACCCGCCGCGTGACTATGGCTGGAAGAAGCGCTTTCAACGACTTCGACAGCAGGTTTGTGCAATTTGGGTTATTACGAGTAACGGGCGTCACTGCCCTCCCAACTCCGCCTTCGTGTTGTCCTACCCAAAATCCCATCAGTACCATTTGCGATCGTCGTAGAAACGACAATTTACGCATCCGTTACGTGTTTTCTCGAAAACGTCGTAAAGCGGACGACGCGTGTCTGAGATTATTGCGAATGCGTCGAACCGCGTGTTCCCGAAGATCTAATGGAATGAACGACGACCGTTTTGACACAAAACAACTTCTAATCTCTTTCTCACACAGACACCCAAAATTTATATCAATTATTTTACAACACAGGCGTTAACAACCGTTGATCCAAGTTCTCGTATATTGTACCTCTCTATGACAAAGTTCTTTTCCGAAATCGATTACTTTTACCTTCCAATTCGTCATCAATATCAATGAACATAAATTCATCATATTTTAACCTATAATTTTCCAAACCTTTTGGCCTAGTGCTCTTTGTGCTTCATTAATCAGAATGATATTTATCATTTTTAGAATATTAACGTGTTGAATTGATTTAATTTTAAATCCAATACCAACCTGTGGTCTTATGTGCTTTATTGTGTTTTATTTTTTATACTCAACTTAATTTTCAAGTTTTGTAAGTAATTAGTTTCAAGATATTCTGATGCTTAGTTGATTTTATTTTGATATTTAATCATTTGTTATTTCTTTGTTTGAAAGAATATGTTATTGTTACAAAACATATTGTTTTACTTTGAATTTACAAATATCTCAATAATATTATCGGGTGTTCTTAAAAAGTTACTTAAACTGCATTCAGACTTATTTGATATTAGCATGTCACAATATAAAATACCTATAGTTAATTCATCATTTTGTTACATTAGTTTTATAATAAGGTATATAAGGTATACAAGAGGTTTAATAAAAATTGTAATCATAGATATCAAGTTTTTTTATAATTCTATTGATTATATTGAAACTTACATTGATTCCTGCATTAACTTTTAAGTATTTATATTATTTTCGTATTTAGTTTTCCTATATCTTCTAAGATCTGTTAGAGAAATAGTTATTGTTTTTACTTTTCTAGCTTTCTTTTTATTTTGTTTTCAAGTTATTATATTTTTTTATGCATTGTTAACATTAATTAACCAATCTTTTTTCTCTTTCTCCCTTTTCTTATTCTTATTGATTTCTGTTCATTCATTTAAATTTAATAGTTTCTGTTTAAAGAAAATAAATTATTACTGAAGAAACCAGCAATTAAAATACTTGTAAAATTAATAAATGATAATGAATAATATTATAAATTGGACTTCTAAATTTTGTAAATTTTAATAATATATTTTTGTAAATTTATCTTTCTAGTTTATATTTATTAGTTAAAAAATATCTTATAGGATTAATTATTTTTAAACTAGATATAAAAAACATTGTTTATATAAATCTTGTTATTTTCCATTTTAATTTCTATATATTGTTTTTATTTTTTATAGAAATTTTAATAAGCCATTACCTAATAGCCCTCCTTATGTGGCTTATCTTGGAAATTTACCTCAAGGAATAACACAAGGAGATGTTGAAAATCTGTTTCTTCAAAATCAGGTATGACTTTATAGTTTATATATTTAATATTAAGCTAATTATAAAATATAGTATGATTAAATTATTAAATTGTTAATATTTTTAGTTACAAATAAGAAGTGTACGGTTAGTCCATGACAAAGAAACTGATATGTTCAAAGGATTTGGATATGTTGAATTTGTTACTTTAGAACATTTGTCAGAAGCACTTCAAATGGAAGTCTTCATTGAAGGACAAAAAATCAAAATTGATGTAGCGTCTGGAAAACGAAATGAAAGATCAGGATTCGATCGAGGTGGTAGAGGAGGTAGGGGTTACTCTTATAGTCGTATACTATAAAATATATCTAGACAATTATGGAAACTAAATTGTTTGTAGGGATCACATCTGATAACATGTATTGATAAATTATAGTAGGTATATTTTTAATTGAACTTTATTTGTTTTAAAATAATGATATATTAAATTATAACCGTTATCATATTTAAGCCCTATAATAACTTCCCATTTTCCCATATACATAGATATTTATTATATAAAATTATTAATAAGCATATTATAGTATGCTTATTAATAATTTTAAGTTGTCTATCGAGTCCCTCAATAATTATAATTGAAACATTTATTTACATAAAGCATGATGAGCTACATTGTATTATTAATTATTCATTACTAGCTTTCCATATAACAAATTATATTTATTTTATACTTAATATCTTATTATAAAAAGATAAAAGCAATACTTTTAAAATAAACAGTTTATTAATTGTATGTATTTATAACTATGTTGTTATAACATTTTTTTTCTTGTCCTTGGTATTCAATAACAATTCTCTATTATCTTTATTTTATATATTTGTCAATTTACTACTAATATTTACAAATATTTTTATAGGTGGTGCTCCAGGAAGTTTTAACAGCAATCCTGGTGGAATGCGGAGTAGATCTGATGATTTCACTCAAAATCCAGGTTAGATTGATTTATTTTTAAGGCTAAACATTTATTTATTTATTTATAATTTATTTGTTTATTTTTTTATATATTAATTTTTTTTATAATATATATATATATATATATATACATTTAAATGTTTTTAAATCATCTTATACTAATAACATTTAAGATCCAATGAGTACTTAGTTCTATGATTAATATTCATTGCTGTTCACAAACTGAAGATATTTGCTGAGGAAATTGTATGAGAACTTATTTTTGTTAACTATTAAACTAAATATTTCTATGATTAATACTTAATGCTGTTCACAATCTGAAAATATTTGCTGATCAAATTGTATGAAAATTGATTTTTGATAATTATAAAACTAAATATTTCGATGATTAATACTCAATGCTGTTCACAAACTGAATTTATTTGCTGAGAATAATTATGAGAATAATAATTATAAGAATTATATAGTAAAATGTATATATTTATTTTAAATATTGTGGAAAAATGTATTTAAATTATTTGAAATTGGATGGTTGTTGTAGGTTTTTCTGGTAATTTCCGGAATCAAAATGGAGGAGGAATGGGTGGACGAAGTAATTTTATGGATCAATCTAGTGGTAACCGTGGAGGAATGAACAGGTATCCAGAAGGTGGTCCAAGAGATTTTAGTCGACCTAATGTCCCACAATTCCCAGGTGGAAGTCGTGGTGACCGTAGACCAGATTTTGAAGTCTTACCTCCTCCACCAAGTAAGTCTAAGATTTCAATATTACATAATAATATTGTACGTTTAAAAATCATAACCAGTACTTAGTATTATGTATTATAGTTACTACTAATTTAGTGTAAAACATAAATATATATGTACAGATCACTAAAGTTTAAATATTGTGAAAAAGTTCCATTAAGTTTATTAAACTGTTAGCCAAGATTTTAGTAACATTTCTAAAGAATTTACTTAATTATATAAATTAAAAGAAATCATATTTAAACTAAAATAAATTAGTCTTACATTTTTTTTTTCTTTTTGGATTTTGGACAAATTTCATTTGTTCATAAATTTACAAATATTGAATGTATTAAATAGACAAGTTAGTATATTATTCTAAAACTACTGATTAACTATTGAACATTTCCTGAAAACATATGAAGTATTTACAAAATTTTAATTTTTAAATAAATTTCTATTATTAATTTAAATTATTTAATGTAAATGTTATTTTAGGTGATCCAGGCAGACCTAAATTGACATTGAAGCCGAGGACTATAAAAGAACCACTGAATCAAATGGCTGATACTACTCAGCATACAAGTATTTTTGGAGGAGCCAAACCTCGTGAAGAAAAATCTCTTCCTGATGTTGTGAAAAAAACATCACCTCATTAATAAAAATAATTTAATTTTGTGCCAGATTAACATTCTAATGGACATTGCTTTACTGTTTACAAAATTTTATGGTTTTTTTTTTTTTACATTTTTTTTATACATATAGCAAACAACAGGTTATTTATGTGTATGTTGGCAATAAGATATTACCTTCACAGATTGTTGTAATGTTTGAAATCATAATTTATGCTCCTCATGCATAATGTTCACTTAAAGTATGTATTTATTTATATGTACACTAATTTTGAGTACAATTGTGCCCTTAACTGTACTAGTATAGTTAATAGTTTTATTTATATTGTAAGTGATTAGATACTACGTATTAATTAATTGTAGTTATTAAGTAGTTTTCATTTATATTAATATATTAAGAATTTTGTATAGAAATATTAATAATAATTGCTTAATAACATAAAATGTATTCTATTTTTTATCTTATATCATTTAAATAATTTTTTTAAATAAATAAACAGTTAAATAATTCCAACAATTAAAAAAATGTGTTCATAAATAAAATGTGATTTGAAAATGTGTAAATCATTTAAAAATTATTTATTTTAATTGTATTCTATTAAATATTGAAAATTTCTTTTCGATTTAAATGTATGTGTTGTATTGTTACAACATTAATAACAACAAATTTTTTTATAGTATATAGCAAAATTTCATATAATTCAGTTTGCACATTATAGAAATCAAATAATGAACGATTGTTTTGCAATTGAAATTTGAAAATGAAAAATTTGTTTTTTACCAACATTGAATTCTGATATACACAAGGCTTTATTATCAAAAGAAAAAAGTTTATCCCTAGAAGTATTCATTCTTCATTCATAATGCCTATGATTTAATATTTTAAAAACATTCAATCACATATTCATTTCTTATCATCTGCTTTTAAAAATTTATAATTTGTTTGGCATTATGTATTTGGTACTCTCATTTCCTGAAAACCCCATTTTAATATAAGATTGTTCAATTAAAAAATTTAGGGTGCCTGGGATGCCCTGCGATTTTTCAAAGGTGCCGGTCAACCGAATTTTAAAAAAATTTTATTTATAAAAAATTTTCTTTATTTGCTAATAACAATAAGAACTTATAACTAATAACATAATATTGTATTGTAATATCTTATGTCTATAATATATGAACCATATCGGCTATCGCAATAAAATAATATTATTTACGTGGGTAACTACCGGTATAATTTGTATGAACTATTTTTAAAACTATTGACTATTATTAAAATTATTGATAATGAAAATGACGATGATTCTGATAACCCGGCTTCATTTATGGTAAGTATAAATTTTATATATTTTACCTCATAGATATTTATTTGGTGTATTATTGTGTTCCGGTGTTTCAAATATTTTGCTTCGTGTTGTGGCTGGGGGTGCATTTCAAGTGCATTTCAAATACATAGTAGGGTAGAGAAATAGTACGAAATATGAATATAATACAAATAAATGAAAAACAATTTTACAGTTCACAATAAATTATTTTCATTGCTTTTATTATTGTTACAATAAAATTATATAAAATGTGCCGTAAATTTTTTTTTCAAACAAATTCATTATTTAACGTTAAATTGAGCCTTAATTATTAGGTATTGTTTTAGATTTTAACTATCGATAGTATTATTTATTTTCAATTTACTTTTATTTTTCCGTGAGGGAGGAGGGGATTGCCCTATGAATTGTCATACATTAAGAGAGACCGGTGCTAGTTTGGTACCGAGGTAAGTTGACCAAGTCGATTTTTAAAATCAAGTGTTTAAGTTGGACACGTATCAATAGCAATATATTATGACCGTCGTTATTTATCACTGTACGATTTGTAGTGATTATATGATTTTTCCTTAATCTTGTTATCAGTAAATATTGTTTTCAACTGTTGTTTTTTTTAACGTTTTAAAAATGTTGTTTTTACCGATTTAAATTGTTTTTTTTTAACATTAAAACAGAGTAAAAAAGGTATGTAGAACACGATTCAGGTATTTAATTTTAATTTTACAGAAAGAAAAGAATAGCAAAAATGTAATTTCCAGTTCCGTTTGCATTTAACCTGAAGCTGAGTCAAATGTAAGTTAGGTATATATTGTCTACCTTTGCATTATTTTATTAATTTTATAGAACTAAAAGAATAGTAATAATGTAATTTGTGGTAAACAAGAAGCTGGATCAGATGTAAATTATTCATTATCTATCCTATGTATGATTACTAATTAGTAATGATCAGTGGTGTATTGAAGGGTATACGCTATATACCCGGATCCCTATTTTTGGATTTATGCGTATACCTTTAAGAAAATTTGTCTATCATGCAATGCTCGAATTGGCAAAATTAAAGAAAGGGGACTCTATTTACTTAAAAAAAAAGAACGTCCCCAAAACTGGCTGAGCGTTATGTTTATAGCGTAATAATAGTAGGGGGACGCTAAAATTTCTGAAAATTAGTTGGGGTACACTGTCCCCCTGCGTCCCCCTCAAGTCGAGTACTGCTATCATAAATATACGCTAACTAATCATTCGTACATAATGGATATACGCAAGCTTCTAATTTTTCATCACCATTAGGCCCTCCTCACACGGGGATACTCAAAAGAAATTGCAATCATCTAAGTACTAGGAGACTGGGTGACTAGTCAACTACAGTTGCCGGTTATCTTCACACACAGTATACTAAATTTTTGTTCCTAGTTTTTTAAACTAGTGTCGCCCTACTATTTCGACAGTACAATTCAGTTTAACATTTACGCAACTATAAAGAAATATGCAAAAATACGTAAAAAAAATTAACCATATAATCTATACATTATGAAACGTCGACATTTATAATTAAAATTATTATTCTAGATGAATTGTAGAAGAATATGCATTTGTATATAAATCCGGGCCCTAATTATAATAATATATTAAAATATAAATTAAAATATATAAACAAATTATAATTAATTAATAATTATTAATAATAAATTCTTTATAGCCATGTACTCAGAACCAATTATTATTATATTATTTTATTATACATATTATTATTATTATTGTGATAATACTAGAATATTATCGGCCTTACCTGTGAGCTTAATTTCTGAGGCTACTTCACTCCAAGCTTTTTCCGTTATATTTCTTTTGGAGTAGCTTTTTAAGGTATAATTATATAGCTCGGGATACTTTTCTATTTGTTGCACAAATTTTATATTAAAATTTTGACCCATGTTACATTATTTTATTATGCATGAAATAAAAATTACCAAACAACTCGATCAACCCAAGTAGCGAGGAGACCGGCATGTCTAGTCGCCATTTGACTAGTCGCGTTAGTTTATTAGTCGCGGCGACTTGAGTAGCGCCGTCTGAATGAAGCCATTCAAACACACATTAGCAGTTGCCTATTCGCCTAGTCTCCTAGTACCTAGGCGACTGCAGTTTCTTTTGAGTATTTCCGTGTGAGGAGGGCCATAGGCATACATTATACAACAACAACAGTATAAAATTTATTATTATTATATACTATAGCCACTATCCAAAAATAGCCTCGTGCCCGCATAAACTTCGATTAAATTTCCCCCGACTTCGGGTATTGCGATGACGGTCGGAAACTGCCGAGCGTCTATATACTGTAAAGCGGCCCATGAAAAAATATTGACGAACATTGACGATGACCATAAACGTATCTATATTATTGAAAAATTATTAAACATAATACATATAATGAAATTACCAGGTCCGTTATAAAATAGTAAATCAGATTTAAATTTGCTTTAAACAATTTATTCATTTTAATTATAAACAATTATGTTTGATAATTTAGACAATATTATAATAGCTCTTGCTCTAACTATTTCTTTTCTTGATAAAAGGAAGAAAAAACGGAAGCAGAGGTTTTGGGCTAATGAGACATTACAAAAGCGAAATAAATATAATTGTGAAAATCTGTTATCTGAGCTACGATTAAACCAACCTGAAGACTATTGAATTTTTATTAAGAATGAACGAGTCATGCTATGATGAACTTTTAACTTAAGTTACTCCATTAATAAAAAAACAAAATACAATAATGCGAAAATCGATTTCATCCAGCCAAAGACTTTCCTGGACTCCGCGTTACTTATCCACTGGTAACACACTTGAAGATCTCAAATTTATTTTATTAATTTATTTTTATTGACAGTACGTCAATAAAAATCAAATATTTTTAATTTGTTCAATATTATTGATCAATCCTTCAATACTGCCAATACATGATCAATATTATTGACAATATCAAATATTAATCAATATTATTGACCGTGTATGGGCCGCCTAACATCAGAATTTAAACAATACCGGTGGAAACATGCGATATTGTATTATTGATCGGATATTATAATTTTTATAAATAGATCAACAGTCAAAAAGTTCTGTTTATAAATTGATCACCAAATTAACAGATCTGCCTACGAAGTTTTGGATAGATTGTGATTATTAATTATTATATTGTTGTCAGTTAGTCACTTAGTATTTATTCGTCACATGTTTGTGTAAATTATTTTAAATTAATACTAAAATATTATTACACATAATAAAACATTAGGTTTCATGAAAATAAATATTAACATAATTGTTATGTTTCATATATGATAAATACCTATGAGTTAATTAAAGATAAGTTTAAAATTTAGAATTCCATAGCAAGCGTGGATCCAGGAGACTAAGGGGGCGCGCGCCTACTTCAAATCCCCTAAAAATACTTTTGTTGAAATGTATACCCCCCCCCATCTTAGGAAAAAAAGTCTGACGAAGGTATATTCCTCGTCCCCATAATATTACGTAATTTTGAGTTTAGGTAGGTATAATATTTCTTTAAGGAGTTTAGCCCCCCCTCCCACCAATAAACGCTTATATGCTGAGCGTATACCCTAGAAAAAAAATTACGAATACACCACTGGTAATGATCTTTGTTTTAACTTTTTTTTTTTTTGCTATGATTTTAGAACATAAACAACCAAACAAAAAATAAAATTTATAATTATCTGGAATTGATGATAGATTTAAACAAGAAACGTCGGATTTAATAACTGTTGTTGGTCAACTAATTAATTTGGAGTTGGATTTAATTCATCTTGTATATACTTACATACTAAACAATCTGCTTAAGGCACTATAAAAGTATATAGTATATTCTATAGTACCCTAAATTTATTATTAATAAATTTAAAGTTGAACGATCTACATAATTATGCACGTTATTATTGCAGTACATGAATACAAATTCACACTGGCGTACAGTTATAATGCGGTCGGTTCGATATACTAGCAATATGATAATTTGGTCACGCACGTGATTCCAAAAAATATATAATAAAGTACAGTTGAAAGCAAATTAAATCCAGTTGGAATTAATTGTTGCAGCGGTCGGGGTCAACTACAAATCATAAGTTTGCGGTGAAATTCATTAAACGCGAAATTAATCGATTCAAACACGATATAAAATAAAATCCCTTCTTATTGCACTACTAAAGGAACTGTTATTTCAAAATTTCAAGCTCATACGTTATATCGATATTAAGATGCGATGATCGATCAGTGAATGAGTGGTGTTTGAATTATATACATAAGTATCTACTGGTTATTAGTATTAATTTTAGTATTTGTTTACCAGTACGACTGCGGTGTTATAGAATCGACTTATTATTTTTCAAGCCGCAACAGAATACAAAGAAAAAAATATTCCGGGACGCAATTTACTGCGACCCGTTTACGTATACGTATGTATATATATACGAAAGCGCGATCGATCGCAGTGATCTCGTGATCTTTACAAGTAAATCGTTTGCAGAAGAGGCTGTTTGCGCAGTTCCAGTGGTTTGAACGCTTGTCGGTATACGGACGTCAACCTCCAGTGTTCCGGGTAGTCCCGGGCAGTGGTGCCGGGCCACATGGAGAACGGAGGTAGCAGCGTACCAATGACATACTTCTTCTTGTCCGAGTTGGTGGTCTTTGGTTTGGGCACCTTTAGGTATTTACCCGGTTTGCTGGCAGCGGCCGCGCGGCATTTGACCGGTGTGCTGACCGGCACGCCAGCCTTAAACGCCATCTTGTAGTGGTGACACTCATCGTGATCCTTCTGACCGTTGGCCGCGGCCACCACGGTCGGATCGTCGCATGCCAAACACGGCCGGCAAGCGTTTCTACGCCGTTGGTGGTTCTTCATCACCATCTCCCTTTCCGCGTCCTGATGATGACGGCTGCGATGACGTGGACGTCCAGACGAATGACCGGCCGTCGGAGAAATTCTTCGTCTACGCGTTGGTCGCGTGTCCTCCGAACCGCCCCTGCCGTTGTCGTCATCGTCGTGATGTTTTCCGTCATCGTTGTTCGTCACGTCCCGATCGCCGTTCGACTTCCCCTCGTCCCGGCCGGTACCAAGGTCTTTACTGCTACGATGACGAACAGTCGACGAGGACGATGAAGGTTTGTCCGGAACGATTTGGTCCACCTCGGCCGCCGGGACGTCATCGTTTCGCTCGGCGGTCTCGGGCACCGATCTGTGGCCTCCATCGTCCACTGGTCGGTCTTTGTTCGGTATCAGTTCCATGACGGCCGATAGGTTACGATTTTTCAGCAGACACTCACGAGACTGCATGCGCCGCGCTTCCGGCACCACGTCGCTCGAGTCGACCACGTCGTTACCATTTCCGACGAAACCCATGACGGCCGAAGAGTTTTGCAGTTTTCGGCCACCGCCGTCTATTCCTCCTCCGCACGGCGGCCGCTGTTGCCGAACCTTGTGGAATACGGCTGGCTCGTCGGGCGGCCGGTCCCGGTCGAACGGCGCGTCCAGGTCCCAACACAGGGCCAGCTTTATGTCGGTCAATTGGTCGACCGTCATGACGGAACCGCACGTCTTTGGTCGCGGCTCCGTTCCGCCGCCGCCCGAACGTCGCCTCGTGGATCCCTTGTTCTCACAGTCCGACAACGACGTCTTGGGTCGGTACACCCGCAGCTTGCTGCACTGCGTCGGCCCCGGATCGTTGAACGATTTGTACGCCACCGCGGAACACTTGGGCCAACAGCCGTTCAGCCCCAGTCCCGGGTGTTTGTGCCGCTTCGTCTGCAGCGACCGGTACACCGCGTCCTCGATAGTGTCCGGCAGCCCGTGGTGCTTGTGCACGTCCCCGTACCGGCGGCCCGGTGGTTCCGATCTCTCGGCCACCGGTTCTTCTCGTTCGTTAACGTCGTTTTTGTTTTCGTTACCATCGTCGTCGCCCGCGCTTATGCGGCTAAGCGCAGGACTCGACGGCGTTCTCGCGGGCGCCACACCGCCTGCTCTTCCAACCCCATCTTTCGCCACTCCGCTGCCGCTGTCGTTGTCATCGTTCGCCGACGTGCAATTCTGGATGGTTTCGACCGCTGAACTTTTAACTGGCACATTTGAAACCTGAAACCACGTTAATCATGAATAATTAACCATAAAAATTATATCAGCTGTGTTTATTACAAGGTGGAGATCGAAAAGAAGAAAAAGCGTGACTCGATTAGTGGTCGCAAAAATCGCGAACAACTTGTCAACCCATCCTGGCCGTTCTTGGAAATTTTAATATTGCATTTTGATTGTACTAATTTTTTTTTCGAAGACCTATCACGCCGATATACTTTATAGTGTATTTTTAACACATGGAAATATTTATCATATCTGTGTTTATGTAGATAATAATAACATATAATAACTGATTTCTGAATATAAGCACTTACATGTTACAAAGCTACTGAGTTGCAAGTATTACGGTGAACTAGCTACCAGGTATAAAGTGATTTCACACGTAATATTTAAATTTAGTATTTTTCATTCTATACCAGTGGTTTTCAACCTTTTTAACAATGCGACACATTTCATCTCCAACAAAATTTTCGCGGCACACCAATCCATATATTATGTGAATCATATTTTATATATACGTATACTATTTACAGTCTACTCTATTAGAGGGTTATTTATTGTGAAACATATTAATATAATCAATCGATTGAGACGGTTGCGACGGGAATACTTACAATAAATAATATTATATGTATCTACGATTAATTCGATCAGTTTTCATCTCGAATATCAATAATACGCTGATAAATACATACTTATAAAACAATTAAAAAATTTATCACGGCACATTTAAATGGCGCTCGCGGCACACTGGTTGGGAACCACTGTTTTATACTGATACACATAAAATAATAAATGCTTTTTTAAAACCAATTTATCGATTTACATTGCTATAGTCAGCATCAACCCTGTTTAATAAATAAAATGTATACAATATTTCAATGAAATTTTTTAATGATAGTAAATGGTCTTAATCCACAATACTGCAGTGGTGACTCACCGCTGATTTTATTGAATCTCTATCTGTATCTTCGTTCTTCATAGATTTATCCTTGTTATTTATCTTTTCGAGTTTATGGTTTTCGTTTTTATTTCGTTGGCCGTGGTCGATAAATGGATGGTGATAAGAACGTTTCATCCAGGTCTCACACTTCGGATTGGATAATTCTATTGCTGTATGTAAGTGTATCATAATTAAAAGTGTTATTTTATTTTAAAAAAGGTTTTCGACTTTCAAATTCATAATTTTTACGAATGGAATATAATAATACATTGTATTATTATTTATCATATTATTACCGTTTTCTTTCGAAATTCGTTTCGGTAACTGATATGTTCCTAAGTAAAGACCCGCCCAATGTTTTTGATCGGTTTTATGAACTCCGGGTAACAAATGTCCTTTGTCGTTCGCAATGACTTTCGTGACAGTCGAACGACCTTTCGGTCGATTTAAATGCCATTTAGGAACTTCCCAATTTCCTAATCTTGTGGGTTTGTATGCTTTATCGAACTGAAAACAATATTATTTCACTATATAAAATATATACTAGTTATTATATTATTATTTTAATGATCGTGCAAATTACGATTTAGTTATTACAATAATAACGTGAACCGGTAACGATTTTATAATACATAAAAAACGGAGTTTACAAATATACGCGACTGAGGCTTATAGAAAAAAAAACTAACATGTATTATTACACTTGCACGTGTAATATGTATATAACTGTGGATTTGGACTGGTTTTAAATGTTTTGTACATACATTATTTTTATATATCATTGATTTATGTATAATTATTTTTATTATTAGTTAAAATCTAATCTCGCTTTATGAATTAAAAGTAAAAATTTAATAAAATCATTGCAAATTTTGAATATGCTTTCTATTTTGTATTTTTGTATTTGTGAATAGTATAATACGAGTATTAATTTTCATCTTGCCTTTTTCTATGTGTAACGAATGTTTTTGTCACTGTATTACACTTTTGAACTAGGCCTACTATCATAAAAAAAATCCATATGCTAAAATGTATTAAAATAAAACTGCGAGTGGTTATACGAATTCAACGCGTCCTATAACCCGCCCAAATTGTGATTACAATAGCAATGCACAAAGAAAGCCACACGTTACCGCGTCCCTTATTTATATTCACATGTGTACGATCATGTACGCCGGTTGGTCCTTAATAATTATAATAAATATCGGCCCATATGCATCTGGATTATTATAATTATTGCGAGTCGTAACCACGCACGTGGTGTGTGTAGCGTAGCCCTGACAATGACGGACGGCCGGTATAATTGTTTGTAAACAAGAGATTAGTGTTCATCATTCTTCAACAATAATATATAATATAATACTTTTTATACACATAATATCATGTTGTAATTCAATCACACATACACACATGTATTTATATGCACACGTGATTTCATTCTCTCTCTCTCTCTCTCTGTATAAATATATATTTCAAAAATGTAATTTGAGAATATTTGTTCCAGTTACATTCAATCAAATATGTTAATATAATATTATTTTGTGTGTATATTTTTGTACCAGTGATTGGTATTGGTCATCAGAAAATGTCATTGCGTAATAAAAATGTCTTAATTTTTTTTCTTATAAGCAATTTGAACAAACGTAAAACACTGAATCAGATTTAAATTTTTGAAATATATCTATTTTATGGTTATATATTGTGCATTGATTTTTATTTAATTATGTACACATATATAATATATAATCAAATAATACACTAACGTGAAATAAAAAATGATTGATGATTTTGGCATTGCCTATAGAATTCCGCAATCCCGTGTTTGTTGACGGTGTATTCGAATACTATAGGTGCACGTGTAGCTAAAAAAAAATACTACCCCTTTGGGCGTTTCACGGGCATCAGTCAAGTTGTCGTACGTACTGACATGTAAACTAAAAATCTTTTTTTCTCATTCGTATGTTAAGTATACATTATATTATTTTGTTATGACGCCATTATTTTAATAGGAAAACAACGTGCAAATATGTATTTTTCAAATTATGTATAATAATACAGTAAAACCTCGATAAGACGAAAGCGATCGGGATCATGATATTTTTCCGTGTTAACGGAGTTTCCGTCTTGATAGGGTTAATTAATTGTATGTAATTTGAGACGGGACCAAAATAATGTTCCGTTATACCGAGGTTTCCATCTTACCGAAGTTCCGTCTTATCGAGGTTTTACTGTATTATATTTTACCATAATACTAAAAACTTTTAACCAAACAGTAATAATTTCATATAACATAATATATAAGTTCAATATTATTTGCGTATTGCCTTATACTTTGTTAACATAATAATCGTGATAAAATTTTGCTAGTTTTTTTTTTTTTTGCTTTGTTTGGTCCCTAAAAAAAAAAAATAAACAAACACCTGCACGAAATTAGTCGATGGGTCATTTTGGCTTATACTAGTTTATTATTGTTTTTTATCGTTTGTCACTGTAGACGGTTTCGAGGGGGTTGATTAATGATCACGAGGGATTACATTATCCCTCGGATACTATACACGACGCGTTGTTTACCAACAGATAGTCAGACACTAGTGCAATATAGCAGCTATTATAGGAGGTGGAATTGAATAAATTGTTTTTTATATTTTTTAGATGTTTGAAAAATAAATCCAACATAGATTATAATGGTTTTCAATAGCGATATTTTTCAATAGGGCGGAGTAAGCATTATAACACAAATCACAATGTAGCATCTGTAGACTGTATTAACAATATAATATATGTAAGTAATATTTGTTCCATGAGCACGTAATACATAAAAGTAAAAGCTAGTAATTTTTTAATAAAAATGACTTGTGAAGTATATTTTAAAATAAGAATATAATATTATAAAGAACTATAAAAATACATAGGAAAAAAAATACAAAAAAAAAAAAATTAATAAAAGATACTTAGCGTTGGCTATTGGCAGTAGAATTTTTAGATATCATCGCATATTAAGACTTTTAATTCATATCATATTAAGACTTATGAGTGTATATTTAATATTTACTTTCAATAATTGGTTAAACGTGATTATTTTTATTTAATTTATTTATTATATTGTTTTATGCATCTATCTACTTACTAAATTAACGATGTATGTTTTTTTTTTCATAGTAAATATGTTATTACTCTTTAAAATAAATGTCCTGTGAAATCACATAGGTAATTCAAATATACGTATTATATGGTATTTGCATTAAATATTTGGATCTTCTTTAATTATTACTATTTTATATTGAAGAAAGATTAATGCTAAGTATATATTATGCGTTATACTAATTAATATAATAAAACAAGTTTCTATCTAACAAACAAAATATAATAATTATTAATTTAGTAATGGTGATTTATTCGGTTGTTATTTTGATTTTATATATATTATTAAATCAAATTTTTAATTTACCCAGCAATGAAAAAATACATGAGTTTAACAACATACTCGTAATCAATGACCTTTTATTTATTTATTTTTTTACTTTGAATACCAGATAAAATAATTGAATAATTATCGTTTATAAAATTATCTAGTAAGCTATTTTATTTTTATGTTACTTTATTCAAATTATATTTATAGTATGTGTAGGTAAATTATCTATAGAGATTTAGTATAAATATTATTATACTAATACTATTATAATATTTTTTAATAATTTAGATGCAAAAAAAACTACTCAGTGTAATATTATTTTTATATTTTATATTTATCTGTACTATGGATATTATTATATTATTTTGAAAATTTGTAACAATTTCACGAAGATCGTAAATAAATAATTTAACTCGATTATCGTTTTATAAATACTTTTCTATTTAAGATATTATATTATTTATCAAAACAACTATTGATAATGCGCTTTTCACTTCTAATGTTTTACGTAGATTTGATAATAAATCACTTACTTGATTACAAGTATAATTCGCAGACATACTTTTTAACGTGTGATATTAAATAAATTCACTGTTAGATTAAATATTGAGATAAAAGAAGATGTTGTCACTTTTAAAGCATTAGATACATGAATAAAGTCTTTATACTTATCATATACTGAGCCGGTTCATTTTATTGCCGTGACAAGCACTCGTTATAACTTGTTTTCGTCCCTATGGATACAGAACGTCACGTATACATAGGTTTTATCAATTAAAAAGAAATGCTAGTTTGCGAACATACAATATATTGGCACTAATTCGTACTGAATTTGATAAAACCATTGTAATAATATTTTATTAAATTAATTCATATGTTCATCACAATGTATGCATATTATAATATTTATATATTATTATATATTATATTATTATATTATTATTATAAATATTATTATATAATATTTATATATTATAATATAACTTTATCTTGATTTGATAAATAAGCACAAGGGCTTAGATTTTGAAAATGTATAGTGTGTGACGCTATACTACAAATTAATTATTGTTACGGACAACAGTATTTATCTATAAGCCACAACATTAATTCATAATTATATATAAAACACAACATCGGGTTGAGCATAGATAATATTTCAAAAATGTGTATCTGGATGAATATAAGTATTATTACTATAAATAATTTATTGTAATATCCTTATAAATAAAATGCAAATAACACTAATTTACAGATAAGCAAGAGTTAAATTAGATATTACAACTTAGACTACTATATCGGTTTATTTGAAACGCTAAAGGAATGTATTTGATAATGTGTATATGTGCACAAAGAAAATATTTATAAGAAACCACATTTTTAAGGGTCGTAGTGGTTTTGAGCTCAGGGCTGGAAGTATAAATATTTTTACCTTTTGATTATTTAGGAAATGTTAAATAACATAATATATATATAGTAATATATTTATGTTGATCTTACCGGATGATGTATACTATGTAAATTAATATATAGTATAAATAAATATCATTAGAATATTTCAATGTTTTTTTAATCTGAAGTAGAAATTGTTCTTATCTATAATAATATAGTATCTCTAGGACAAGGTTGAGTAATTTGGCTATAACTCTGTATAAATATGCGTTTATATCGTAGGGATTTAGTCAAATACAGTATTTTACCAAATGTCTCGACAAATAGTCAAATAATTACATTTTTTTGCAATTTTACTGCCTACCTAGGCATTTGACTAAATACCTACTTGGAACTAGGTGAATATTAAAAACAAAAATTTTTTTTATAATATATAATTATTAGAAAATATATAACTATATTTTATAATTATTAATATTTTTAACTATTTTTTGTTTTTCTGTATGAATTAGATTGTCCAGTACTTAGTACAGATATGGGAAATAAAATGTAAAACAAAACGGGTACCTTGAACATTTATTAGACTTTTAAAGTCAATGATTTAATTTATATTTACTTTCTACAAGGGTTTATTTAAAAATTGACCTTGTATCTACTTATTTTTTTTAATCATCACGTTTAGGGACAAGAATTCAAGATAAAATCCAAAAAAAAAATTAGATAAATTGTATTTGGAATTCGAATGCGATTAGCCACATAATAATAGGTAACAATAATAACAATTATTATTCACCCATTATGAAATTAAAGATAAATAAATTAACTGATTCAAATATTTATAAAATTTGACTCTACAGGTATTCACGATGAATTAACAACGAGTAGGACAACATATAAATTACTATACCATTATAAATTCAATAATTATGAGTTTGCAATTAACATATTTTTAATATTTTATAGTTAAAAATTCATAAAAATTAAAATTCTTATATACTTAATGCTTGAAAATTGGATACAAGATTTTCAAGATTTCTTTGTTGCTAAAATATAATTTTTACTGGAAGACTGTCGTCAGATTAGTTGTCAGTTTCTCTTTCATATCTAAGGTTGTATAACATGTTCAGATTGACTGACGTTCTTGCCGGTGATAAACTATAGGTACCTGTCATCTGATACGAGTGCCAGTTGACTCCACAGATATGTATAATAAACTAGATTGCTAACTGTTGTATCTTACTCATGTGATTAGTTGAAGCAGACGACAGCCATTTAATTCGAGGCCTATGGGCTTTATCACAGCTTAAGATTTGTTTGATAAAGAAACTGATAAAAAAAATAAATTATAGAACAAGTATCCAAATAAAAAACATTTTTATTGCGCTTTATTTTTCTCATTTATATAAATTTTCCATCTAAATATAAATAACAATTATTAACATAGTTTATTCTGATAGGTTAACAATTTTTTCATGTTATAAAATAAAATGGTTTTACTGAGTTTCTGTCGTTTACTAGCAGTTTTCATAATCGAGGATGTTATATTACTATAAGAATATAATCTCACATTAAGGTAGGTTCTGGTTACTTTGTTTATAATGTCAATTTTGTGAGGTCTTGCCAATAAATCTGTTGAATTCCAGCAAGTATCACATTCTGGAAATAGTATAGCGTTTGTCGCTAATGAGTTTTGTACACTTATCATAATTTTTAAATCCATATTTTTAATAAACATTTGTTTTTTATCCACCATAATGGTTTTAAATAATGTTTCTGTCAATTTAACAATTTTGTACACCCCATCAGAAGCATACTTCAAATCACCTCTGTTTTTCATAATTGTAAAATTTTTTGGTGTGGTATTATTTTGATAAACGTGGTCATTTTCAATGAATGGTTCTGTAATGGCTTCAATACAACCATCACATTTTAAAGTTGGGATTAGTTTTTTAACAATATTTCCACATATGTAGTATAATATATTTTCAGTGATGCTATTAAAATCTAATTTATTGTACTGTTCTGCTAACAATGAAATATCAAGTTCATTTTCTAAATTTTGTTCTGGTACTTTATATTTCCATTTAATTGAAAAAAGATAATCTTCGTGAGGTGATATGATTTATGTGTTGAGTATTTAATTACCTAAATAATTTCGTAGTTGAACCAACAACCCCGTCCTTACTACGGCATCCATCAACATAGCACTTATATGGCATGATTGGAAATATAGTATAAACTATTATAGTTTCTAAATAAATGCACAACTGAAAATTAATGATAAAAATTGATAAGGCAAAATCTACATCGGCCTCGATTAAAATGGCGGATAATGGCTTCACATCTTATCATCAGTTAGCAATCTAGTTTATTATACATATCTGTGGTTGACTCAATCTGGAACCACAAGTTAGTTTAAGAAGCCTTTTACTATCAACCCCCCCCCCCCCCCCCCCCCCCCCCACCCGGAGTCTATAATAGGAGCCAACGTTTCAAGAACTATATTATTGTTTCTATTGTCCTGTCTTTTTTCGGAAATAAAAACTATCATATAAAGATTTTAATTAGATTTGATTGCAACTTTATCAAAAATATGAATAACATTTTTATTTAAAAAAAGTTTTTCAGCAAAAAGTTTTAAATTTGATGTTACGGTACCCTTCGCATTGCTTTTCACTCATAATCCCAAACAGCAAACACTATTGTTAATCAAATTATTTTTCCATAAACACCAATAAAAAAAAAGAAAACACTCCTAGAGATCGGATAAGATACAGGGATAGGCGAATGATACTGCTGTAATAGTTTTGTTATAACTTTACATTAATTTTCTTAAATTATTAAGAAAACTTTTCGGAAATTCATAAAACGACCCCTTTCAGAGTACCAACTAGAAACCATTTTTTATTTTTTACTTTTTATTTAATGATGATGGGAGCAATTCTTCAGGTCGACATTGTATACACAAACAAAAAAAAAAAAACATAATTACATTTCTCAAAGATATACATATCTCATTCCACTCAAAATTTAAAAGATGTAATAATAAATAATTATTTATTTGATAAAAATGAAACTCTGGCTTGGAAAAAATAAATTTAGTAAAATATTTAAAACTAGGAAAAATATATCATTGAAAGACAATATAATATACAGAGCTTCTTATAAAACCTACGACTAACGCCACGATAATCATTAATATACTTGATACATTACGTAGCGGATGAATAGTTATTTAATATTTTACACTTGATTTATTATATATTATATATTATATATTATATATATATATTATTAATCAGGAAAGAATAAATATATGGATTTTGAATGCAAAATGATATTCGAATGACTATAACTTTACAAGCCAAACATTTATGATTTATTCAAATTTCTATTACACTAATTGCCAATTAAATTGGTAAATCCGGAAAGGGGTTTTATGAGATTTAAGTTCAACTCATTAGTTTTAAAGCAATTATCCAATTTTATAATTATTTAATACAATTACAAGTTTGCTACTAGAAATTATATATTCACATTGTTAACGTATAATATTTGGGACTAACGAACCTGTAGTAAATAATGTTTTAACACTCGTAAAATACCTAATAAATTGATATTATTGACAGAGTTCACAGTAAGATATTATTTTCCTTAATACATATATTTTATATACAAATTTATGATTTTTATAATTATTACGAGTGTTTTGTATAATAAAAATACCTTTTGCCTTAAAATCCGTATTATTAAAGGGGTAATTTTAACTCCGCCCATGTTAAGGGATCCGTAATGATTTCCAAAGGGCGTATCAGCTCTCATTGGTCAGAAGCTAGTGCGCATCTTCCGGATGCTGGGCGAAGTTAGATTACCGTGTGCACTCTCATATTTGCCTTTGACAATTTAACATAACAGATGATTTTGGATTTTCTACGACAGGATATTAAAAGTAAGTACAAAATACAAATATTTATTAAATTTTATCTTATTATTTTCAATTATTAGATAGTTTTTGAAAAGTTAATCAATTAATTAAATAAATGTATAGTAATACTACAATGTCATAATATATCACATTTAAGTATTCTCATGATATTTTTTTTTGCTATCAAAATGTATTTACATAAAAATTCTGAGATATAATTCTAGAAATGTCATATAGCATCTAAAAAAAATGATTAAGATTTAATAGAGACGACGGATAAAAGCGAAGTGAAATTATTATAAGTTAATGTAGTTTCTATAATGCTTATATAAGTAGGGTTGTCAGATTTTGAAATTCCTAAATCGGGAAATCATATCGAATAAATCTTTTTTTTTTTTTTTTTTTTTATTTAACGTTCATATGAAAACAAAAATAGGTATATAATTTTGTAATTTAAATATTTATTAGCTAATACAAAAATACATTTTTTTTGTATATAATCATGCCGATAAGATTGCCATAATATAATGATATAGTTTACTATATTGTTTTATTATTATATAATACAATATTAAATGTTATTTTCTCCCAGCTTTTATTAACTAGGACAAACTGAATGATCGGCCGGGATACCGGGACATGCCTTTAAAACGGTGACTGTCCCAGTCAAACCGGGACGAATGGCTAACCTAATTAAAAGTTTCTTTACATTTCATTAGCACAACATATCAATTTAATAAGATTAAGTTTTAGTATTAATTTATTTTATTCAATCTTATCAGCAGCAAACATAATAACTATAATAATATGACAAAAATAAAATGTCAGGAAATATATTGCAAAAGTTTTGTTGTTACAACCACATATCACTGATTTAATATTTAATCATTGATAATACCGTTACAGTAATTCATGATAGTAATTCATAATCTCATAACTATAGATAACTACATTAATATTTCATTTAAATTTGTAAATTATTATAAATGTTTATTTATTACCTAGATGAAAACATTAATATTTATACATGTTTTTTATAACTGTTTGAAATACATCACATAATTTATTGTATGATTGAATAATCATAATTTTGGCCGTTTAAGTCGAGCTTATACATTTATAAATGTTGAAAATAATATTAAGATTTTAAAAAAATCACACTTTCAATTAGTTGTATAAAAGGACTGAAAAATTATGAATAAAAAAGAAAAATAATATGAATTTGGGAAAATTGTTTTAATGACTTCTAAATTGTATATATTTATTGTTTTTTTTTTTAAAAAAATAATACAGACTATTTATGATTTAGACATAAAATGTAAAGAAGATTTACAATTATTTTATTTATCATGTGACGAACGTATTATTACAACAACAATCACATAGATATCAAAAATGTTTATTCAAATAATACTAATATATAATAATGTTATAATAATGTAACTTATTATAAATATATAAATTGTGTATTATTACAAATCAATGGTTCTGATCGAAGCTGTAATTTAAATTAAAAAAAAAATTATAATTTATATTTTAATAAATATTTTATTATGGTATTATATCTTTATATGCATTAATTGTAATCAATAATAATGAATATATTTGATTAAAAGACGATGAAAATTAATTGGTTACAGTTTAAAGAAAAATAGCCTCTAATTTAAGTACATATAAAATATTAAACACTCATTTTATTAATCTGAAATAACATTTGCCATTTAATTTTATCAAATTTATGTACCTATTTAATTTAATATCTCATAAAGAATTCTAGACCAAACTAAGACTTAAGAGTATCTAGTATGATAAATAATATAGCCTAAGTATAGTACCTAATTGAATAATACAAATGATGTAATACTTCATTATTTATAAACTATTGAGAAGACAAACGTTATTAATACAATTTTATAAATGTATATTTTTTTATTCATTTAAATTATAAAATGATTCAGTAAACTGCATGCTATTACAACAATATTAAACAATAATACTAATTCATAATTAATATTTAATACTAATAATGTGATAGGCTAGCTAATATGGCTAACGATGGTGTTGTGTCTTTAAGATTGATATGCATCTTTTAATGAAAGCTCTTCTTTGTCCATTAAAAAAATGTCTTACGGTGTTCAACTACAGTCGAGTCACGATAACTCGAAGTTGAAGAGGGATAAAAATTCACTTCGAGATATCGAACTAATTTATAGAGGAAGTGTTTTCTAGGGAAATAAAACGCAATTCTAGTTGTCAAGTTTTTCGAGTTATCGAGGTTCGAGTTATCGCGGCTCGATTGTATAATAGTAAACATCTGTTTAGAGTTTTTCTTCCTAGATTGTAATGATGGGCTGGAAGTTGGTATGTTTAATATAGATATATTATACATTTTAAGAGTTAATAATATGGCTATAAGTGAATTGCGGCCCGACATGTCGTTATCGTGTTGGAGACCATTGAATTGCGGCCCGAGGTTAATTCGCCATTCCATATCCAATGGTCTAACGTGCTCTCCTACTGAAGTTGTTATAGATTTTGAACAAGCTATCCACAGTACTGTAGCAGGTCTTCCCTAATGCAAAAATAAGAGGATGTAAATTTCACTTAGGGCAAAGTTGATGGGTGGAAATTCAAAGTTTAGGACTCACGAAAATATACTCGTGTAACACAATAATAAATGAAAGTTATTATTTCAAATTTTTTTTTGGTTTGCCATTTTTGGATTCTGACAACTTCATTGATGAGTCACGGATGACTTTTTAGCAATACTGCCTGCTAAAGATGATCGGGTTGTACAATTTACTGACTATGTTTTCGAAAACTATAAGTCCCCGGACGCTATGTTTCCCTCAAATATTTGGGCACAGTTTTCTGCTAGTTGTAACCGTACCACTAACGGCTGTGAAAGTTTTCATTGCAAATGAACTTTAAACCCTGTAAACCATGCGCCCAGGGCGTATGCCCATAGCCCCCCCCCCCACGGCATGGCTCTGCTAACATCTATAATTTTATTGATGTGTTAGTAGAAATTCAATCAGAAATGTATATTAAATGTAAAAGCAATGGAATAAAAACAAAGAAAGTAAGTGAAAAAGAAGCATTTATAAGGCAACAGATGACAAAGCTAGCACAAAAAAAAATAGAGCAGTTTAATTTCGTTAAATCATTAAGTTTTAAGATTTTGCCCAACCAATAATCTAAAAAAATTCATTTTACTATAAATTTTACCATTTTTACATAAATAATAATAAAAAATAAAAAAAACAAATTTTTGGGAGACGACTCAGCCAACCTCCTCGTGGTCTCTTATGGATGACGTTGATAGGCTGATATGAAATGATTGTGGTCGCAACTCGTACTTAATTTAAGGATTGGACCACAACTCACCAATACCAAATAATATGCTATCTTTGTTTTATTTGTTTTATGAAAGGTAATTTTGCCCTAGGTAAAAATGTCTATTTGGGTCCTTTGGTATCCAAGCCGACCTTGATCATGGTAGTATATTTCAATTTAATATAAAATGACCAAAAATGTATTTCATTACTGAATTTATAAATACATAAGATAATAATTAGTAACTTTAAGTCATTTATTGAAATATATAATCAATAATAAATCATTGAGCCTAAAAATTCTACATTAAATGGAGATTATAATGTATAATATACACATAAGTCGGTTAAAATATAATTAAAAATGTTTGCTTAAATTGTTTTATACGTTTTCAGTTTTTCACATTTTTTCAAAGATATGAGATATTTTGAAATTCCGATTTATTGAGTGTACAAAACATGTATATAAGATAAAACGTATAATATTCAACCGAGGAGATTATGTAGTTAGTATTGGTGTACACGTGTATGTGTACGTGTACGTGTGTGTGTGTATGGGCTTATAATATTCCTAAATTTAAAAACATGTAGTTTAATATTAACATGTATTTGCAATAAGAATATGCAAGTAATAAATGTCAAAGTCGTTAAAAGTATACAATTTAATAATTATATTGAACACAGGAATTTATTCGCAAATATGATACCTATCTATAGGTATAATTTATATGTACTCGTATGTATGTATGTGTAGTAATAGAACTCGTTGATTTTTGTGATCGTCTTACAACTTTAACACGAAATCAAGTCATCCCAATAATCATACATATTTTATAATCCAATAAAAACTGCTTCTGTTACACCCGGTTGTTTGGCACGTGTCCGGCCGGTGGTGGTTTACTTCCCCGGGGAGTAACGGAACGCCGGAAACGTGTCGCCTATATCCGAGGAAAAAACCATAACGAAACCTCCTCCTTACACGCACATCAATATACCATTAATATAAATATTATAATCAAATCTATCGTCACGTTCTAGAGATATATTAAATTATTCATAACAGTTAATGCGAAGAAAACCTAGAAATCGATAACACATCACATTATTATTGTTATGCATGTATGTATTTTGCATTCTGCAACTGCAATAAAATATTTTTTATGTGATTTTTAATAATAATTTTTTCATAAATATAACCTTAAATAGAATAAATATTACACATAGTTACATATAGTACCTATGTGTTTAATAAACATATTCTCGGAATAAAAATAATAATACATCGCAGAATTAGTTTTAATTTATTTATTTTAGTATATTATAATTAAGCGGCAATATCGTTTCCACATGTATTTATCTATATTTTCAATAAAATAAAATATAATATTTTACCATGAACAAATGTATGATGCAGTGTATATAATATAAATCAGAACGAATATAGGTCACAACATAATTTGATTATAAAAATCAAACACATGACCTATACACAAATTAAAATTTAAGTAATCATAATTTATACTTCGTACACATATTAAAACACATAATTAATCAATAAGAAGGCTTCCTCACAAGCTATAATTTATAACTATTATATTAAATACAAATATTCAAATAAATTACTAATAATTAGACATATTTATTTTTCAAGGAATCGTGGTTAGATATAATTATTATGTGAATATCTATTTAAAAACATATAACAGTTAACCTATTTGATAAAATTGACGTAGGGATAAAAATTTAAAATTAAAACTTTTATTATATTTGTAGTAGGTATTCAATATAATAGTATGTGTATTGATGCGATTTTAATCATAAACTAAATTTACTTATATATTAATCAATTTTGATTCTATATTAAACACAATTTGTAGTAGTAAAAAACAATTTATTAATATTTTTGTACTATTCAATTGCAATTGAAGGATTTTAAGATGGATTTCTTACCATGTGGTATGTATTCCATGGCAGACTCTACACTTCCAGACCCTGCAGATGGTCACGGAACACATTCTAAAAAAAGGTAATAATATAATTTCTCGGTATCAATTCTAAATATAAGCGGTATAAATGTTTAAATTTAAAAAATTTAAAAATTACCATGATATGACGATACGTTTTTAGTCGTGAAAAAAATGCAATACCAGGGATGGCCACATTGACTAGAGAAGAACGGCGGAGAAGACGGAGGGCAACACAAAAATACAGAATGGCTCATGCTACGCGTGAACGAGTTAGAGTCGAAGCTTTCAATGTGGCGTTTGGCGAATTACGTAAACTTTTGCCTACTATACCACCTGATAAAAAACTATCAAAAATTGAAATTTTAAGGCTTGCGATTTGTTACATTATGTATCTAAATCAATTTTTGGAAACGTAAATACTTATTTAATTAAATACGCAGAATTTGGATTATTCATATAGTCTGAGTGACTTCACAAATTAATTTAATATTCTGATTATTATTATTATAATTCGTTGTAAACATTTGATGTAAATTCGATAGTTGTTAAACGGCTAATGTTTAAATATAGTGCCATTTAAAACTTCTAGTTGTGACCAAGGCTGGATTAAGGGGGGATCTAGCTGTGGTGGTAGTCCCGGGGTCCTCTCGATTACCTAAGTGAAAGGGACCCAAACAATTTTAAGCCGATACACATTTTTTATCATACTAAAATTAGTAGTTTTATAGACATAAATTTTATATACCTATTAATTTTATAATTTTATAATGCAATTGACAATTTGTGCTTTAATCCGGCCTTGGTTGTGACTCGTTATTATTTTGCGAAACTAACAGAAATTAAATTTATAATATTTAAATTGAATAACTTTAATAATAATATCACGTATTTGACAGGTACGAAATATTATATTGTGATAGTATTAACTTGATATTCATAATTAATACATCACAAGTATGATTTTTCATGATATTAAAATATTTTTTTATCAATATTTTATTTTAAAACCAATTGAAATTATTTATTATTACATTAATTTAAAATTTGTACATTCATTTTAAAATGTGAACTATTACCGCTAATGCATAATTTTATTTTAATGTATATCTATGATTACAATAGAATGTATCAGTTGGAATTAAAATACATTTTTATAATAGGCTGTATAGGTGCAATAAAAATATTCAAATGTTTGAGATGTACTAACATATTAGATACATAATAATAATAATAATAATAATAATGACTTATCAAGTACATTTATGAAATAATTTAAGTGTGAGTAGAGAAGAATCATTTGAATATTTTCCTTTTATCTTTGTTGTAAATATACATTTAAGTTAAATAACTACAGACCTACGTATTAACTAAACATGTGAAAATAATAGTTTAAGCTTTATTCATTAAAATTAATTATTATTAATAAATTATACTATACAAATAAACGTGATTTATTTTGATCAAATGTTAATAAATGTCAGAAATTTAAATCAGAGAACGAAAATAAGTATTATTTATGTAGATTGAAACTATAATTACATGGGATGAAATGAAGCTTTTATATGTTCAAATTAACTTTTAAGTGATTTCTTTCAAAATTCTGAAATTTAATATAATGAAAACTGCAAATATTAATGCTTATTATAAGTTTATACGTGACATTTTTTATCGTTCCACGAAATTTGACTTCACGACAAACCCTTACTAGTGAGTATCTTACAATCAATCCATCTTATATGGTATAAACATTGTACGTGTATTACGGCTTCGATATAAAACGTTTGGGTCGTATAATTTGATAAATAAAGTTTTAGGGGGTTTTGGAAAGGGGCAGTTTGATCATCGGACCGTTAAATGCAATCGGTTTTGCTTGATCAGTTATATCTATAATGCACCCGTGTGTGTATGCTCGTGTTTGTACGTAAAACTTCGACACTTGTATGTATTTTAAGACTTTTTTTTTAAACAATTTGTTTTTATCTTTTGCAAATGTACGTAATAATATCATCTACTGCGTTGTATTATATTGATATAAATGCACGTGGAGCTGCTACAGCGAGGAAGTCCCGTCTGCGGATTGGAGCTTGGGATACGTATTTAATGGAATTTGGTCGTAGCACACCTGCTACCAATCCTGCGCGACCCCATCTCGCGCTTTATCCTGTATAATTCAAAGTTTTCCACCGGATCGATGGCGGTTGTTCGTCGAATGAACGGTAAAATATGTTTAACAATGGAAATGTAACATTATGTTTATGTACCGGATGATCCGTTTGACTGGTCGCATACAGGTACTCTTCGAAAATATTGCATTACTGCCATTAAGCACATTTATAAACATTATAGGTACTCGACTAATAACGGTTTATTATTTTAGACGTAGTAGGTACCTACTATAAAATACATTGCGTCCGTAAATACGTCGAATACTAAACTAGTGTTATTTTAACTTTTGAGCACCGCCCTGGTCTGGCCTGCTACGGCGAAAGCGGTCGGTATCTTCACGCTCATTTCACACGATTCACATTAATAAGTAAAATAATTTAGAGCTTTTTTGCACCATCCATACTAATATCATTCAATCAGTGTTGTGTAATATGGATAACATTGGACAGCTTACTTTTGTCTTGATTGTTATACATAGGTTTAGGAATCTTCGCTTATTTTACTCGACTTACGAATACAGTAAATAACAGTGTTTATTTCAAGGGGTGACCGAAGGGAGGTATTTACTTCCCCCAGAAGAAAAATGTATTCCACCTGAAAAAATGTATGTATTTATTTTTTAATTATTTACTCCTATGGCATATCGTACACCACATAACCTCCTAGAAGAGGTCTGAAGTAAACACTAGTAGGTATCTGGTATATAAAGAGACATGTAAAATTTACATTGTAAGTTTTTTTATCTTAAAGTATCCATGAATTAGTAAAAAAAATTCTGATTTAAACCTGAACATTACAACTATAGAGAATTTTAATTTTTATCTATTTTACTCATTACAAATAAAATCTACGATGTGTTAATCTCGGATTATACTTTCAATCTTATAAGAGATGAGATACTGTATCTATATAGGTTATGTTTATGTTGTGCAGATTTACAACTCGAAAGTTATTGATATAATATGTTCAGTGTTATAAATATGTTTTTGTTGTAATTTAAAAAGTCTTTTTCAAATATGGAAATAGTTTGCGTTTTCAACAATATTTATATTTTATTGCACTATTTATTATAGTCATAAATATTTATCGAACTCCTTTCCCCGGTGCACATCACATTTAGATGACGTTCCCATGCTTTGTATTTGCACATTATTCTAATAAGTAATATCTATTATACAATTTATGTGCTATAATTTGTTTCGTTTCTATTTGGGGTATATACGCGAACCATGGGCGCCCGCAGAAAATTTATCAGGAGGGGCATGATTAAATCAAACACTAAAAAGTACCTATATTAAAAAATGTATTCTTAGCAAACAATAAAATATGTCAGAATTATTATGTAGGTACACTTTAGTCGTTCTTCAATAAAAATTGGCGTCTTCACAGTTGCTCAATTGCAAACCTTGTTATAAACTGTTCAATTAATTTTTTCCAGAGGGGGAAAATGTCCCGTCTTGCCCCCTCCCCCTCTGGGCGCCCATGAACCGAACGTAATAAGTCATTCATGTTCCCCGCAATTAATGGTTTTCTTATTATTAATATTACAATGAAACCTATATATAATGGACAGTCGTGGAACCAAAAAATAATTGTCCTATATAAACAAGCTTCAGTATTTTAAAAGTTAAACTAATCTATACACGTATTTGTTTAATGAAAAATTAAAACGTTGTGTGTATATTATAATATTGTAGTATTATTATACTATTATATTATTATTATAAATATTATTATATTATGCATATACATAATAAATTTAATTTTAATATTTCTTAAAAAATGAAAGTATTGATGTTTGTTTTTTTAACTTCGATTTGGTCATTTCCTAGCTCATAACGAATAATTCATTCATTCACGTGTAAAAACCCTTTTCCATCACCTTTATTCAAATAAAACATCTTCCGACGAATAAGCTACTCTGTATAATTGCTTTTGAATAATTTTCAAACTTCTTGATTTCAGAATATTCTGGTTGGTCATCAGTTTGTTACACATCATCGGCTTCCAGTGAATTTAATTCAGGGCAAATTTTAACTTAAATCATTCATATTAGATTGCATTTTAAAGTTATGATATCTAAGGACGAGAGTTTTTTTATTTTTTGTGTTTTGATTTAAGCATAATATATGCATAATATTATACAATATTTAATTAAAATTCTATAAAAAGAGATGTATGTAAACTTTGATACATATAATATGCATAAAGTATAATAATAGTATGTAAATATATGAAAGAAGATTCTCTAGAGCACGCATGAATATTAGTACTCGTTTACGAATTGTATTATTGAAATGCGATGAGTTCCCACTTTATCGAGCGATCACTCAAACTAAATTAACTGTATACACTCACATACAGACATACATATTCGCTCACAAACACATACAAGATCGCGCATTCGTTCATATGTGGGGTGTGGAAAATAGATAGACGTAAGTGTGAACAATAGCGAGAACGTTCGAACGAATCCCTGAGGAGACGTCCGCACGTACACGACTAATATATATATGGTATAGACAGACACGTGCAGGACTGCATCAGCAGCTCGTTTACAAGCTAGTTACACGGATCGACGCGGACGGACCTTTATAAACCGAATTGGATTAGAAAAACGAGCAACAAGAGGATGTAATACGTATTTCAATAATGTAATTATCTTTGTGTCTAAAATCTAATTAGCAGGTCCACATTGCTGAGCGTGGTAATTATTACTAATAACCGATAGTTGTACGCAGAATCTTGTAGTGGTTTTGATCCGATTCCGTGTGTATGATAAATGCTGATGCTCGATATTAAATTTCCAATCTAGTAGACGACGAAACAGCATTCTTTAATATGAACATTTAAGGGTAGATATACTTTATGAACAGAGTATTATGTATATTTGTGTACTTATACGACTTAAATGATTCAATTAATACTTGGAAACATATGAATTTATCATAGGAGGTGGTTATATGTTATTCTATTTAGTATATACTACAAATTAATTTAATTATTGTTAGAGGTAATATATATTTCACTATAGAACAAATGCTTCGATCTGTTTCAGTTTCAAAAAATGTCATTCGTCTACAATTTTATGGATTTTATACATTTAGGTTGTACATATATACATTGGTACAACTAGACACTTGGAGACCCTAAAGTCAAATATAAAATGAGGCCCCCTAACTAAAAATGTAAATGGTCTAAAAAACATCCCGTTAAAAATTTCATAAAATTCAAAATAATTCTATAAACTACTTTTTTTTAAAAAATATTATAAACTTTTAAGGTAAAATTAGTATAAATATTTAAAGAGCTCTTTGTAAGAAACCATATACAAAATGCTTAAACTAAGTTTAATTACTGTTATTAGTAAACGTCCCCATGACAATCGTCGAGTCGCGATAACGAATTACAATAAACAGGGATAAAATTGGATATTTAAAATACTATACTTGACTCCCATTTATTATTTAGTCATGGTAAAATAATTTTATAATATTATTAAATCAATAACTCGTAGTTTAATATACTCTATAGGATATTAAAATTTACAATAACAGTAACAGTTTTATTACAGTACAAATATATAATTTTAAGCTATACGTAGATGTTTGTAGTAAAATATAAGAAAAAAACCAATTTTATTGTTTGTTCGCTGAGCAACCACTTGGATTATTAGGGGGCCCCCGATAAATCCGGTGCCCTAAAATTTCACTTTGCCAACTTACCCGCTAGTTGCGCCACTTCATATTTATTTATCAAATTTACATTTTATTTTTTTATCAATGTCTATACAAGTATCTGTTGAACCTAAACCACTGTATTTTTCAACTAATCGATAATAATGAATGTACGTTATTTTTAATTCTGTACATTAATGATCTGAGAAAATGAAAACACACTGCAGCTTATAATATAATTTTTGTTAAATAAATAGTAAGATTTTAATTTTTTGTCAACAGTTCTTATTAAATGCAATAAAAATACTAAATCTTTACTTATTAATATAAACATTATACATACGTAGTGTAGGATTTAGGAGGAGGACAAGTGAGTATGCTTGCTCCAGGCACTGTTGGTATAAGGGCATTCTAAAGTTAAATATTCTTGTATTATTTTTTATTATTATATAATCAATCAAAAAAAAATGTAAGTACGGGTTCGAATTGGGCCGGCGAGCTACCGAGAAAATCTCGGTGGGCTGCTCATGGATGTTTGGGCAGTTATTTTTTTTTACTATAATGAAAAGATAATACAAACATTAGTATAACATAGAATTTAATTTAATTATTTAATTGTACAGTTGAAATAGTTGTAGTCAAACCGCAAAATTAGAATGCGGTTATTTCCAAAGCATTTTGTATTGGCACATTTATTTGTATAACAAGTCGACAACCCGTATAAAATATTTGTTCTTTATTATTACGCGTGAATCAATAATTGAGTAAAAATAAAAATAAAATAATATGTGTAATATAGTGTACTGTTCTAACAGCTCATATATATCTTAAAATATTTACGTCTACAACTACAGATTCTTTGTACCGTCAAATCAAAAATATGCATGTCACACAAGCATTTAACATGATTGAAAAAACTGTTACTATATTGAAAAAAAATTAAGATAATTGAAAAAAAAATGTTCAGTCAATGAATAATTGTATACAATAACGTAATGCAATGTTTTAAAATTGCATTTTTAAAAATTGTTCAAATATAACACCAGGAAGTATTCTGAGTTGAATGATTACATACATAAATGGCCAACGATTAAGTTAATTACCGTTGGATATAATACAAATACTTTCAGAAAATGAAAAAGTTACCATTGAATAATCGCAGAAATTATAAAAATTGCATATTGTGCGTGTCGACGAAAACTTTCAATTTTTAATATATACGAGTACCTAATCATAGTAAAATCCAAATATTTTACTATAATATGTAAATATTAATAATAATTAAATATCATTAAAAAAAAAAATCTGTGTGGGGGGGGGTGAAAACCCCTTACACCCTCCCCGTAACTACGCCCCTACTTATACTTGTTTGACTAAGATATGAATACTATTTGTACAGTAAAAATATTCAAATTTGCATCTTATGTTACGACAAATGAGATTATAAAATAATTTTGTATAAAAAGCTAAGAGGACAAGCCCTCTTGAAGGTATGGTCACCATGGCTCTAGCCCTCCCTGCCCTACCCTCTTGTCAGTTTTGCGTGTATGAAGTATTGAAAAAATATGAACTATACTCGTCATCATACAGTAATTTATATTTAGCATATAAATTTGTTTTAACTCTTTCTTGTTCACAAGTTAAATATGAAACAATAATTTCTAAACTTAAATATATTTTAAACTGTTTAAGAAATTGTTAAAGTCGATCAAAATTAGAAATATTCTTATTGATGTCGGTTGAAAAAGATACCTAAGTAAACCTACGTATTGATAATGAAGCAGTAATTGACAGTGTTTATTTCAGACCTTCTATCCCGGGGGGGAAGGTTACAGTAGATTTACGAGGGGGCAGTGGCGTAATTGTGGGAGGGCAAGGGGGGACAAGTGTCCCTCTGACAATTTTTTGAGAGATAAAGGTATAATTTTGCCCCCCCCCCCCAGATAATCCAATAGTACAAATAGCACCTTTTATTAATGAACTCTTATGGGTATTATTTAACAATATTGGTACCTAGTACCTGCTACTTACAATTTATGTTTATCTAAACCATAAAATAAGTTAAAATACTTATGTAAAATAAAACAATTAGATATAGTATATAAAATACATACGATAAAAATATGTTTTAACTTTTGAGAAGGATGGGTGTCAGGGTTTTGGTAATAATAAATATATTATATTTCCCCCTTTAGATTTTTTCCCAATTACGCCACTGCGAGGGGGTATGCCTTAGAAATAAATATTAAAGGGAAGTAAAAGTATCGTTTTAAGCTCAATTTAACGGTATTAAATAGATACCTACAAATACGTAAATTCTTAAAAAAACTAACTTTGGTTGATTGAATAAAAAAAAAAAATAGTACAAATATTTAACATACATACGTTAATAACTACTACCATTGATTAAATATACATATTGAATACACATTTACATAATAAATAATATAATATAAAAAAATATAAAAAAAAAAAATAATAAAATATAATATAATATAAATATACATATTATTATACAAAATATACAATATACATATATGTATATTTAAATCAATGCTACTACATTACTATACTATTAATAATATTCCATCATGCTAAATCATATATATTTACTATATTATTAATACAATTATATGTAGTTTACGTAATAATAACATACATTTTGTCGGGGGGGGGGGTATACATTTTTCCCGGGGTTATTACCGCTCTCCACCCCCCGGCCATCCCCTTGAAATAAACACTGATTGACATTGTGCCTCAACAAAATCGTTTAATGTCCAATTCCTTGAAATTATAAATTAATTAATATTGTATAAGATAGTTAATTTATAATCACAAATGTTTTATTGCAATAGGAATGTATTTTTCATTAATATAATTTAATATTTTTTATGAAAAAAAAAGACACCGAAGTTTTAAATAATATTGTGCACTAACATCGTCTACTTTTACCTAAACGAGTAATTTTTATCTATTTTGAATTGGTTGTAGAATAAATATTACCTAATAAATGTAGTTTATACTGATTTTACTTATCTAAAATGTGGAGATATAATCATGAAGTTAGTAATTTATTAATTTACAACAAAATTGTTTTAAGAATTAAGAATAAGTCTAAATATTTAAAAGTTTAATTAAATGCTTAATAAACATGACAACAATTATAATAGATAAAAATGCAAGCATTTCTTTTTGGGAAAAATGTATATTTTTCAATGTAACCATGGGTAGCATAATTTTTTGTTTGTTTTGATTATATATTGCTTAAAATAAAGCAAAAAGATTTTTAAGTGTTTTTATTTTTACATGGCAATAGAGAGGTAATTAAATAAAACAAGAATTAATAATAAATTATTATAATTTTATATGATATTGGTAAGATATTACATAAGAATAAACTATTCTTCTTGACGCCCTACGTAATAATTATAAAATTACGTACAGAGACACTGATTTAGGTATGCTGTAAAACCATTACTATTGTATGTCAAATAATAATTCGTTTAAAGTGAAAATGTTCGAAAATTAAAAGACAACTATTACTTTTGCGTTTTCCTAAACATACACTAATTGAGAGTAAATCGTGCTTACAATATGGAATTAAATAGGAAAAAAAAAACATAAATTGTCTTGTTAAAAATAGTTTTTCGACATGTTACGTCGTCGCGAAACATTCGTACCTGGATAATATATACCACATAAAAAAACTAGTCATTACAAAACAATTAGCCGTCTGCGACGGTACGTAGTGGCACGAGCCGGACGACTCTTTCGCACACGAGCTCGACGATTCGTGTGTGTGTGGCACCGGGTTTGTACATAAACCGTTGAACTCTCATACATGACGCGTCATGCAAGTATGCGCGCCTAACGCGAATTACAATAATATGCGTAATGCAAACAATTCTAATCGATTTATCATTAGAAACTCCGCGGAGAAGGGAAAGAAAACCCGAGCGCAGAAAAAAAAAATTGATTCCGAGTACGATGAGAAATGTCGTCATCGGTAGTCGTTCGAATTGCACATCCAAAACCTTGGTAAAGCGTCGGCCGTCATCAACGCTCGTGATTATCGCATACAACAATACGTTCACGAACAAAATATTGTGTTGTGCAGCTTCTCATCTCGTCCCCACGGCCACGTTTTTACATCGGGAACGATCGAGGTTTCGGTACACGACCCTTCTAGCCGGCGAAGGACGATCGTCGTCCCCTACACTGTGCGTTTCGGTCTTCACTCTCTCGAAACTTGTACCTACTTCCGACAGTGTTACCATTTGTTCGTCGGTGGCGTTTCCGTCCGTAGGTAGTGGGGGCGACCACGTCCGTGCCTGTTGTATCGTCGTCGTTGGTAGATGAAGGGGGGGGGGGGGAAGGGTAAGCCATGCGCTGGCGACGGTATTATTGTACTGCGTTGTTTATACTCCTTGTCCGTCCATCCGTGTGTTTACCAATCCGTCGTCATTATCAACGCGTATCGTCCGATTATCATTTTCATTGCCAATAATAATAATAATAATAATAGTAATAGTAATAATAAATAATAGTCAATCGAGTTCGTTTTGCGCGTCCGCCGTTCGACTTTCGTTGTTACCGCAATATTTACTACTGTCATCGTTCGGCAGATTTCACTTCGTCCGATCGAAATCGGTTCTCCTCGTATCGAAACTAGCACGCGCGAGACTGGTTTGGTGCCATCGTCGCAGTCGTCACCGCCAACGCCGTTGATGCATTTGAAACAATATGATGTTAATGTTGAACTCACGCGTACGATTTAACTGAAATTTTTGACAACAATCACTGTTATGACGACGCGATCGCTTTTCATCATTATAATCAATATTAACCGTCCGCGGTGAGCAACCGGTAAGATTTACTCGTTCGATATGGGCACATCTATATCATCGCTGCACTTAAATCCTATTGGTTTATAAACAATATTAATGTTTGTTTGGTCGTTCCGATTTAATAAGATTTATGTGTAAGGAGCGTTGGTCGATTATCTTTAATTTTTTAATTACATGCACCAGATGATAGAGAGTTCATAGATCAGTGTAGGTGTGTATCATTTAAAGGTGGGTGTGTATGAGTGTATGTGTGTGATGATTCATGTCTGCTGCAAAGTGTACCAATCTTAATGTTGCAATAGGAAACTACCAACAATATATTTATGTATTGTTTTGGTTTATCTAATGATTGTTATATTGTTATGTATGTACAGATAAATCAGTCATTATTTGCAATGTTCTGTTGGAGATAGATCGGATCAAATGATCGTTGGCCAATTGTTAAATGAACACTGGAGAAATGGATCATGGGTATCAGAATACTGGCAGAACCCATGTAAGTTAAAATTTAAATTTTTGATTCAAATTTATAATTTCCTGGATACATTTCATTTTGATCAAATCATTGATAAATAATAGTTTGGAACAAATTCTCAACAACTGGTAACACACTCATTTTGCGATCGAGCATCTCCAGTATCTCCCATTACAAACATTGGAAGTTATACTCCTTTTGTACAACATACAAAAGATGACAATAATATGAATTCATTACAACGTAAAGCGCAAGTCAAATTAAATGCTATGCCGTGAGTATAATTTAAAAATTATTTTTATATATAAATCATTATTTTAATGGTCATGATTATAGTTTTCATAATACAACTCCCATATTTAATATAATATATAGTTTAGTATCAATATTAATTTTTAAACGTTTATGAGGCAGATACTTCAAATAATGTAAGTCAGTCTTTACCAGTATACTGTTAACCAATTTCTTATAAATTATATTTAAATATAATTGTATTATTTGTATAAATGTTTTTTTTATCTATTTATTTAATTAATTTCAGATGGTTTCATGGAAAAATATCAAGAGAAACAGCGGAAGATTTGTTAACACCAAAAGAAAACGGATTATTTTTAGTTAGAGAGTCTACAAACTATCCAGGAGATTATACACTTTGTGTTTGTTACCTTGGTAAAGTTGAACATTATAGAGTAAAATATAAGGACAATCAACTTACCATTGATGATGAAGAATTTTTTGAAAATCTATCTCAATTGGTCGAAGTAAGTTAATCTTAAGTTATAAAAATTATTTAGAGACCTTAGTTGTATTTTCAAAGTATTTAATCTTCTTAATTTCTATAATTTCAAATAATTGTATATAATGTCTAAATATATATAAAATTTGTCTGCTAAGTTAGGGTGACCATGTTAAAAAAATAAGAAAACGGGATAGCTGTTACTCCCCCCCCCCCCGAAAAAACCTCATTTATATACTTCACACATATGCACACAAATTTCGAGAGTTAAAGTCCAAATCTCTGTCGTATAAACAATTATTTTCTTTTTACTTTACCGTTTTTTAGTAAAATAACCTAATTAATAAATAATAAAATATTTTCTTTTAATTATTATTAAATATTTTCTCTTAATCATTCATCAAACAACACAATGTAACATTTCAAAACTATTATCATTTTTTAAACAATTAAAAAAAATTTCATTTTTAATATTATAATTAAAGTATTAAACAATTTTGTATTGTTACATATAATGACTTACATTTTTTTAACAAAAATCAGGAAAATTATACAGTATCAGCTATCTCCATTATTTATGATTTTTGTAAGCCTTTTTCTACACATTCCACTGTTTTCTTGTACTTTTCCGAAAAATTTATTGAATTTGACAATTTCGGGTGTTTCAAAAGGAATTCATAAAATTGTGAACAAGTTAAATTTTTAAAGTGTATTTTGGTAATTATTATCAATCTAAGAGTTTCGATATTAAAATAAATGATATAATAAACAATATGGAAATAACGGAATTAAAACGGGACAGTTTTCTAAAAATGGGGAAAAAAGCGTCCCATTCGAAGTTTGTCTGGACAATGGGATGTGATGATCAAAAAAGGGACAATCCCATTTTAAACAGGATGTCTGGTCACCTAATGCTAAGTACCAATAAACCAACAATTTTTAATTTTTTTCAGTATAAAAGTTTTACTGAAAATGTTGGCATCTAAACTTAATGATAATTATAATATAGTTTGACATTTATAATATTTGCATCTATTTAAAAAAAATAAAAATCTAATATTAATGAGGTGTAAGTTAATAACTAATTAAGTATGAAATGCAATAGAGAATCATAGATTAAAGTTGAAAGCTCTAGTTATGTTGTGGATGACCCCATTTGAGTTGACAGTGTTGGAGAAAATTAGATTAGTGATTAAATTGTGTTCCTATTGATTTGGACAGTTGTGTTTTAAATTTAATCAATAATATTTTTTTTACGAGTTTTGATGTTGAAAATTTGAAAATCAAAATAAAGACAATGGTTTCTGATGAACCATGGAGCGTTTGATGTAATTCATAAAATTATAGATTGAAATATTTGTATTTTGTTAACATGGGTATTTGAGGCAACTCCCCAAACTGGTGATGCATAGAGTTTGAGGAGACGTAGCAGATGCTTATAAAGTAATAAGGAACATTTCCAACTTAACTTGGTATGTCAATTTAAAAGAGGGTATAACATCTTAATTCTTTGATAACCTTGTTGTAGTTTGCTCGCTATATAAGAGTTCTAGGTGAGTTTTTCGTCAAGAATATCACCAAGGTATTTGATTTTTGGCAACCAATTAATATTTTTTCTGTATATATTGAAAGGATTTAGAGGACGTTTAAATGTAAACAGCACTACATGGCTTTTTGATGGATTAAAAACAATACGCCATTTTTTTGCCCAGCTATCTATTTTATCTAGGTGTTCTTGTATGTTTCTTTTTATTTATATTAGTTCTTTTGAGGTTGAGTAGAAAACATTGTCATCAGAGTATAATGCAAGATTAATTTTTTCATTTAATAGATTAGATAGAAATATCTATTAAACAATAATAGTGCTGATTTTAAGCCCTGTAGAACTCCTGGATTAATTGTTTTAAAAATACTTCATTAGCATGCTCTGTAAAAGTCCTATCTGTTATAAATTATTGTATTATATTAAATAAGGCTAAAAGGATGTTTAGTTTTTTTAATTTTGAAAAGGAGACCTTTATGCAAGACTATCAAATGTTTATGTAACATCTAAGAATACAGCACTGGTGTATGAGAGATTTTAAAATCCTGTATCTATGTGTTCTGTCAGGCGAAAAAATTGTTGTGTTGAGTGATTAGGCTTGAAGCTGAATTGATAGTGGGGAATAGCATCTATTGCGCAAATGTATTTTGAAAGTCTAATATACCTATATTATTTTATTATTTTTTAAAAAATTTATATTTTGTTGATAGTAGACTAATTGGTTGATAACTTGCCAGGTTAGACTACGGTTACTATGTATGCGAGTTCTAACGAATTCGGACGAAAAAGTCAAACTTGTTTGAATGCTCAACTGTTTCTGACGACGTCGTGTATGTTGTGACGTACTTAACGCTACCAGTGTAAACAATCTCATTGAAAAACAGGCGTTTGTGTGTTTTGATGAATACGTCAGAACAATTATTTGTCAGAACTCGCATACATAGTAACTGTAGCCATACTTTTATCTTATCTTTGTTTTTTTATCATAGTAACAACTGCTTTTTTCCACTCCTTAGGAAAGAGACCAGTTTTTAGAAGACAATTAAATATTTTTGTTAGGTATATAATAGCTTTTTTTGGTAGGTTTTTTATTATTGTGTTTAATTTTATCAAAATCAGGTGATTTTTTTTTTTTTTTGAAGTTCCATTATTAATTTTTGTATTTCATATTGAGGTAGTATAAGGTAGCATTTTTTGGAATGAGTAATCAGGTTCAGAATGAGTACAATTTACCATTAAATTTGTTTCAGTATCATCAGTATTAGATGTAGAAATATTTTTGAATGATTCTGCAAATAATTCACATTTTTCTTTTTCTGTATCAAAAATGTTGTTCTCATGTTTAAATGGAGATATTGTGTTAAATGATAAGTTAAATAATACATTTGTAGTTAACCATAGGTTATTATTTGCAGAAAGTATTGTTATTAAGTAATTTTGATAATAATTAATGCAATGTTCTTCTAATATTATTATGACTTTTTTGTTAAGCGGCTTAATTCTTTTCGATAATTTGGATCCCTGTTTAGCTGTCAAAGCCATCTGATTTTGTGTTTTAATTTCATCATGTTTAATATCATAGAAGTATTCTGATTATTATTATTTATAAAAATTGGTTTCTTATTTTGTGTGGTACAATTTTGAGCAGCTTAATAGATTGTATCTTGGATATGTTTTATTGAATTTAGAGCCAAGTTTTGATTGGTTATCTGTTCAAGAATAATCAATTTTTTAGAGAAAATATTTTTTAATTTATTTCAGTTTGGGCGACTAATTATTAAATTGTTATTCAGTATATTTATGGTGGAAGAACAAAACATTGTGATTTTAACAGAGATATGATCAGAATCTAGTTCAAATAAGGGTGTTTGCTTAAAATGGAGTGTTCTTGACTTGAGGTGCATTATTTAAAGTATGTCTGGATTTCTATTTATGTCATATGGATGTACATATGTGTTTATAGTGCTGAAATAAGAGTGGATGCCTTTGATAGGTATTTATATAATTTTTTTCCATTTGAATTCGTTACTCTATAGTTCCAACTAATATGCTTAGCATTTTAATCACCGATGATAATGATTTTTGTATTTAGATTTAGGACTAACCAACAATAAAACTACTCTCATGCAAAGATTGCGTGGATCACTTTCAACGCAATAATAATTTTTTTTTTCTTTACCTTAGCACTATCAAAATGATGCTGATGGACTTTGTACTCAATTAACTAAGAGTTTACCTAAAAAAGGTAAACAAGAGTTTTGCATTGATACAAAATCTTTTATTGATGCTGGATGGGTTATACAGGAACACGAATTACAGGTTTAGTAATAAACAACATTTTTTTGTTCACTTGCTAAATTAAATATATTATTAATATCTAGTTAAATGAAACAATTGGCAAAGGAGAATTTGGTGATGTTTTATTAGGAGTGTATAGAGGAGAAAAAGTTGCTGTAAAAATGCTTAAGGATTCTAGTTTAGAAGCTCAAAAATTTCTAACAGAAGCCTTACTTATGACGTAATTATTAGACTTTTTTTTTCCTTTTTTCATACATCATTTATTAATAATTTACAGCTAATATATTTGATTTTAAGGTCTTTGCGGCATGAAAATTTGGTCGAACTCCTTGGATTAGTATTGAATGAAAAACATTTGTTACTAGTCACTGAGTATATGGGTAAAGGAAGCCTTGTTGAATACTTACGTTCAAGAGGACGACTTCATGTTACAAAGAAAGATCAAATTAATTTTGCCGTGTAAGTTTTAAAATATTTCTTATTTTAATAATATTTTGATATTATAAATACAATTCAAATTTAAATATTATAAACATATTTTATTAACTTCTTTTTCTTCTTTTATACTACTGTAAAATTTACCTTTTAGCCTCATTGAAATTCTGTTATAGCATAAAACACCTGACATTTCTCCCCATTTCATTCAGCTGCACTTAATCCTATGTTTTACATCCATGCCAAAACCCCTGTCTCTTTGTACAAATGATTCTAAATATTTAAATTTCTTGACTTTACACTTATTGTCATTGGTCTCATCATACACTCAACTTCGTGGTATCTTTCTCCAAAGTCATACTCTATGTACGCTGTTTTATTTTTACTGATTCTCAATCCCTTTCCTTCAAGGGTTAGCCTTTACTCATCTAACCTATTAATTTCTTCCAGATTTTTTCCTACCAAAACTATATCATCAGCAAAAAACATACACCATGGTATCTTGCCTTGTATGTCTTTTGTAACTTCATCCATAACCACAGAAAGCAAATAAGGGCTTAGAGCTAACCCCCTTTGCACACCAAATTTTATGTTAGACTCTCCTGTTATTCCACATAAACTCTTTACATATGATCTCAAATTTTTATATATACCTCAAATCAAATTTATATATATTTTTGGAATCACTTTTCTCATTAATGCATACTTTAAAACTTCTCTTGGCATTCTGTCATACACCTTTTCTAAGTCCATAAACACCATGCATAATTTTTATTCAAATTACATAATTTTACTCAAACTTCTCTACTAGACATATTTCTCTAATTTTTTTTTAAATTAGTAAATATTAATACTTTTTTTGCTTTAAGAAATTTAAGTCAATTAATACATTTATTTTTCTTATGTTTGAAAATGTATTTATGTAATGTATGTTTAATTTGTTTTAGTGACACTTGTAGCGGTATGGAATATTTGGAGTATAGAAAAGTTGTGCATAGAGATTTAGCGGCTCGAAACGTATTAATATCAGAAGCAGGCGTTGCTAAAGTAGCAGATTTTGGATTAGCTCGAGAAGAAAATTATATTGTGGATGCTGGAAAATTGCCAATTAAGTGGACTGCTCCTGAAGCTCTCAGACAAGGGGTAACTTTATATGAAATCATAGTTAAACTTAATTATCACTTTTTTTTTTAACTTTTTTACTCATTGAATTAGATATTTTCTAATAAATCTGACATGTGGAGTTTTGGTGTTCTACTTTGGGAAATTTATTCTTTTGGCCGAGTCCCTTATTCCAGAATTGTAAGTGTTTTTGGTTATTGTTTTACTTGGAAAGAACTAATTTTAATCATCAACATTTATTTTATGTTTAATAGCCATTAATTGATGTAGTAAAACATGTAGAAAAAGGTTATCGTATGGAAGCTCCAGAGTGTTGTCCTCCAGAAATATATGAAATTATGAGACAAGTAAAACTTTAGATTCTAAAATTATCTTGATGTTTTTATTAATTAATATATGTTGTTTTTATTTATAGACTTGGGATTTATTGCCAGAAAGAAGACCGACATTTAAAGATGTTAAGACAAAATTAGCACAGCTAAAAGTTGTAACTGTTAATTAAAAGTTATATTGACTAATGTATACAAATATATTTGTGCACTAATTTAGTCAATATCTGTATATTATAAAATTTAATTTATCATATTTTTGAGCTAGTCTTTATTTTATTATTATTCAGTATTTTTATTCTTTAATGTTTTTTATTGCATACTTTTTATTCATAATATATTTAAATAAATGCATTTAGTATTGGTTGAGGTAAAATTAAAAACTATTCAACCAAGTTACATTACTTTTTTAAGTACAATATTAAAGCATTAGTTGAAAAGTATAAATGAGCATTGTATATAATTATTCACAGTTATTTTCAATCAAAAGAGAGTTTTGCTATAGAATATGTTATTTTAGGCACTTACTAGTTTATTGGACATCTGTAAAGTCGGTTGTGAGTACTAAAAATTAAAATAAATGTATGATGTTCTTTCAAATACTTGATTATAATCTAATTGTAAAATTAAGAATTCTAAAAAAGTTTATATATAAGTATATAAATACATACTATTTTGGATTTGATCTGTTCATTATGTTAGTTTATTTTATGTAGTTAGTTAATTAACAAATTAAGAATACTTGACCAATACTAAGCATTTCAATAACTTAAATTTGTTTTTGGTGTGTGATTATGATGACTGTTGGTTTTGTCATTTTTTATATTACACCGTTAGTTAAAAGTATCTTGAAAAATAATATTTTATAGAAAGAAATTTACTTAAATTTCAATGGATTTTTTTTCATTGACTTTGAAAAAATTACTTGTTTTTCTCATGTTTGTACAAGTTGTTTTTTTGTAATAGGTAATTACAGAAAACTATTAGCCATTGAATTTATTTGTTTTAAATGTATTGACTAATTTTTAAAAAATTGGTTTCAATATTTTACTTGTATCATTAATAATTTATATTATTTAAAAACGAAATGTTGCTTGGTATTCAAATTATATTTTGAATTCCTATCTTTAAGTTTGTTAAAATAATTTAATATACTCAAATCCATATTAAAACACCAAACTTAAAAACTATCATTTCAATTGTTAACTTTTAATATTATTAATACTACTAATACTGACTGATTAATATATTGTTTTACAAATAAATCTTTTGTAAAAATGCATACAAAGTTTTTAAATTTACTGCCTTTACTGTTGAAGAATATTTGTTATAAATATTTAAAAATTATTTTATATTAATGAATCATTTCTAGATTAAAAGAAATTTGAAATTGCAATCTCACTTTTTAATTTATTGTACTAGTATAAGAAATAATTGATTATGATGTGTGTTAGTTAATGTTTTAATAATTGTCAAACTTCCTTAAGTATGAAATATATCATAATTTGCCTTATTCGAAATAAAATATTTGGACGTATTAAAATCTTTTAATAATTTATTTATAATTAGGTAAAAGTTTTTATTGAAAATTGTATATATTACTGTATTGTAATGGTGTATTTGTTTGTGTTTTTTTTTTATTATTATGATTATTATTATCTATGATTATTATTTGCTTGGGTTACCAGAAAAGTTTGGTTTTTATACTCATATGTTTTTATAATTTTTATTTAAACATAATTTTTGCTATGCGATAATTATTTATATTTATTTTAAAATAAATTTATATTTCCTCAATCAATAAATGTTATAATTATTAATTTACAATATTGTGTTTAGTGTTTTAAATATATGACATATGTCTTAAAACAATTATTTTTTAAAAAGGTGATGTCTATTAGATTTGTCTAATCTTCAACTTGATTTTGAAAAAAACTGATCAATAATAAAATTCAAAATATCTGAACAACAAATGATTATTGTTCACATAAGTGGTCCGAAGAGCATAGACATTTTATAACATTACAACATTACAAGTAAACGTCGTTACTCAGTGCTATGAGTATTGGAAGGAACAGAACTTATATTATGTTCCTATGGCTTAGAAAACTGTTATCAGTTCAAAACTATATATGTTTGTGATAAAACGACAAATATCTATTTCAAAGAAAATTAATCAAATTAATTAGAGACTGTGAGTGATGACGAAACATATTTTGACCAAAATGATCTGAATGGTGATAATAATATTGCTTGTAGGAATTCTAACGATAAAACTGTTAAGAAAAATATTTTAAAGAGATAGGAAACAGTAAACTAATATAGTTTTTTTAATTCTACAGGAGATGAAAGTTGTAAAAATACAAAATGTTATGGTTGTTTGGTTTGTTGTTATAAATTGTTGTACAAATATAACATGCATTCATTAGTTTTTACCAATATATTTTTAACTTATGAATATTTATCAACATTGTCATTTACACAGGTTAACTGTGAACGATATTTTAGTAAGTTGAAAATTATAAAAATTAGGTTACGTTCATCACTTGGCCAGGAAAAGTTAGAAGTAATTATGATGATAGTGTTGAGAAAGAGTTATTGGAGGAATTATCATTTAATGATATTTTAGAACATGTGAAAAGAAGCTCACCGTTAATGAGAAAAATGTTAAGTCAAAAACCTGAAAATAATACATTCAATTATAAATAGAATACAAATTAAAAAAAATAATTATGTTAACATAATAAATAAAGGAAATTCAATTTTATGAAGGTATTTATATATTTTTTTAACCTTACAGATAAAATGTACACTTACTTTAATTTATAACAATAAAATATTAATATTATTTACAAAATTACAACAGATGAGTGGGCTATATCGTATGTATATTTTGGGCCGCTTAGCTGTGTTACCCCTTGGGCCGATAACCTCCCTGTCCGACCCTGTATATATAGATAATATAATATATTTATATATATATTTTATCAGAAACAGAGTTAAAAAAAAAATTTAATTGTAACCACCGTATATTATAGTACATAGTAACCTACTTTTTATTCAAGTAATATGTAATTAACCTGTTTAGTTGTGTAATTTAATTAGTTAAATGACTGAATAATATTTGTAGAATGAAATCATAATTTAGGTAATGTTTAGGTATTTAATCTCTTGAATTTTGACTTTTAATTGCTTTTATCTACTTTTGAATTACTCACTTAAATCATATTTTGCTTAATTCTATGAAAAAAAATTTAGTTTTTACTGATGACGTTGGAAATGTACAGCCTGGCAAATCGTTCAATCTTGAAAAAAAGTCATATAACAAGAAGATTCTATAATATTTGTTCGAACACCGCGCAATTTGAATTTCGCGCCATATCATGTTCTTAAAACGAGAACTTTCGCGAAGCTTCTACGCGCTCTCTCCCTTCTACATCTTAACGTCCGTCGTCGTAACGGTCAACGGGTTTTTCAAATGGTTGTTGTTGTTGGTGTGCCCGCCAGCGGTACAGTTCGCCGGGCACGTTTTTCCTCTTTTCTTGTTCGTGCCAGAAGCAAACCGCCGTCGTTTGTTGTTACGACTATCGGTCGTCGCGCCGTTGTGTTTCGACGTGTTTTACTTCGTCGCCGTTTGTTGTTACGATTATCGGTCGTCGCGCCGTCGTGGTTCACGTGTGCCGCCATAAGCAAACCGTCGTCGTTTGTTACGATTATCGGTCGTCGCGCCGTCGTGGTTCACGTGTGCTGCCATAAGCAAACCGTCGTCGTTTGTTGTTACGACTATCGGTCGTCGCGCCGTCGTGTTCCGACGTGTTTCACGTGTGCCGCCATAAGCAAACCGCCATCGTTTGTTGTTACGACTATCGGTTGTCGCGCCGTCGTGGTTTACCGTTTGCGTGTGTGGCCACGTGGTGTGCGTGTGCCGCCGCAAACCGATCAACTTGTATACCGTCCTTGCACGTGTGGTGCAGTGTCGTGGTTCCGGTGAAAGCTGTGTCCGGCGACCGCCATTTTCGTCGTGGGTTTTTCCTACCACCATCGTCGAGGCCCCGTCATATCATCGGTCTCATCAGCTGTGCAGTTGGCCGCCCTACGTCGACCGGTGACGATAATAAATGTTATCATTTGTATGTTTTTGCCCATAAGGAGCATTTGTATTATTATTATTTTTTTTTTGATTATTATTATTATTACTATTATTATCTTAAACCAGGGCGTCCTCCTTTTATTTAATATATGCTTATTGTGCAATGTTACAATTAATTAATATATTTGTTTTTTTCTTGCGTCAACATTATATGCCTTCTTTTACCGATGTTATTGTAACTTAGTGGTGACCTGGTCCTATACTATGCGAGTCATAGCCGCCAACCACTTTTACTCGTAGGAGCGGTTCTGGCGAATTAAACATTGGTAGCAGAGCGTGGTTTCAGACCTCCACGGAGGGGTTCGGCCAGCGTAGTATAGGACTCATGTGGGCTTTTACCAGGTTCTAATTACTTATTATATCGGATTTGCGTATTATTAGTTAATTTTCGGTTGTTATACCGTCCAGCATTTTTGGGTGAATTATTTTTATTTGTAGTCGTCGTGTACCGGTATACAGCGTTTTCTTGGTGTCATTATGGGTGATATTCAGGAAAAAGAGCGGGTAACGCGTTTGAAGGTGCGTGCTGAAATGAAACGGGCATCAGTGGTAAAACACATTAGGAGTGTCCACGATATGGCTTTGCGCGTGTCGGCTGAGCCTGGTCTAGGTCCCGAATTTCTTGTTAGTGCAAGGGATTTAGATTCATTATGGTTACAATTTAAGTCCGAGGACGATGCGTTGTTAGATTATTTGGTGACGTTAGGTGACCACGACCAATATGTTGAAGGTCTGTCGGCGGAGGTGCGCGGACTCATTGTCGCGTCGAAGGCCGTCGCCGAAAGATTAACTCCAACGGGTGCTGAGGTCATTGACTTGTCGTACCTTCGCGATAATACTTTATTACCAACCCACTCAGGCTGTAAACCACAAGCCGCGACGTCCCGTGACGACCCATCAAAATCTATCTCGCGTTTGCCTGAAATTCCGTTGCCAAATTTCGACGGCGATTTCCGATATTGGCCCACGTTCCGCGACCGTTTTTCTGCGTTGGTTGAAACCCGGTCTAGTTTATCAAACATCGATAAGATGTACTATTTAGTGGGATGTTTAAAAGGTATTGCGGCAGATGCCGTACGTA